AAACGATATCCATAAGACGATACGCCTCTTACCGGGCTAGGCTGCTTGCTGAAAAACTGTGAATATCACTATTCTCAGAACTTTAAAATAATTCACCTGTAACCAGAATTGTCAGACTTTGATCCTTAGCATTGCAAACCTCAATGGTTGTTCCTGTTTTTGACATGACCTCGCGAATTGCTGCATTTTGCTTGTCAAGTTCACCATTGCCAAAGCTGTTGAAATTCTTGTACTTCTTTTCTTCATAGGGGACATTGAAAACCTAATTAACAAAAGCACGTGCAATTTAACAATTTGCTAAGAAAGCCACAATCATTTTTATGCTAGTATATAAATACTTCAAACACAGTTTTGTGACATCTGCAAAGTACAATTATAATCCCAGAAAGGATGATGAGATTTTGCACTGTGCACTTCAGTCAAAGGTTGATGCAAGCATATTTAAAATACATATGCCCAATATTTTGTGTGGAGCAAGTGTTATGATATCATGTATATCTAGTGTATGTTAACATTGTGAATGAAATGCTGGAAAAACTTGATCCAAACTTTGAATAAAGAAACATTTAAGATAAAATATTTTTGTTGTTCCTGTTCTTGATACGACCTCACAAATTGCTGAGGTCATTGTGTAGACAAAAGGCACTGATTGGGCAACCTTAACAGTCATATGCTCTTGTTTCTGATTGGCCTACTTCGATCCACAACTGGGTATATATATTTCCTAGCGTAGAGTTTTTATCTATGTTCTGACATTTTATACTCTGAAGAGTGTCAGATCAAAAACTTCTGTTTACTCAAATGTTTGCTTTTTTCAATGTTTTATTGCATTTTTTGCATTTTGGTCCAGTGGGAGCTTGTGTATCTGGGCATACGTTTCACATTTATAAACGTGAATAAAATCAACATCAATTATTATTTTAGCACTGTTCACTAATTTTGTTGCTAATTAGTAGCACTGTTCACGATAGCTGAATATTTGTTGTTGTGATAGGTAATGTTGAAAAGTCTTGAAGAGAAATTGGTCTTTGTGAAGAGAGAAACAGTCCAGCGGACTTGAACAAACAAAGATGATCTTGCCAACATTACACAAAGTTTATTTCTTTGTTTACTTTGAATTACACATAATTAATAGTGGCACTTGTTGTTTTCAATTAAAACTTTCAAAATGACGATAGCCTTGTTAATTGGAGGTAGTAAAGAATGGAAAGGCGATTTATTATTCTTGATGTTTCGTGTCTATGGCTTTAAATTTTGAATATTATGTCATCAGCCCCACCAATAATTTACTCCACGAGCCGCCACTGCTTTGGTCTTATCATGCTGTTTATTATTAGATGACTAGAATGTACTGTACTGTACTAGCATACTGCAGTAAACTGACAAGTCAACTCCACGAGAAATATGGTACAGAATCTCAACAACTTTATCCAAAACAACAACCTAAATAGTTAATTTAATTTCTTTGGTGAGCAATTTAACACAAACTTAAATTAATGGCCAGGTTTGATAACAAATACCTGACAAGTTAGGTGACAATGATGCTAATGTGTCAAAGCATATAAATGCTTATACTAAGAATGCAGTATACAGAATAGAAAGCTTCAAAGTATACACAAAAACACTGTAATCTGATGCAGCAGTGATATCAAAAGAAACCTACTTTGCCCTAGAGTTGACCTGTTTACATAAAAAATGAACTGATTAAAAATCTTTGAGTGAATCCTCTAATTAGCACCTTAACTGTCTATTGATATAAAAAAGAGGGGTGCTTAATAGGGACAGATATTTTGAATAGAAACACGCTTTGAGAAAAAGGTGCTGGACAGCCAGAGAAAATTGAGAACTTTCAGTGCTTAAAGCAAAAATAATAAGAAACAATCAAATTTTGAAACAACCCATAATTCATTTAACTAAAACCTTGGTTGGACTAAAATGTTAAGCCTGAAATACATGATCAGTTTTTATCAGGTTTTAACTGACAGTTTTCAGTTTTCAGTCAAAAACTGATCGTGTAATTAGCAAAAACTGATAAAAACTTATGCATTGATGACCTTCAGTTCTTGACTGAAAAAGTTGAACACATCCAAATTTGTCAGTTTTTAACTGATGGGATTTCTATTCATTTATGTAGACTCCATTGTTTAAAGCTGGCGCCCCTATAATCCCCTTGCGCAAGGTGCCAATTTTTTAGAGCAGCGTGGATAAGTGTGATTTAAAGATGGTGAAAAAGTTGTGAATACAGATGAATTCATAGATACATGGAGGGAAGCTCAAACAACTCGTCAAAATTTTCAGGCCACATTCTCAATAATTTTCTATCTTCTGCTTCATCGTCTGATCTTAACTCTTGTAGAAGAGTGTTGTAAACACCGAGGTTAGTCCTCCTACTCAACCATGGCTTTACCCAAACAGATCTTGTTTCTTGTTTTCTTTTTTCGATATTTTCGCCTTTATTGACGACCAGAGCCGTGGCCAGAAGAACTGCAGTTGTTTCTTGATCAAGCTCCATTTCAAAACAGAGCCGATCTAATCAAAACGTGAACTCATTCCAAAACTGAAGAAAACTGATCGTGTATGGAGGACATCAATTTTTGTGAAACTGAAGACTGTCAGTCAAAAAACTGATAAAAACTGATCGTGTATTTCAGGCTTTAGAAACAGAGAATAGATTCCAAAGTCTAAAAATATGATTCCAAAGTCCAAAAATAGTGTTTGAATGGAAACAAATTTCTTGATCAATATGCATTTGAAAACAATAGAAACATTGTCCAGTCACACTGTCTGCAGCTGAGGAAACTTCCCTCAACAACTCTCTTTATTGAAACTTCCTAGTATGATTGGAAAATTAAATATTGAAACCTGACCAAAATATTAAATGTTAAAAAATGACCAAAACAAAGGGAAACTGTTAGGAAACTGAAATTGGGATTTGCCAAAATGGTAAGAAACTGGTTGCAACATTAACCTTTGTTTCTTTTAAAAAAGTGCATTGCATAAATTTTTCTGCAGCAGGTAAATTTTGGACAATGCCCTAAAGTACCCTATTTCGCCATCTATAAGATGCTCTTTTTTCAAGTTATTATTGGCTTTGTTTTAGGGTGTGTCTTATACATGGTAACATTGAATGTCCCATACTTTCCTATAGCAAAGTGTCATTTTATCAACAAAATATTATGATATTTAGAGCATATGTTCTCTTAATTTTGAATATCACACTTTAACCAGAAACTTTTCTAGAAATGGGACCACAAGATAACAGCTATAAAATCCATGTTATGTTTTAATAAACCTTCAGGCAAGGTTAATTTTCTATTACCAGGATACAAAGCAATCAAAGTTTTAACATTTTTCTAGCATAATTAAAATCAGTGTTAGGTTTTTAGCTTCATGAAGAGCTTTACAAATAAACTCTGGAGAAGCCAAGGAAACAGCATGATTAAACAAACAGGTATCACATTTAAAATATATTTACCCATAAAACAGATATATACAAAATAGGATTGTTTTATGTTTTACACAGCTGTCCTTCTGTGTCAACAACTTTTAATATTTGATCATGTTGAGAAACTGTATTTGATCGATGTATATTTCAATAGCTGCAGTTATGTAGCCACTATTCTAGCCCAAAGAGGGAGTTGAACAACTAAGCAATTTCATACATGGAATAACTTTTTAAATAAATGATACAGCCAATGAATGGGACTGACTTCTTACTCTGAAGTGAATGACCGTTGACAGACAACACAGCTTGTGAGCCTTAACAATAATTCGCTTTTCTAATACCTTAATCAATGGGCATTGCATAAGTGACAAATTTCAATTCAACTACAGAATGCATATAATGCACAAAGATTTGATGCTATTTTCTCCAGCAAAGCTTTCTTTGAATTCACCAACTGACTATTACATCTGAATTTCCCATTAAAACCCTATCAGCTCTGAACTCACAACATAAAGTATCCCTCTCTCTTCTTTTACTTCCCTTTAAAACTAAAACTTCTGATTATCCCAAGCCAGAAGCTTTAAATATTATGTGTCTTATCAAATTGACCAGGGACTGCAGAAGGGGGGCTACAGGGGTTTCGCCCCCCTCTCAATAATTTCCAAAATATACTACAAATCATACCAAAAACCACCCTGCTTTTGGTTTTTAACATGTTGAGGCCCCCCCTCCCCACTTACTTATGTGCCAATTAGAAATATATCCTTTTGCTACATATAAAAGTCCTAAGTTTAATCTGTTTACTAATTTTTCAGATTTTACATCAATTTTCAGATTTACCCAATTGGGTATGTATGCAATAAAACAAATGCGGCATTGGATTAATTGTGCACTAAGTTACCCCTTATAGCCTTAATTCCTTTACATGGGCATAAGACTAAGTAGTGAATCTTCTTTTTTATAAGATTTTTTGGGGTATGTGTTAAATCAATTTCTTAATGCTTGTTTAGTTTGCATCAGACAACTGGAAAGCAAAAGAATGACAATTTTTTATCTCCAATTTACTCAAAGATGATGAAAAAATATTTTATGAGTTTGTTTTTGCTTCTGCTTTTGTTTTCCTTGCCTTTTATCCTCCAAAAAGTGAATCCTCAGTGAAACAAAATTTACAAAATTTTGGAAGTTTTTGATATGATAATTACAAATAATACTTATCATACTGCAGTAGCAATACTTAATCAAAGTTTTACTAAAGGGAATTGTCAATTAAAGTAAGGTAACCTGTTAAAACTTACATTTGAGACAAGTAATTGTAGAGAAGAGGACAGTCAAGATACTGAAGCACAATCTTTGTGTTACCAACATTATAAATGTAAACAGTAATTGCTTATAAGCCAGAAATTTGTTGGCATCTTTTCAATTTTCAAAAATGCCCAGACTTGAGACCACAACATTATCAATATGTCATGACAAAGGTTGCACAAAAAGAAAGAAATTGGTAACCACAGAAAAATAAAAAGCAAACTAAAAAACTTACAATTTATATATTCAATGATTGTTTTTTAACTTACCTCTGTTTCATAGAAAAAAAATTGACGACATTTTTCGTCAAATCTAGATGATACATGGCATTTCGGGCTTCAATTTCTCTAAATATCCTATCAAAAATGAAAATCAGAGAATTAAAAGGTAGGCCAAGCAATGCACTAAACAGCGCCTTTTACCTGTGTTATATTTGTGATCATAGGTTTCGCTTTGGCGACGTGCTTTGTTTCTGGCTTTCCCCATTTTGTTGCAGGCACAGCGGATTTCTCGGTGCTGTCATTTGGCGTTGTTGGCAGAGGAGGAAAGGCGTCAGCGTAGCTTGGTGGCGCTTCATCCTCCACAGACTTTCCCTGGATTGATTCGTGGTTTTCTGTTCCGTTACAGTTGTTAGCCATGTTTTCAGCGAAGCCCTTCGGATCCATCTCCTCGCTGTAATAGTTTAAATCCATATTCCGTTATTCCTGTCCGTTTGTACGGTCAAGTTCTAGCAGCCCCACTAGAATAAAAGGAAGATTTTTGTTTGAAATAACATGAAAGAAAATAGATTGCAGACTTACCAGACTCTTTCAAAATCTCTACCGACCAACAAACCGTGACACTGCATCGTGAATTGCACGACGTGTCGTCTCTTTCACGGACACCACAATATAATCACTCGGTGCTATAATTCAGTGAAACTAAATAACTATCCTTCCTGATATGGAGATTGAGCTTCAAGCAATCTCAGAACAATATGAATATATATATGCTTTCAAAAATATTAAAAAAGTTGAACCAAAGAGGAAAATTCATTTACGAAATTGACAGTTCGAGCTTAGGATTATGAAAAAGGGACGTCCAGAATTGAATGCGAAAAGGCCCAATGGACTGGCACAAAAATGAAATATCCTTAAAAATAAATGAACGAGAAAACTGACCTTACTTTGAAGATCATATTTAACGAGATGTATTACCGACATAAGATAACGAGTTTCATGACTTGTACCCGCACTGATTGAAATCAGCCACGGGCGATCAACTAGGCCACAAGAGGACGTGACATGGCAGTCCATGAGCTATCAAATATTAAATAGTTATCGAGCGAATAAATATACCTGACGAGCAGAGGTGGCCACTGCCGGCTAAAATCGGTTCCCTGGATTAGCTTTTGCCTTGAAAAGCCACAGCTTGGCTGATTTAACGTAACAAAATGGTCAGAAAAATCTGCACAACACTATCCTGATAGCAAAGTATCAGCGAAGAAAGTCTACGTTGAAATTTTTTATAATTATGCAAAAAAAACTAATCTATTAGCATAACTAAAAGTTTGGTGACGTCTTACTCAAGCAGCCAATCAAATCTATGCTTCACAGCCTCGAGCTTGCATTGTCAGCCTCCTTTTCATAATTAGGAAAATTTATGTGACTATGTGACTGGTAGACTGGTAATAAACATTCTGAACATACAAACTCATTCCCATTCCCCACACCGGAAGATATTTTTCCTTTGTAAGGAAAGAACCTTGACCTTGCACGTGATGTCTACCAGCACATCGAAATTTCCATAACTACACACATTGCTTATTGTTCTTCAGTATAGGGCCGTAAATCCCGGGGGAACGGAGGGGACTGGACCCCCCCCAAAACTGGAGCAAAATGATTCTTTCAGATATTATCGTAATTTCCTTTTAAAGAAAGGAATCCCTGGTAGCTATGTTAGAACCAAACTAAGTTTTCTGTGTTATTGCAACAAACCTCAACCACCATGTCATGGTGTCAAGCGCAATTTGACCATAGTAGATGGCCGTTATTTATGTATGCAGAGTGATATCGAGGACAGTAACTGTGCCCAAAGGGCGAATCGCCCCAAATATCTTATCCACTGGTCACCCCTTGAATAAATCTCAAAAAATATGCAAGAAGTGGAACGTTTGAGTCGCCATAAATCTCGACAAATCCACATTACACAAATATCCATTACACGGTTTTTTAAACATCTTAAATCCTAACTCAAAGTCTAATTCCTAAAGTTCCTCATTTCTGGGTCCCTTGAAGAATTGTGGAACCAAGATCTCCATAATAGATTATAGCTCCTTAATTTAACTGCACATTTAATGACCTGAAAATAGCATAGACACAAGAAAAAGAAATTATGTGTTTTCTTTTTAACTGTAGCTAGTAAAAAGGGCAAGAGACAAAGAGGGAAAGAAATAAAAGTGATTTGCGCAAAAGTACTATGTCAATAAAGAAGTACCTTTGCATTTTATAATGAGGGAGGAATGACTACACTCTTTATTGTATGAATGCTATGAATTTTGCCCAGCCTAAATATCATTAAGAAATTTTCTTTTTGAGCGTGAATATGTTATTGTAGTTATATCCTTATTTTTCTATCCTATATTGTTTCAGGAAAAAAGCTTGCTCTTGAATAGAAAACACACATTTGGAAAAAGCAAAATATGTCAGTATTGCGATTCTGTGTTGTGAACATGAGCCAAAGATCCTCATTTTTCTTTCCCCAACGTCTGTAACTAGAGTTTAAGCATGACTCTTCCCCTACCCAATTTCCGCCAAGAAATGATAATCTGTGTTCTTCTGAGAAATGTTGAATTGTCTATCCTGAGCGGTATATTATTTTGTTAAACATGGTCTGGGAGATGCTTTTTGGCCTCTTTAGAAGGTATGATCTCAGAAATTGTCTTTCGCGTCGGACCCAACCATGGTGCAGCTTGATTCACTAAACTTGATTCTTAACACCCCGGGCTCAATTTTGTGTCTCTGAAAACTGTTATCCATCAAATTAGAAGAAATTCAAAGTTCTAAGAAATAACTGTAAGCACCTTTTATAGAGCTGACATTTTTTTGATAAATCCAATAATCTTGATTTTTTTAAATCGTTTTCCTCTCAAACTGTTTCCATAACACATACCATAAATTACTTGGTAGTGCCACGACACTGCACGCATATATTAAATCGCTCTGCTGAACCCACGACGTCTCTTCTAGTTGTCTCGTTTAAAACTAGAAGAGAAAATTGGATAAGACCTGGATAAAAAATCCTTCTACATAGATTTCTTGAAGAAATTTCAACCTTGGCGTCAACTGAGAAATATGTTACTCCAGTTGCGTGGTGGCAGAGAGGCCATATATGGGCGCAAATGGAGATAAGGGGGCGCCAAAATTGTTTGCTTGTAATGTTTGGCCAGGAACATCAAAATTGATCGTACACGGGTCGAACACTTTGCTGTACTTGCTGTGAACAATCTAATAAAACGTGTGATTCTACAATCGAAGCACGTTGCGTTGCCATGACCCGATCAACATTTGTTCCTCTTTTTTGTTAACTATGTACGTAGCTTCATGTTTAGCACGCAGATTAACGAAAATCATACGTATGCCAAAATTGTTTTCTATTAGTTTGCACTCAGAAAGCCAAAAAAACCTGAGTGTACGCCAAAGATCTTCGGGCCTAAGTACATGGAATCCACCCTGGCAATCAATACAGCAGAATCTTGTTATTAACATCGATGTGCACCCTGAACAATAGGTCGCCCTTTCTTTCTTTTCCCAACGCATGAATCCTCCCCTCCAAAAATTTTTCTAAAAATCAATGTTTTTCTGAGCATCGTCGAACTGTCTGTTCTGAGCGGTAAAGTGATTTGTTAAATTTTAGTCTGGGAGATGCATTTTTAGCCATTCTAGAAGACTTGATTTCAAAAATTTTCTTGCGTGTCGGACCCAACCATGGGGGGTCCTCCTTTATCATTAAACTTAATCCTTAGTTCAACACCAGATTCAATTTTGTGGCGCCGCCTCTGTCCGTTTCAATAGTGCGATTCAATGCTTGAAACTTTCAAGTTTTTGAAAGAACTACTATTTAATAACTACTGAATAATAACAATTTTGAACCATGTTTGCATATCATACATCATATATGCGATGACACTAGGCTGATACAATCGCCCATAAGCAGTGACGTAATGGACTAAGGTTACTTTTAGTCAAAAAACTAAAAAGCCCCAAACAAAAATTTGCTATACGTTATTTTACTCTGAATTCTTCCATTAATGCTCGCATTTTCAATCAAAACTTATTCATGAAATTTTGGATTCAAGTTGCAAAAATTGATTTCTCTTCCAGAAACACGTGCTTTTATATAAGCACGATATATAGATATGGCGCAAAAATCGACTTGGCCACCCCAGGGAAAACATAGCCACCCCGCCACTGCTTACTCGTATTTATTTATGGGACAATATCATAGCACTCTTCTAGTCAAGCAAAACTTTGAGTATGCTCTTTTGGAATCGAGTAGTTTCATTTTAAACTAGAAGACAAAACTGGATAAGACCTGGATGAAAAATCCTTCTCAACTAGAAATTCTGAAAGAGGTTTCAACATTGGTGTCAACTGAAAAAATCCAAGTCTGTTTTGTATCCATCTCACATTTGCTTGCCAATTTCAGATCAAATTTCTGGGGGCCTTTCAGTTTGTGCTTAAAGTTGCATACCGTGCAGTACGCCACTGGGGCAAGCACCCCTTACTTACAGCTAAGCTTGAAACATCCCCCCTCTATGGGTGAGAAGTGACCCTCTTGAGATTGAACACGTGCCATGTCATAGCTCCATGTTCTTTATTGGCTTTTCTATAATCATGGAGTTGACCACGGCCTAAATAAGCGTGGATCTGACTCACTTTGTGGAGTTGTAAATTAAAATTGTGGAACTGTAATTGTAGAAAGTGTGGATTTGTAAACAATGCATGTTCTTAAAAGTGCAGCATAAAATACCAATCGAAATGCCTAAGAAAGAAATGGGAACATTTTTTCAATTCGAAGTGAATGCCCAATCCCAGCCTTATGTATTGCACTCATTTTTTATAAGCAAATTGCCATAAGAAATAAGCAATGGACAATAAAGAAGAATTAAGAAACTTCAGGGCTCGAATCTTCAGTACATGCGGAGAAAAACCAATTGCGCTTTAGGATATTGTTGTGTGCTATTTTGAGGTAAGATGGACTCTGTATACAGCTTTAACTTCAAGACATCATCTCAATTTAGTTTGCCTTTATGACTTGCTTCAAAAAAGACACTGAGCCTAAAGACCAAGACCGAGATTATGATTTTCTGCTCGTAATGTACTTTGGGGTTTATGTGATATCTTTCAGTAGATGTCAGAAAAAGTTATAAAGCAATTCGTCTAAGGTGTTTTACGATAATAGCGTCTAAACAGGTCTTGGGCAGTGTACCCCATTCTAAAAATAGACCAAGGGGGCAATTTTGAGATGGGGTCTATATCCTATCGTTTTTTGCGTATCAAATTGCCACTTATTGCAAAGTTTCCTGCTATTGTGCCTACTTTCAGCAGAGATATCGAAATAAGGTCGCTAGTGGAGTCACATGGTAAAGTACCCTAGTCTAAAAATAGCCAAATGGGGCAATTTTCAGTTGGGGACCATATCCTATCTTTTCCAGCGTACCTAATTGCCCTTATAGATAGCGTACCTAATTGCCCTAACAGCGTACCTTGTAGATTTTCATGCTGTAGTAACAAAGTACGGCTGAGATACGATAACACCGTCTAAAAAGGTCTGCAGTAAAGTACCCCAGTCTAAAAATAGAAAAAGGGGGCAATTTTCAGTTGAGTTCCTTATCCTATCTTTTGTGCCATATCAATCTGCCCCCTGTTGCAAAGTTTCGTGCTATTGTACCTACTTACAGCAGATATATCTTATTAACGCCGTTAGGGGCTTGAGGCAAAGAATCCCAGTCTAAAAATAGCCCAAAGCGGGCGATTTTCAGTTGGGGTCCATATCCTATCTTTTCAGCGTATTAAACTGCCTCTTTATGCGAATAAGAAGAGCTTTATTGCCACGCAGAAATGCCACCTCTGAAGTTCGTAAAGAGCCGTTTAGGAATTTTGAAATGGAAATATCGTATTTGTTATGAACCTCCCTTCCTGACATTGCATTTTAGAGAACGGAACAGACATGTAAGGAAAAGCTCCGTTATTTGCAAAGCGAAAGCATTTCTTACCGAAAGTCATAGCCAATGGATGCATAAATTGATGCATATGTTTATGAGGGCAAGGTTGAGTCCATACAAGTTAATTTAAGTTGTAAATTATTTTCATGACAAGCACGGCGTCACTGGAGGGGAATAAGAGGCTGAAGGCCCTCACTTTGGTCAAGATAAGAATGTTTTTATCATTATTTAACAGTGCATGAACTAAAAAACATAATAAATCGTTAAGATACCGATCTTGTTTCATCTAATTGCTAACTTTTTCACGTATATTTTTATTATTTTTCTTTTATTTGCATTAATTCAGTAAATCACTTTCTGTATCATTGCAATGTTTTAATTTTGGATGTGTAAACATGGCCTTCTCGATGCAAGAAACTGCACATTTCTGTTCAGGAAATAAAATTTTCCCAATCAAAACAACATCTCCCTCTGTCATTCACAACTACGTGCAATCTGAAACGAAAGGTTGTCGTTTCTTTCCTTCTCCAACGTCTAATACTAGAGTTTTAGCATGACATCCCCAGGCCTTGAAAAAATATTTTTCCTCCTGACAGCAAAATAAAAAATTCAAGACTTCCTGCGAAGCTTCGAGAAAGTTTCCAGCCACTGATATTGATATTTCAAGTTGCTTGATTTGTTTAAAAATTTGTCCTAAAAACAAACTGTCACACTAGAAAGAACTAATTGTTGGTCCTGCAATCTTGATCATAGCTATTCGAACAGGAATCATTTTGTTTATCTGTATTAGATGATCAAGGAGAACGTGATCAAGCACGATACTCATAGTTTGTTTTCAAGGTTAAAGAAAGTAGATCTGAAAATCTATAATAACTTTGATTAAATTTCATATCAGTACTAGCAAACTAGATACTTTATAAGTATTGATATATCTATACATCTTGCTCTGGGTGGGTTTATCATCAAAGCTAGTAGTTCATACAACATGTAAGAATACTATTTTATTTTTTAATGGTTAAATTAAAATTTTAAAATCAGGGGTGGTGCTAGAGGCAAAGATTTAAGACTAAAACGCTTACATTCTATAAAGCAAGTGATGAAAAATATATGCGAATGCCAGAAGAAAAATACGAATAATAATGGACACATCTACACAGGTTTGGGGCATGCTCACCTTCAAAACAATTGACGTAACAAGATAGGCTGTCTTTAAGTGTTTTTACATATTTAGAATGGCGAATAATGTAATTAAATTAAATCAGTAGCTGAATATCATGGACGGAAATTTGGCATAACAGACGCTTATAATACCAGATGATTGAAAGCTAATCTTCGTTTTTTGTTAGTAGTGCAGAACAAAAATTATACAGTATGTAAATTTTTGTCTGAAAGATGCTTTTTAGCCCTTTTACAAAGTATAATTTCAAAAATTTTCTTCACGTCGGACCCAACCATGGTGGGTCCTCCTACCTCACTAAACTTGATTCTTAGCCCCACTGGGCTAAATTTCGTTGCACTGTCTACATCATGTACCCTCCCTCCCCCCTAATTAGCTGTTTATTAGCTAGTATTTCGCAAACCAACCTTAAATAAAGTGAATATAAAAGAAACAATTTACGCTCAAGTAGAGAAATAGATATTTCATAGGCAATGAAGTTTCAAGTTTGTTTTTATTGCTTAGAAGTTTGTCCTTGGTAAAGACCAGTGTACACTGGTAAAGCTTTCACTAGTAACCTATAGACAAACCGTTGCTACGAGGTCTGCAGGACATCACTCAGTTTTGCAGGGCAGAAACCCTTTTCACCCCCCCCCCAAACCTATTGGCCGAGTTACGCCCCTGGTAGCTGGGAGGAACATTCAATTTGGAATGTTGAAAGACAGGGACTATAGTCCTCCCCAACTTTTTGCAACAATAGGTTAGAAAATGTTTTGAAAGTTTACGCTAACGAACGCATTAGTAGCAGTTCTGCTGGGAACACGTTTTTGTTGGTGCTTAATCTTGTGTGGTCTGTTCTTGTGTGATGTTGCTTTATTTGTAATTTATCTAACTCGGTTTTGAATTTTTATGTTAATTGTAATCTTTCCTAAATCGTTATGTTTATGAATAGGGACAGAAGGAAGCAAAAATTTTCTGAAAGGAGTTCCAACCACTCCCTTGTGAGCTGGTGCCAGTGTGACCTGATCTACTGTAGTATTAGAATAATATTTGCCAAAAATCGTCATTTATCATAAAATCTAGCATAATTTGGAATCTAGCATAACTCTGGCATAATTCTGATATTATTTAAAAGAATCATTGTTTTCATGGATCCATTGTCTATCGTTACCAAATGCAAACACTTTACACCAGCATCTGTGGTTTCATATAGGGAGTAAATTGTGACTTTTCACCTGCAGGATATTGCCAGTTGTTTTGAATGGTTGGCAGCCACATATTTTGTGGCTGGCAGCCAAATGCAGCCAGCTAAACGCAGTATACAAAAAAGCTAAATTGTTGCTAATTATTGGGAGTGATACCGTAATCAAAATTTGCTTTGTAGGTTACAAAAGTTTTCACTTGCTTTTATCTAAAACCGTCTGTTATCTTTTACTTTGTTTCATCATTCATCATTTGCAATTTTGAAATTATTTTAAAAAGTTTTGAATATTATCTGTGCAAAAAACCTTTGCATTTGTTTCCTTTGCATTTTTGTCATTTTTTGCAACATGCTGCCAGAATTCAGCCAAATTCTGCTTCTTCGGTTCAATCAATTTATGTCGGCCAAGATGTTTTGAGAAACTGCCAAAATGGAGAAATTTGGCCACGAAACCATGGATCTAAATTGTCTTTTTATTTATGAAGAATGAGTACACTGGGATGTCAAAAATGCCAAATTGCAACTCTGGCCACTTTTGATATTCTGAGCATGCATTAGCCTCTTTCTCGAGCAGTGTTGCCTTGATTTGAAGTCTAGCATAATTTGTGCACAATCTTATGGCAAATTTGGCGAAATTCCAAAATTGAGTGTACGCCGAAATCTGGTGCTTGGTTTCTGCATTACAAATAAGATGGGGGTAAAGATCATGCTTTCAAACTGGGTGAAAAGAGAATAAAAAGAAACACGCACAATTTGTACATCAGTGGGAGTGAGAGTTTTTTTGCCATCTGTAACGAGGTTTTCGTTTATAGTATCAAAACTTTATGAAGAACAGATTTGATGGCAAAGAATTTGATGGGCTGAATGCAGTTAAGAACTTTCCATAAGTAAAAGAGACTTGAGAAAGCTTCACCCAGCTTTTGTCCCGGACAAAATATTTCATTCAATCATGCACTAAATTTTTGAGAAATAAACGACTAAGATCGTAGAGATCTGAGACTTGTTCTCAGGGGAATTCTACCAGACAGGACAATGGCTCAGATTCTCGCAGCAATCCTTAATTCTGTCAATGTAGAGAGGCTGATTCCCATATACAGCAAGATAGAAGCAGGTGGGGAAAGCAGCATAGCTCCAGAAAAACTTAACAAATAGATAAATATTGCAATGAATGTGCTTGATCTCGCAAGTTTCGAGTTTTGAGAAAAGCTGCAAAGATATGGCTCTAAAAAACCAAAAACACCAAAGTCCGAAAACTATGACAGAGATCCGAACAAACCATGTATAAGAGTTTCCTTTCGACAACTTTTTGCTCACATTTAAAGACATCGCTATATGTAGCCACTTTTCTTATTAACCCAATCCATAAATTGTAAATAATCAGCGCTTACTACTTATACTTTATTCATTTAAGAATTTGCCCAATTAAGACATGCTATTTGCACTATGATGGCAGTTTTTATATTTGCCACCCCCATGATGCCAATCCCAGCAAAGTACCACGCCCAATATTCATAAAAAATGTGGATCTGTAAAAATTTCTTATTTTAGGCTCTGGAGTAGACTTACTAAACTATACACCCATTTTTTTCATCTTTTCATTCTTGGATGTCAAAACATTCTATCGATTGCACTATTTATAAGCTGTTGATGTAGGCCTTGTAAAAATGGGTATAAGATTTGATGATATATCGAATGCACTTTTAGCAAAAAGAGAACACGCTTTTCTGGATGCAGCAAACGGTCTATGAGATATCTGAAACAACAACATATGAGAGAAATTCTGTTGCCTAAGGTAAATTTTATGCTCGCTAATGGTGGCACATGAAATGAAATGAAATAACAACTCCTCTCATTCCCTAGTACTCAGAATGTGCTGCATTCACACTGACAGGGTTAAACCAGCTTTTTTATACTAGATTGAATTTCAACCAATCAAATGCATCCGTTTTGTTGGATCCACCAATTAAAAGGCCCCACTTGATAGTCTAACTTAGTTAAAGCTGGTTTAACTCGCAAACGTGAATGGGGCGGTATTAGACTTTGATAGATTCTGTCAAAATTCAAATGACTTGACCTCCCTTCTGCAACAACTGCCAACCTAACTTTAAACTTGCTGTTCTAGTGTGGTCCTTATGAATAATGAAGAATATTCTAAGACATGAAACGTAGTCAATGCAATTTTCTTAAAATTTTGCTATAGTTTGTCCACAATTGGCTAGACTAGATAAATAAACAATTTCAAACTGCTTCATTGAGAAAATCAATTAGACATTAAATATCTATGACATCCTTGTAAATTAAATGCAAAATTTTATAACGGACTTAGACGTGAATTAAAAAGAAACCTAATTGCCACACCGTACCTTGTATCATTATTATATGGTTGCTCACATTCACCAACCCTATCCAGTCCAGCCTTACGTACGCTCATTTTAATGATGCTGTGAAAGCTTTTTAGAAACATATGCTCTCATCTAAAAACCCGTTTTTGGAGAAATTTCTCGGGGGGAACTTCAGGACACAAATGTTTGGAGGGCCTTAATTTTACAGACAACAGGATTTCGAAGATAATTAATAAAGAGTGCCTTAGGACGCTGACTATCTGAGAATCTGCCTGCCAACAGGGTATTTTTTCCGCTAAAAATTCCAGGCCATGATTATACCTTTTCTCTCTTTTTTCCACCATAGGTATGCCGATTGAATGTATCACGTTTTCAAGTAAAATGTTTTCAGAATTTTATTCCAGGACAGGGTCATAAACTTTCATGATAGAGGCACAAGACAGGCGATGACATGACAATGAGAGTGGGTAATCAAAAAAGATTGATCCTCGCTTTCACTACGAGGCTAATCATAATGTTTTGCTTTTACACTGAAGTACTGAGGAATTGGGATGGCAAAAGATCTGGAATCTTCTGGTCAAGAAGAGAACTTAAACATGGAAGATATCAGGATGAAACTGAACTTAAAACGAAATAGATATCCCTACAGTATCGTGTGGACACCTATACCGTGTCTGACGTAAGTATACAGGGTACAATTTTGTTACATCTTACTAATTGCTTCCATAAGCAGAAACCTTGAGGGCCCCCTAACCTCAATGCCAAGGCCAATTTGCCATCGCCACCACCTTTCGGTAACCCTGAATGTGATCTTGTTTTTTGTGTTTATAAAAGCAGATCAAATAAAACAATTTTAGATCTTGGCCCTAAAAGGGCACCCCTCTGCTCAATTTTTATGGCACCTAAGCAATGCAAGGGCACTTTTTGATTATGCAGTTGGCAAAAACAGCAACACAGTGAACTGCAAGGGGCAGGTAACCTGAATTTTTGAAAAGGGGGCACATACCTGCTGTGGTCCCTATGTCTTTGCTTGAATTTAAGACATCATTACTGCCTTGACTGATGTGTCGAACATTTGGGAGCCAACGTTGGCAGCGATCTGGAATATCTTGATCAAGATAGTTAAAGAGAGCTCATCAACGAAAAGCTTTTTGGGGTCAAATTGCTTGGCAAATTGATTTTCAGTTCTCATCAAAATGGACAATATTGATTTTTCTCTGGCATGTAGATATCAAGAGATACTTGAAACCTAGATTTCATTAGCATTCAAAATATTGATATAAATTGATATTGCTTGGAAATCAATTTCATGCAAAGGGCACTTTGCTGCCCTTGTGCTGCCCCCGTGGCTCTGGCACCCTTGGATGGGGTTCCAGTTTGTTGGCTGATTACTGTTTTCATCGTTCATGATTTGGTTTCTAGTCACTTTCTTATTACTCTGGTTACAACCTACTTTTGAAATATACTTAGTCAGTCCCTTAAGCATGTTCTAACTGTATTTTACTGTCCAAAAATGCACAAATTAATTCTTTTTTCTTCCTTAGATGGATTTTTCCTTTCATTGGTCACATGGGAATTGCAATGTCATCTGGGGTGATACGAGATTTTGCTGGACCATACTTTGTTTCTGTATGTTTCTGAGCATTATCTTATTTGTTACTAACAGAATTTTTCATGAATAACTGTACCTGAAATTGTTTTTCATACATGACTGATAATCACAGCCAGATGAAATATGATATTTAATTGTCTTGGAAGCATCATTTTCCATTCTCTTGCACTGCAAAGTACAAATTTCATCCCCTTGCCTCCTTCAATTCTTGGAGCCTGGAATCAGTTTTTTAAACCAAATGTATGTTACCCTACAGTAAATTATGAATGAGATACTGTAAAAAATTATCAAGTACACCACTTACTATACAGCTCATTCTTTAACCACATTGTTCTAGTCCAATCGATGTATGATATGTAACCAAATTTAGAAAGTATGGCTTTATAACAACCTTTTGTTATTTATAAATTTCAGGAGGATGATATGGCATTTGGAAACCCAACCAAGTATGTTGGAAAAATACCACATTAAAGTTATTGTTACAACAAAATTTGCTGACAAAGTTTTTGGAAATACAGTGGTTACTTGTTTGTTTGTTGACGCCAAAAATTGGCAAATTTCTACTTTTTGCTTTTGTTTTTCATAATCATTTTTGTGTCCCTTTGCTATTTTGATAGCACTACACCAATGCCCTTTAGCTATCCATGATACCACAAATGATACCACATGATACCACAAATATGATACCATACATGATACCACAAATGATGTTATTTTGGTCTAGACAAATGTTTCTTTTGCTTTGAAGGTATTGGCAACTAAATCCCACCAAGGTGTGCAATGTTAATACAAATTGGGACAATGCAGTCTCAGCAGCATCAGAAGAATACAAAAAACGCATGGTATGCCTAAAGATTATTGCAGCAAATTTTGATTTTAGTTTTAAATCCATGAATTTATTGGTTTGAGCCATCATGCTTGGAAGCCATTTAAGTTTAGCTATTGTATTGCAACTAGTCAGAAGGAGAATTTATAGTAGTGGGTTTTCCTCTATCCAAGCAGCCAATAAACAGCATATTACAGTAAAAGCCAAAGGTAAACAAAAGCCAAAGATTGATAACCTCCAGGCTAAAATACTGCAAATTGATCACTTTGTATAGAAGGACCTCCAGGTAAAATATCAGAGCCATTTCAGCCTGGTACAGAAAATCACATATCATTTTTGTAGAGTTTATTGTAAATTCGTGGTTTCAGTGGTTGAATTAATAAGCAAGCAAGCATCATCATTTTCTGTATCAACATCTGTTTTTTCACTATTTGCATGAATTTTTTTATTGTCAAGAAAATGTTAAACATGTTCAGCAGCACTTCTTTACGTGAAATATAAATTTGCTTACCTTTCTACAGCACAATCTGTGTTGTGATAATTGTCACTCCCATGTTGCCATGGCACTGAACCTGATGGAGTATGATCATTCTCATCACTGGAATATGATTAAACTTTGTTTTTTGATGCTTATCCATGGCAAATATGTCAGGTAAAGATTTCTTTTCCTTTAGTGATGGGGTTGAATTTTTCAATCCATAATCATATCTTTCCTTGTGCTATAAATTCAAAATATTGTCAAGTTTTATTGGCAAACTTTTAAATGCTGTAAAATTTTTACTTCCAAAATGACAAATTATCAAATAATTCAAAATTATTGTATTACCTGTCATGATAAGTATATTTGGGGTGGTAAAAGATTGGCCAAATAATTTATCTCAATTTTTGTAACATTTTCAGTATCAACTTGCAGTTTCCTAATTGCAGCTTTCAAACAGAAAAGTAACATGTAAAAATCATCTACATCTATGCATATAATCAGAAAAGCCCAAATGGGCATCACACTGATGAGGGCGATTACCTTGTATGCAAGAGTCAGCAAAATATGTGTCATGGCCAAAGCAAGGATATGAGGCAAGTGGAAAAATGAGAAAATTGTATCTAAAGAAAAAAAAATATTCATACCTGTTAATTTCTTATGTTTTCTCTTTTTCTTTTAGCTTTGGTGCAGTCATCAAGACATGGTTACCCTTTTTGATCCTGACAGTAGCTATCCTCACAGTAGTTTTAGTTTTGCAGTCTAAAGTAATTTAAAGGCATCTATATTATTGAATGTGACTTTCTGTACAAAGTAAATCTTGAACAACTTCAGACCTTAATTGACAATGGAGTAAAACTTGTCTTAAGGCATTTCGAGGTTATAACCTTTTTAGCTCCTTTAGAATTCCTTTATCACTTCTTGCATCAACTATTGGCAAAAAAAGCGAAAATATAAGTTATTCAAGGTCCAAGGGATTAAAAAAAAAAGTTTTTCGCCCGCCTATGTTACGGCTTCTGCCATATATTGTAATTGGTTATGTTTAATGTACAGTTGAAATGGAGATGGTTCACTGCAGGACATGGAAATCAATGTGCAGCTGATAACCTGTCCCCCAACTAGCATACATCCTGTGTTTAGCTTCAAATCCATCTTTGAACAAGCCCCTTAGAATAAGCAAAATAGGCATAAGAAAGTTATTACTAATTTTTTTACCTTGCATAAGGTTTACGAGTGATATCACTGTCTCTCAGCAGTTTAAATATTCCCCTTCTCAGATAAGCCTCAGCCCTATTAATTTTTTTGCAAAAACGTGCTTAGGGCTTATTTGAGGACCTAATATAGTCTATTTCAACACCACCTTTAAAAACCATTCTATAAAACATCGAGACATCAGTTTCAACACAAATCCCAGCTTGTCTGATTTTTGATCTTTTATAGAGATACAATGGTTTGTAAATGATTGAATTTTTTGTAATAATTAACATAAAGATTAGTTTATATGCACTTCTTGAACTAGAAAAATTTATTGGATCATACACTTAGGGTCACTGCATCATTTAGGAGTCTGTTTTCCCACTTAATTTAAGCATTACAACTTGATCTGTTGATTGTGGAAAATATATACGTAGACAGAGGGAGGGAAGTTTAGCAGGCTTTGTGAATGTAAGGTACTTGTAGCAAATGTAATTTATTTAGAGCAATGATACACTAGCACAAACTGTTACTTGTTGTTTGATGTTATCACATAAGTCTGCAACTAAGGAGAGAAGCTGTCTTCATAAGGTAAAACGTATGCCATGTTTCCTTGGCAGAAAAAGTTAAATACATATAACCAGTATGTGTACAATAGTGTGTACAAGATCACAAGATGATCACCAATACATGAAGCTGTTGGATAGCCAAAATATGTTTATTTAATCTTTCACTGGTTGGAAGAAATGGGAGGGTTGGATAGTTACCAAAGCACAATCAAAACAGATGTTACCAAAGCACAAACTTGTATGAAGGGCTACTCAGCTCCTAAGCATGCTAGTAGACATTTTTGGTTGGTTGGTTTGCACTTAGCTATTTTGTTTGAAACAGTGGTGTAATGGATGCATGTTCTTTAACTTAGCCACACTTTAGTTTCCCAAAATAAACATCACATCCCAAGATGAATACCAAATCCAGAATACCAATTTCTGCCAATATTTTGAATTGCTCTTTATCATACACTCTGGTATAAAATAAACAGCTCTCCTGTTAATATCCGAGTGAGCTATACATAGATAAATAAAAATAGAAACAGAGGAAAATTGCATAAAAGGAGAGTAATTTGGTTTTTTAAACAGTTTAGGAGATCAATCTGCAGTTCTCCCTCAGTATTTGAGAAAAACCTGGAATGGTAAGGAGAGACCTGAAGGTTATGCAAAATATTCAAACAAATTGACAAATGAATTCTTACAACTGATCATTCAATTCAACATTTTTCTCCACAGACTGTAGCTGAAATTCTCAATGGTAATGGGGGAAGGGGGTGTTAGCACGAAGAGTGTTTGTTCTATTTGACTGTGTCAATGCTATTTTGTTGTTTTGTCTTCTGTCTGCTTTTGGCATGGCCTTGTAGAACTAACTTCAAGACAATTGAATGTTTTTTTGACTGATAGAAACTTGGTCCCACAGATGCAATTATACGGAGGGGCACCTATCTGTTATATTCAGGTTCAACTATGCAGTAATGAGGCTTATTGTCTTATTGGTAACAAGGCAAAGGAAAAAATAATAAACACTAACAATTAAACAGTATCAATAATTAAAATCTTTTAAATTTACAATACTAGACTTAAAATATAAACTCTGAAAAATGGGTTGGAAGCCTTTACACAATTATTGTTTCAAACAAATATTTATGTGTTAATAGACTATAATACAGAGCTGTCTTTAATACAGGTAGGTGTAGGAATGTTATTTCTAGGATTGGAGCATAAAAAGTTCATCAAAACAATTTTTTTAAAGTATGGAATTAATTGAAATACTCATTGATTCTTTTTCTTTGCCAAAAATTCATTTTTGGGCCTTGAATTGTTAAGTTATTTTCAAATGAAAATAAAAGTAGCACATGGCATTTGTCTAACAATTAAATCTTGAAAGAAATTTGATAGGAAATAGACTGTAGTCTTCAAAATTGTAGATGATAAAATAACATACTGCGTGAAAGTATCTTAAGAAAATAAAACCCCTTAAAAACTGATTTTTCCAAGCTTTGATTAATTAGAAAGAGTTTGACATTGATTGTCAAAATTGTTCAAATGTCAATAGAAATGTGGATTTTAAAAGCAATGGGCATTAAGCAAACATTTTTAATCATGTTAGTTAATTGGTCTAAATAAAAATGTTGGCAGTGATGCATTCTACAGCATATATATATTTAAAATATACATAAACACAAGTTAACACAGAGTTTTGATATGACAGCAACTAGGGTTGGTTGCGTAATATACTATTCATATCAAGGCCTGGATTGCTTGGATTGAGTTACCTATTATACAAGCAAGTATTTGCAATCAAATTTACTTCACTGCATGAATACTGCGTAAAATTTTCCCTAAGACCATATACTTGTGGTGGTAAGTGAAGAACGCTTTTTGCTTTATAGACCATTTGCTAAGTGACAAACAGGAATTGGCAGATCAGCCATATAAAACCGAATTGCCTATAAGCTAAAGTTTTCTGCTACCAACATAGATGTCCAAGCATATTGCTGAACAGGATATGTTTGCTCTAAGCATGCCTTTGTAATAACCTCATGTGATTGCATAATATAACCGGGTTCTTCTTTTTTTTCACCCTTTCAGAAGAACATGACAAACACCAGGTTAGTGTTAGGGTCTCACAAGGATGTTGCTTCCCCATTTACAGACAAATCCTTGCTCTAGAATCTGTATCATGCAAATAGATTTGCAATACATACAGAAGAAACTGTTATATGGTGATTTACAACAAGATCAAGAAAAAGACCTAGATGTTATATGCCTCTACAATGAGAGTTTCAAACACAATCAATATAAGGAATAAATGCAAAACCCAATTTAACATAAAAATGCCAATTGATTGTTTTACTGTTAAATGGTGATTTATAACAAGATCAAGAAACAGCCCTAGATGTTATATGCCTCTACAATGAGAGTTTCAAACACAATCAATGATTGTTTTACTGGATAATTGGTAAATCTTTCTTTGTGTGTGATGCTGGATCTGCAAATAAACAGGACCCAACAACACTTGCACAGCTTGTTCATGCCCTGACCTTGATTGACTGCTTGAGGCACTGGAATGAGTTTCACATTCACGTCACAGTGGGACATTGTTAGACAGGTGTGATCAGAACCATCAAATGACCACTGTCAGCCGCACTGTCAAGTAAATCTGGAGCAACTCTTGCAAGATGTGCTTGAGCAAACTTGCATGGAGGAAAGATGTGCAGTACATAAGCCGGCTGAAAATAGATACAGAAATTGAACAGTGAATAAAACATTCTTCAAAACACATTTGGGTATGATCAAATTGCTTTATATTTCAGACGCTGTAGCCAAAATAGTTTTTATTTCCATTTCTTATTAAGGTGTTGGCAAAACCTAGTGACCAAACAAGCAAGCATTCCTAAATGATGATGCAAAAAGAAGTATATGTATGACAAGAATTGTCATCTACTTTATACCTTTACAACTAGAGGGTAAAAATATTTCTTGTCACTTAAAGAAGGTTCTCTGCAAGTAATATAAAGAAATTCTACGAAATCTAGAATCCTCTTCTTTGAAAAATTAAATTTAGCCTCTAGTTGCATCTGCAGAATGCCTTAAACATAATTCTGGAAGCAGCAGCTATTGAAAGCGGCAGCTATTGAAAGCTCTGGAATACACTAAACAAATGTCATCTGCCTGGGACGCAGAACAGGAAAAGGTACCCTGAGCTGCTTGGAAAGCGATCCTAATATTTCCCATATTTGCAGAATCATGAGTACATGTTTACTCATGTGCTATTGAAATATGGGCAATGATTATAAATAACTACTTAATCATAACAATGATTACAGAATTGATGACTGATAATCATTATTACTGATGATGAATAATGATAATAATAATGAATACAATGATTAATACTGCTTGCAAAGATGATAAGTGACCTAAATAGAAAATTGGCAACAGCTTTGTGTAGCAGTGGTTATTCAAGACCTGGCTTATATACTGTGCTGGAAATGGAAATGAAACAATGAAGGTAACTTACCTGCTTCGTTGCAGAATTGACTATATTGATAATGCCAGCAGCTTGCTTGACTTGCAAGTATGTGATGAAGCCAGTCTTAAGTGCGCGTGTTTGGGCATGCACATCCAATGGGTCTCGTCCACAAGGAAGTGCTAACAGCATACAATGATCATTTGGTACCTGTTTTGAGATAGTGTATCATAATCAAGCTTCCAAATACAACAAAATACTGATGGGGAACTAGCATCACTTCACAAATCACATAATTTTTTGTCATCAGCTTCTGACGCAGAACATGAAGAGAGCTATGTCCTGCCTGGATAGCGATTTCACTTTAGTCCCAATTGTTTGATCTTTGGATATGTGTAATCAAAGATATTGGAACTGGGACATAAGTACAAAGACAGACCTTTGAAAAGTAAAAGCAAGAGCGGGCAGACAGGAGAGAAAAATAATTTCAGCATATTTCAAGCAAAGTCATGAATGGCATGCCCTCTTAAATTCCTAGCCTCCACACATGATTCATGCTCCCAGGGGACCTTACAATTTTTATGAAAACTTGATAGCCTTTTAAATGCCATGTATGTATTTGATGGGGAACGGGAATGCCATCAAGATAATGCAACACATTAGAGATTAAAAATTACTTTAGAGAAAATAAACAAGAAATTCAAGAAACAAAAGTGAAAAAGAGTAGTAAGTCAAGACATGGAAATGCGCGTGCATAGAAAAGCAAGCCTCTGCAGTCTTAGGCTGTGTTCATACTGGGCGCTGTTCATACTGTATGTTAAGAGTGCGAGTTTATGCTTGCTTGCTCCCACTTTTTGCTGTTTACATTGGCTGCTATTTAAAACTTGATCAATGGCAAAATTCATAAGAATTCTTTTGTTTAAAATATGTTCATGTTTGTTGGAGACCGCCAAATTCGAAATGCAAGAATTGGTAAAAATGGGGCGTACAATCATCCTTTAACAGATTAAAACAGATGACAAAATGAGGTCCAAAGAGGGAGAATTCACCGGATTTAGCATCCCATCTTGTCAAATAGCCACTAAAAGCAGGTTGTTTATCAATTGCAGCGAGAAACTCCTTGGCTACACGAGCTTGTAACTAACCTGGCAGCTAACAAGCAAAATCACAGTAACTAGCGTCTTTATATTCGCCAATTTGAACACTACCATAGATTCTATAGAAATTATCTCATAGCGACTGGAGGCGCTTTCAAGACTGTGCAGTGCGAATGCAGCCTTAGGCATGTATAAAGGCGTGTGCATGCGACCACACACCTAATATTATCAGGACTGCCTAGTTCATGTTTATCTTAAGAAAACTTACCTTAATTCTCTTATTTACTCCATCAAGTTGTGATGCCTCCAGTTTCATCCTTTGAGATATCCTTAACGGAGGGGGGACTTCACCAGCCAGGACTGATCTTGGTAATGAGGCTTCTGCTAATCTGACATTACCTAATGACAAAAATGACATTCCTTCATAGGATGGCAAGCTATAATAAATGAAAAACCAGGGGGAAGGAGATGTGTTTCCTTATGTCAACAAAGGTATCAACCCCCAAACCTGATGCTAGATACCAGAATAACCTGATTCAAGCAGCTCTTATCAACGAAGATCAATTTGATTGTAATGAATCTACCATGCAACAGAATTATTTATCATCAGCCATGAAATAGTTTATCAACAATACAGCCATTCATCAAGCATGATATTATTATACAAACAAGCTTGCTATTAAGAAAGATTTGAAGTTGACTGCAATTTGTGCTGTTTTGAAAAACATGACAGCTTTTTTGTGATAAAGACTGACACTGCATTTAACTTTGCATAAAACTACATTTTTCTGAGGGAGAAAGATGGATGTAGGACAAGATTAAAAAATTAAGTACACTGTAGTATAGAGTCCCACAGTAGCCGAGTGGTTAAGACGCCAATCTGCCATGCCAGCGCTCCGGGTTTGATCCCAGCTCGCAGACAGCCCTCAGTTCACTCAGCTGAGTACCTAGTTGAAACATACTAGGGAGGTGAAAAGTGGTGTGGAAAGGAATTGGCTACCTTACCACACAATGCTGTGGCTTAGGACGATGCACCCCCAACAGCAGATTCCCTAACGTTCGTTATCAAATACAGGGCTAACCTTAACCTTTACCAAGACATTTGGCAGGCATTGTAGGTTTCAACAACTTACCTGAAAGGAAATGCATCTGCACTGCAGCTGAATCGTTTTTCAAAGCAAACAGACCTTGCCACATCACCGGATACCTTCTCAGTAGATCAAGCAAAGTGTCAGCATTAGTTGGAGGAGGGGGCGGAGGAGGTGTGAAATGTGCTGGGGTGGATGTGCCTCCTGAATTAGGAGCACTGGGTGTAATCGCTGAGCCAGGTGTACCACCTGGGCTGTCCACATGTACTGAGCCTGGCAGCAATTGTGGAACTGGCTGCTGGTGGATTGCTGGATCTGGAAGGCCTGGAAAGAGAAGACAGGGAAAAATTTACCTTAACATTGGGGCATGGCCACAAGCGTAATGGATATTAACGTTATAAGGAATACAAAGAAACTAGCAAAGTGTTCTTCACAATTTATGACGAATATTTCAATGTGTAGTACCATTTCATTGCTACTGGTTTCTAATTCATTTACAGGTCATTGACAGTAAAAATGTCCGCTTTATAGAGTGCAAAGGGGCGAGCAGGCTTTCGATGTGTTACTGCAGAGTTTAAATTGATATTACACAAATAATCAGCCTTGAGCCAACAAAAAAGGAGGCAATGTTCCAAGTAACATGTTTTGCACTATGGTGATGGTCTTTATTCTTGCTTAATCAAAACCCTCGTTGTATCTGTTATTTAATAAAAAATGCTTTGACAACTACAATCAGCTTCTAGTCCCATAATGGTCCCATAACGAAAGTCCCAAAGTTAAGTATTACTATTTGTGATTCTTATTTGGAATGAGAAATTAGGAGCGCCTGTATGCCTTTCGTTATCAAAGGAAATTTCACACACCGTGCAAGCGTTAATTCAATTCAGCAATGCTGCTAATTAAGAATAAACATAATAAAAATTGCTGTAAATGCAGCCAACGTTTTCGTTATACATTTGCAGTCTTTGCCTTCATTATTTATAAATTTCACCATGGGTGGCAGAAACTTAACTTGTAAAGCGTTTGAGGGTTTTTACCGTCCACAAAATGTAAACAAAACAGAACATCTCTCAATGGAATTCATCAGAGTATGGATATGGTCACATTTTCCTTATCTTTGGATTTCTAAATGTGTGATTACCCAACGTTTATAAACAAGTGTTCCAGATGAAGTCAAACTTCGATGTTTAAGGAAAGTTCTACAAATTTTCACTGCTGGTACAGTTGTGCCAGCTTCTGGACATTTGTGTCCTGTGCTGGCACTACATCGCTGTGTCCTTTCAGCTGTACAGATTTCTATTTGATGGAGAGTACATATGTATCTCTATTTCAGTAGCTTCAGTAAGTTAACAAAACACCCATTTGGCGAGTGTTAGATGCTCCAGAATCCACACGCCATTATCGACATGGTGAACTATCTGGAAACTGTGCCTTTAATGAAGAATTCAACATTGCCCAGGTTTACAAATTTGTGTCGAAAAATGTGCTTGCGTTTTCTAACAGGACAAAAGCGCCGTTCGGTTTAGGGGTACAAACAAGAGAAACATAGATTTTAAGTTCCAAAAGTTAAAAACGACAACAAACTACAAAATACGATCTCTACTTAAACTGAAATCAGCTGTCATACAATGTGCGATGAAAACGATGAAACAGGACAAAATACGATACATGAAACTTGTGTTTACCTCCGAAACGCGAAAATGTAGGGAATTCTAAAAGTTTATTGTTGGAATTTAATATTTTATCATAACTCTCACCGGCCAGTACATACGCTGGAATTCATTTTACCCAGAACTACGCAAAGTCAACCTTGTCAAAACTTTAGTACACAGGGCACTGATGATCTGCTCGAAATCTAAACTGCACGCTGAATTGGAAAAAATCTAAACGATCTTTCTGGACAACGGCTACCCAGAAGATGTCATTTTATCTTATATTAAAAAGAGAATATAGCAAGTTTTTCGGCCGTTCAAAGGTTTGGTCCGCAAAAGTTCCCTGTTTATTTGAAACTACCATGGATTGGTAACAATTCCTTGCGATTCGAGAGTCAGATTAGGCAAGTCATAACAAAATGTTTTTTGCTGTCAATCCTCGTATTGTTTACAGCACTAGGAGAGCCCTTACATCCATTCAAAAGGATTGCGTTCCTACCAACCAAAAAAGCTCCGTTATTTATGAGTTTACGTGCCAGTGTGATTCTGGCTACGTAAGACGCACTACCCAAAAATTGGGGGTAAGTATAAAACAATATGTTCCTTCCAACATAAGAAACAAAGCTGCCCCTCAAAGAGAACAGCCTCCTCGATCTTGTAGGTCTAGAAACACTGTTAAAACAAGTGATTCTGCCATCGGTCAACATCTTTTAGACAACCCAGATTGTGGTATACTCTATAAGCTGCCCTAGTGAACAGAAAATTCCATAAGATAGGGTAGAATAAGCAAAACGAAGTTTCTACTTCTCTAGTTCAAAAACTGGAACGAAATTCCTACCAGAATTCGAGATAAAGAAGCAATCGCTTGTTATAAAACAGGGTTTTATCGTTTTTCCCCTAAACATATATTGTTAAAAGGTTGTGAATTTGTTGATTTTTCAAGCTGAAAGGTGTCCGTGTATAAAAATCGAATTTCCTCTTATGTTTTGGATGCGTTATAACTTCGCTACACTGTAGGCTTCAGACTTGTCTCTCCCATTCAATCCAGAAATTTACCTTCATCCACTATTAAATCCAATGAAAGCATAAATATATAAAATATCTAGAATGTATTCATATAGAAAAGTGAGTACTTACGTTGCTCTTTCCTTGGTTCAGGGGGTGGTGGTGGAGGAGGCGGAGTTTCTTCTTTAATTTTCTCCCTTCTTTCCCTGTCTTTCGTTTTTTCCCGCCGTTCGGGTTGATCACGATAATTAGGCCGCTCTGTATCTTTACGATGAAATTCGTGTTCACGTTCATGGCTACGTGGAGGAGTCTGCCTCCTTTCCGTACTTCTCCCACGCCGTCGTTCTGGAACACGACCCATTGGCGATCTGGGCCGCATGTGTTCTGGTGTTCGCGGACGTCGCACTTCGTGACGGGACTCAGGTGATCTGGGCCTTCTATCCACTCCGACAGGGTATCTCTGCAAGGGACTGTGCACTCTTTGCTCTGGTGGTAGTGGTGGAGTATGTCGCCCAGGCCTCTCTTGATCTCGAAATGGCTCTCTGTATGCACGCGGCCCTCCACGTTCGAATCCTCTGTCTGGCAAGTCATCTCGCCCCCGTCCCGGCACATCCCTATCCCTATTGAAAATTCGGTCCCGCCCAATTCGGTCTTTGTTTCGTTCATCAATGCCACCTCTAAACGCCTGTTCATTTCCACGAACATCACGTATATCACGCCCTTCCCTGAAGTCTCTAGCCTCTCGAACTTGCTCCCTGAAACCCCTGTCTCTGTTATCACGAGTGTCTCTTACCTCACGATCATTACGGAAATCTGGCTCTCTTGGTCCACGATTTTCTCTAAATTCCCTGTTATCATCAATAATCTCGTCCCTCCTCCTGCCTTCCTTTAGGTCCCTTTCCCTTCCTCTAGGAACAACTGGCCTCCTTTCCGTGGGATGCATCCTTTCCACCGAATGTTCCAGCGAATGTCTCCTTCTGGGTGATAAACTTCTTTCACTAGAACCTTTCCTGGCTAAAGGCTCCCGTCTACTTCGATCAGGTGAAAAGCGTCTTAATTCCGGCGACTTTGGTCTGGTTTCTAAAGAGCTTCTATGGCGACTAGCACTTTCTCTTTGTTGTGGTGATTCCCCTCTTCTCACTTCCTTGCGATCTCGGATGTCCGGTGAGTCCTTTGACGATCCTCTGAAACTCTTTATGTCAGATTCTAAAGTTCTCTTAAATGGAGAGGCTTGAGTCTCTCTAGAAAAATCCCGTTTTGATTTCCCCTCGTCTTTTCGATTTCGTTCATTGGGGCTTTTCACTATTTTCCCAAGATCCGAATCATGGTCAGAAGATGACGAAGTTTGCTTTCCTAACCTATCCTTTTTATGCCGTTTTCTATCTTCCGCGGTCATTCGTTTTTTATAGTTAGCTTCCTTCATTGACTTTTCTAGCTCCTTCTTCTCCTCATCTGATTCAACAAATGGTGATCCATCTTTTTCACCAGTCGCAAGTGACTTGGAATAGGATGTGTAGCCAGGCAAAGTGCCCTGCATTCGCAACGTGTCTTCTTCAAGGTCAGGAGTGGGTGGCGTTCTTCCTGGGGAAGAAGGTCCCAGGGCGCTGTCTTTCAAATGTCCAGAAGCTGGCACATCGCGTTTCAAATGATCTATATCCATAGAATTATCATCTTCTTCATCATCGATATCTTCCAAATCGCCACTGGAGTCTGACTGCGACGAATAAATATCCTTTGCTGCTGCGTTTTTTGAAGAATCACTTTCATCACCAGAATCATCACCTCTTCTTTGCTCCTCTTTCGCAACTTCCTCACATTCTTTAACTGCCAGCAGCTTATCATCTTCTTTTAAGTCTGGCATTACTCCTCCTTTACCCTCCGCTTCATTCTTTGCATCTTTTTTCAGTTCCAAACTTGCAGCTCTTTCATCACTTTCACTTTTTGTTTCATTACGTACATGGCTACCATCATTTACCTTTTCAACTTCAGCTACTGTGTTGCCTGCATCTTCTATATCAACTTTAAGTTCTGCTTCGGTTGCATCAATTTCCTTCTTATCAGCAAGTTCTTCCGCTACTTTATCAGTGATAGCAGGATCTTTACTTGAACTGACATCCATTTGTGAATCGCCATGGCTCTCTTCTTTCGCATCCATTTCATCAATAACAAGGTCAGAATGGTCAGAATCTGAGTCCTCATTTCTATTTATCGCATTACTCTCGAAATACTCATTTTTTGCACCATCAAGCCCATTATTATCTACCTTTCTTTCTTTGTTTTCAATTTTTTCCGAGCTCTCACCTTTCTTGCCCTCCTTCTTTTCTTCACGATCCAATTTCCTCAACTCTTCGCCTTTTTTCTCAAGGTCCTTTACCTTCTCGCCTTCTGATTCACTAGAATCTATCTCTCCCTTTTCTTTTTCTTCTTTTTTCCCTTCTTTCCTATCCAAAACGTCGACCTTCTCTTCCCCCCAGTTATCTTCTTCTAATCCTGGCGTAGGGGGTGTTCTGGTCGTTTTTTCGACAGGGAAATCTTCAATTTCTTCCTCTTTGGTTGTGTGATAAACCTGCTTATCTGCTTCTTTTATATGTGCCTCTCCGTGCGTTTGTACGTGTTCATCTGGCTCTTCCTTTTTCAATGGAAAAACCTCACCTAAATTGTTTTCTTTTAAGCTAAGACTAGTCGGTTCTTCATTCTTTCCTAATTCCGCTTGGAGCTTCTTTAACTTCTTCAACTTTTTAAGTTCCTTCTTCCTCGCTTTGTCTTCTGCCGCGTGTCCTTTCTCTGATGACTTTCGCTTCTTTTTCTTCTCCGGCTTCACTACTTTATCTTCGTCTGCTTTCTCTTCTCCAACTTTATCACGCCCACCGTCAGTTTCAGTTAAGACATCTTTATCTGCTCCTGCATCTGAAATTTGCCGTTCTGCTTTCTTCTTACTTGACTTCTCCTTCTTGTCTTTCTTCTTCCTCTTCTCCTTCTTCTCAGGCTTTTTGTCTTGATCTTTTACGGCATCTGGAGAAATCTACAATTCAAAGAAACTCTATTGGGTAGCTGTTTACAGAAGAAGTGAAGAAAATAACTTTTGGTTCTCTTTGTGAATCTCTAGCAAAATCAGCAATCAAGATCAGTATAAGAAAACTGATGATCGCACAGGCAACAATCATAACATGACTTTGAAAGCATCTTTTTCTGATAATTTTTCTCAGCTGATTTGTACAGAAAACTTTCGAATTTAGGCTTAGAGACATACATACATCTTGTTTTACTTCATCTGAACCATAACGCAGCTTTAACATGTCAACAAAAATGAAACACCAAAAACTTATAGAATACTGGTCATTCGTTTCATTTTATAAAACAAATAACATCCTTTTCATTTCGGCTTACTTCAATAAACAGCCAGGCGAAGGACATTTTCAAGATATAGTTGGCTTTGAAATCTTGGCAACGTAGGATTTAATGCCAGAAAAGAAGAACATGCAGAAATATGCTTCTGTCTCTTAAGCCATCACAAAGTTCACAGAAAATGAAAACATTCTACCAAAAGACTGTCTATCGCAGTCGCCCATCACCAAAACATACCATTGAACAGAAATATATACTTTAGGAAAACAAGACTGCATATATATGAGCAATTTTCCCTAATCCTTTATTTTACAGCTTCGGAATCTCACCATCCCAAGCTTTCTATTTGTACTATACCACACTTAAACTTTTGTTTAAAAATGCATATTTTGCCCTTTCTTTTCCCCATTTATGGTTGCAGAATGTAAGCTCATATCTAACTCCAATAAACGGCTACCCAAAAATAATACATTAAGACCAGATTAAGACCAGAACATTATAACATCTATGCCTATACGTACATCATGGGGCGAATTTTGATCCTTTGCTTCGATATTTGGCAAAACTACTTTGGACTGGATATCTTTGCCATTATAATCATCATCATCTTCATCACTTCTGCCTTCAAACACGTGTGCTTGGTCATCGTCCGATAGTGGAGTGAATGCTCTTTTACGGTCACGTGTCTTCTCGCGAACATAATACTCTCCTCGTTCCCTGTGACGACTAGAATCTCGCTCAGGCCTCCTTCCAGATTCTCGTTCACGCTCTCGCTCACGCTGACGGTGCCCATAATCCCTAAGTTCTTTTTCATAGTCATCATAATCGTCTTCCATATAATAGCTTTCTGGGTAATAGTCCTGGGCTCCCTAAAATTTCAATGTGACTTTGATTAGCAAAAATGAAAATGAGGAAAATGAGTTTTTGTTGAAAAAGATGACATATTTAATAGTTGTTGGAGGGGTCATCCCATTTTCTTAAAAAGCCGCAGTATTATGGTCTCGGTTTAAAACTTTATGAACAAAGCCAAAATTATAGTAATCCGTTAGCAAACTTTGACCTTTCACTGGCCATATTTTAGCAAATTTCTAACTGTGTGATTGACTTTGCATTAAAAGAAGTATTCTACAGTGTGTTTTTTTGGCCCAAGATTTACAAATGACGTAATAAAACTACCACAATATTGATGAGTATGATCATAACTGGAAATTATTGCCGATGATAATGACCAGAGGCAATGATGAAATGATGATGGCTGATCGTGACTATGATGACTGATTGTGATTATGACGATTTATTATAATGATTGTAATGATGTTGATGATGCAGATCATGATGACCTAAAGATGACGAATGACGATTGGTAATGGTGGGCGATGGTGAAATGATGATGGCTGATCGTGACTATGATGACTGATTGTAATGATGACGATTTATTATAATGATTGTAATGATGTTGATGATGCAGATCATCATGACCTAAAGATGACGAATGACGATTGGTAGTGATGGGCAATGATGAAGCGATGATAACTGATCGCACTATGATGTATGATTATAATGATGGGGATGAGGATATCTATACGCTGATTTCATAACTACATATTCAAGATATTGATTAACCTGAGGATAATCGCCAAACTCGCCACGTCCTGAGCCATATCTCCCAGTATAGCCATAGCCTTTTTCAAAGCCCCCTCGAGAGACTCTCGCCCGTCCATAAGATCCCTGGAAGCCCTGATGCAAAGGCCCAGTGGGTCTTGCCGGGGGAGGCGATGGCTCCAGATTCCGCCTATCCAACTGTCCAGATCTTTCCATCCTGTCATAGAAGCCTTCTTTACAGCTACGGCTTGCAAAATCCACCTAGAAATGAACTCAACATATCAACATAAGGGACTCATTCTGCCGAAAGGCTCTTTGACGAGTTTGACATTAAGTTGACATGTCCCCAAAGCCTGGTACGCGTACAATTGGCAACATAAGGAAATGGAAATCCCAGTTCTGGCGAAGAAGGCGTTTCTCAATAGTAACTGAGAAGGCTACAACTCAAGGATATAAAAATCAAATACATTACAATGAGCAAAAGCACAAAGCATCTGAGGTCTCGCTGCCCTAGTGAACTGCATTACTCAAAAAATAACCAAACTTTGCCTGCAAAACTATGGATCGCCTTGGCATAACAATAATACAAAGTGAAATTCAGATATGATTTTATCCCCCTCCCCATAACTGAAACAATAAACTGTTAATTTGAATGGGAACGAGAGGCAAGGGCTCAGGAAACACTTCATATTCATACAATGAGAATAACCTGAATACCATATCCATACACATTACGTAACACAATGAAAAGAGGCCAAGCCTACGTCATTCCTACAACATAACAAAGAAGGAAAGTCAGACTACAGGCACGTAATCTTACCAAAATCTTTCTCCCCAGCACAAATCGGCCTCTCATGTTCTCAAAAGCAGCAGTGGCAGCATCTACTGTGTCAAAACTAAGCAAGCCTTGGCAACACTGACGATCGAAGATGACGCGTTTCACATAGCCGAACGGGTGAAACTGCCTCTGGATTTGGCCTTCAGTTGGGTTTTGAGGCAGATTTCCTAACCATAACACATTCGTAGGGGTTCCACGGCCGTAACCAACCTGATAATAAACCAAAGAAAAATCATTGCCAAAACCAAATAAAAAGCAAATATGCATACTCTCAGGTAAATGAGCCGAAATTTCTAAAAATTGCCCACAATGAAAACAATTGATGTTCTGGGCATAATAACCGATAACACTGCATAATGATTTTCATGCTTATCACTCATGCAACCGACAATTTTTCAGGAATATTGACATTTTGCTTCTAGAGTGGCATGAAGTTTGAAAAAAATTAGCAACTAGTCAGCTAGTATGATAGCTTTCAATCCCTGTTGGAAGAAAGTGTCGAAAACATAATCAAGGATTAGTTTCCAGTTTAGGCCAACGCTATGCATTAGCAGAAACATACTAGTAATATTGGGCTACAAAAGCAAAAATAAATCCTACAAATACTGTTGTAGACAGTAAAAGTAGATAAAGTGTTGAGAAAAAAAGCGCGAAACGTTTGAATAAAGATTCAAAAGACTAAATAATTTGAAAAAGAAAAGATGAAAATGAAATTAAATGATAATTACTCGGACAGATGGCTTTAGATTTAACCCCCCTCCCATCTTCGAGTTCATTGCTGATACCTTTGCTAATATGATACATAAGCTCCAACTTTGGATCAAGCGGGAGGGGGTAGATTAGACTATACATGAATGCTACCGGGCAAGTGGTTAGAAGTTTGTCTAATTTACTTTGTTGCAATATTTCTTGCCTACCCTGCCACTAACATGATTTCTGCTTCACTGCCTCGGAGAACGACCCATAAGTCTTTCAGCAAAAACACTTCATTGTGGACAAAACTGATGCTTACCTTGATTCTGTTCCTCCCAATGAATTCTCTGTCCATTCTGTGTTTGGCTCTCATTGCTCCATTGATATCAACAAATTGAAGGAAAGCATATGTCGTTATACCAGGGTTCTGTTTCTTTATGTCAATATCCTGTTTAAAAAAAGTTTCACTATCCTGAAAATGTTTCACAGCAAGAATTTGTTAAGATCTATACTTTTAAAATCCCGCACGTTCTGACGTGCTTCATTGTCAGGTGGGAAGAGAAAGAGAAAAGATCGAGCCAGCCTAAGTCTAGCTAAGAACATGCGCAGGAGTGAATGGGTCTTAAGGCTTGGAACGAAATCCCTACTACCATCAGGGAGCTCTCTTCTTTGAAACACTTTGAAAAACACCTCAAAATACATTTGAAGAGCTGAATTCAATGCAAACACGACTCCCTGGAAGATCAGTCTCACCCTAGTGTTATGAAAATTTATGTATATTTCTCTTGTATGATTGTAAATTTACTTTTTGCTGATGGGAATTTGTGTATAAATAATAAATTATGATAATAATAGCAATAATAATGATAACAATGCAGTTAGAAACTCAACAGAAGGCTACAAAAACAATGAGGGTACCAAGCAATCACATTAGCTGTGATTTCACCTTTGGGATTTGGCTTATGACCACATTGACTATGACATGAAGAATGACACTGTAATGACACTGTAATGACACTGTAATGACACTGTAATGACACTGTAAGCAATTGTGAAAATCAGTCAAACTAAAATTAAGATTATCACGAAAGCGTATAGGTGAAACTCACAACAACATCACCAAACTTCTCAAAAATTTTCCGCAATTCTCCATGAGTCACAACCTTGTCCAAATTACCAACAAACAGAGTCCTTGTTGCCATTGGATCAAAGCCAACGTCTTCTGAGGACCCAAAATCCTTTGAGCGATGCTTTTTCCTGTACATGTTGAAATTAGCTTCTCCTTCCTTGTCTTTGTTCTCACCTACAACGAACAAATTTTTTTCTATATATAAATATATAAATATTCCATATAAAGATTTACACAATAAGAACACGATGCAACACAAAAAACCAAAGACAAAAAACTTTTGCAACAGAAGACTATACAAGAAAGAGCCTAAATAGTTTTTCACATATTGTACCCCTAACATATTTCCCCTGATATCCACCATCTCGGGATTCCCCCTCAAGATCCCTCAGAAGAAAATTAAGGTGAGAATGAATATTTGAAGCCCTTCAAGCATGCAACCCTAATACAATCCAACAAAATTATTCTGGGACTTAAAATACCTTGTAACCATTTCAAAAATGAATCTTTGAATATATCAAGCAGCAAAATCTATTCATATTAGGATCTGCCTTCACTTCAATAAATTTTTAAAAGAAATTTGTAATTTAAAATTTCGCCATTTTGATATTGCATCTTTTTAAGCATACCCAGAAGTACTCAAGTTGGACTCATTGCACCAAAAGGCGCACAAGATGAGGAAAGCACTTGTTCACAGAAAAAGAAGGAAACCACATGATATTTCATAAACAAAATTATGTTATATTTTCAAAATCTAAAAATTGTTGAACCTTTGAATATCGAAATTTTCATTTCGTTCCCAAGGAAAGTTTTATTGTTTGACTGCAAGCTCTTTTCAGCATCTTCAGATCTGGAAAGGAAGTTTTTTTAATAAATTACACAAATGTTCTATCACACTTTATGCTTCAAAGTCATATCTTTATGCTTTGCTTGCCTGGTAAATAACTGATACCAACACAGTCACATACTACAAAAAACACATTTAGTGGGAAACTACTTTCTGACAAAAAATTCCCATATGTGAGTTATTTCTTTACAAATGTGGGGACATATATAATGTAGGTTAACACTATAATAAATGCAATTAACCATTCCTCTACCACATATAATAAATTTTCTAGGGCAACAACCCCAAATTAGTTGGAAATACACCTAAGTCAGGAATAGAGGACTCATTTCTAAAATTCCATCAATCGTGAGTTTGAAATTATACAACTAAATTAAATGCTTGCCTAAAAGGGTTGAAACCATCACAAAATTCACCTTTAGAAGGTGGATAAGAAATTTCAAAGAATATGGAGAAGACTTTTATAGGCTATTTCACGGAATTTTTTGTTGCCTTGTAATTTTGGACACTACAGAAGATAATACTTTTAAAAAAATTGCATTCAAAGTAGGAGCAGTATAATCACTCTCCACGGTCCCTCTCTCTTTTGATTCACAGTATATATATAATTCATAAGCTCGACAAACCTTCTGAATTTGATTAGAGCATATCGATCTTTCTCAGTTCCCAAAATCTTTATATTAACAATTTCCCCAACTTTCTTGAATTCATGAAACAGAGCATCTTTGATACTGCCATCTGTTCAAGAAACAAAGATAAAAAATGAATAATTTCAAGAAAAGGGACCAAATTTTCAAAGGGATGGAAGATAAATGTAGTTTGTTTTTGTTCGAATCATGCATTTTGCATAAAAAGTGATTTGTTCCTTCTTGATTTTCACTTGCAAAGAATAATTTGAGAGTTTACTTTTCCAAGCAAATCTAGACCATTTACTGTAAAAAAATCTATAAATGGGTTTCAAAAGTTGATGATGAACTTTCACAGCAGCAGCAATAGCAAGAAAAGGTGGTGAATGCCAACCTATTTGTTAAACATGCATGCTTACCCCCTGGCCTAGTTGACAAATTCTTGATCTGTATTGATGTGTTTTTCTGTGACTGACCACTACCACTGCTTCGAGCTGGACTAGGACTTTTCCCTCGTCCCTCTGATCCACTACCAGAAAAGCTTCTGTCCTCTGGACTAGAACTTCTTCCTCTTTCTGACTGGCTGCTTGGGCTAGCACTGCGGTTTCTGGTATATTTTGGGCTTGAAGGTCGATCTGATTCATGGGATCCTGTTAATGGGATCATGGGATCTTGATTACAACAAAAAACTTCCTGTAATCAAACACAACAAGAGTTTCTACCAAACTCTAAACACAGCTGGAGTTGTTACTTTCACTCAAAACACAATTCTTCCTTCTTACACATTCTTTTCTTCAGTTAGAGTTTCAAGCTCTTGTTAAAGTATTGCTGTCACTAAGTCATCTTGTTATTGTACCTTAAATATTATAAGCGTTTTACAACACAACAAACCAATAAAGAAGAAATTTTTACCAAGTTCAGTACGCTAAATATACCTTCACTATCTCTCCTGGGTCTCTGCCGTTTCATTGAGTACTCAGGCCTTCCATCTCCATATGGATATCTACCTCTACGAGGGCCTTCATCTGGAAATGTGGGTGGGATGCGCTCTCTTCTTGAGAACCCACTACCACGCCTAAATAAAAAACAATAAATCAAATTGAAAACCTTGAAAGCATAAACATCAAATAGCACATTTTGATTAGAGTTGGTCAATCATTTCGAAACAGTTTAAGATCCACCCTGGTTCAAATAAACAACAATGCCCTAAAAAAGAAATTTGCAGAAAGCAAGAGAAGTTGGAATAAAAAAAAAAAGTTATATATATACATGTATTCTATGTATATACATATCAAACTACTGAGGTTTAAAGAATTTCATTTAAAACTTCCTAAATGAATGGATCAAAAATTAAACATTTATATTCACACTATGTTTTATGTAACAAATTCACCTTATTCTATACGGTAAATTGTTTAATCTGAGTCTATGTTGAGTTAAAAATATATACAGATAGCATTTTTTCACTATATTAAAGTTTTAATGAAAATGTTCTTATGAAGAAAATTCATATGAAAACAAAAAAGTCTTTCATCTACCAAACGGTTAGGTCTAATTACAATAATATAATAATCTATGCAATTTGATTACTTTTTTGTACTTTGTTTTTACATTTCCTTATACAATTTGAATTCGGAACAAGTTTTAAATATACGTGAACATAAATTTACAATCTCTGCCAGCCTTTTTCTTTAGAGGTTAAAATGCACATTTTTAAAAGGAGAAATTTATGAAGTGAACTCTAAAAGAAGAAAAATGTTAAAAGGAAAAAGAATATAAAAGTAAAGGTGTGAAAAAACAAAAAAAATTTATATATAATATATATGTATATTTATATAGAAATTTGTCTTTTGATACTTCCGTAGCACAGTGCTCAATACGTTAGCACGTAGAGCGTGATATATCATAGATTGAAGAAAGTAAAACTACATGGTTTATCTCTACAAGCCTGTTTCGTGAGTAACTCACTCTTCAGGAGGATGTATATTTATATATGTATATTATAATGTATATTTATATGTATTCAAAAGCTCATATTTGTAAAATGTTTAAACGATATATATATAGTATATGAAATCAAAGAAAACATTTTCATAGGACGTTTCACTTTTGCTTCAACAGTGAAATTGCTGATAATTACAATGATGGGGAAAGATGGGAAAAATGAGAAATTTGAGGCAAATGATGGCTTATATTTATCAAGAATTTTGATTTTCTTGATCTATAAAACTGCTCCCTGATGAAAAAACATTTTAAGCTGCAATTGGTATTAAAATCAAGAAAAGAAAGTTAGAATTGATTTTTAAGAAGAAGATGAGTTAAAATGATTATCAATGCCTACAGAGAAAAATATTTACAGAAAAATATAGAAATTTCTAGAAATGATGCAGTTTTTGGTAGAAAAACTTTTGGTGGATAACATACACCAAGACAGTAAAAATGACAAAACTGCATTAGAACTTTCATATGGAAATATCAATACAAAGTATTTACTTAGATTGGAAAAAATTATAAAGAAATACCCAGCCTGTTCTTTGACAGATGAGTTCGGATGGAAGCCAAGTTTCTACATTCAGAAGAATTTGAATTTAGTAAAGGGCGGTATGAAAACCTAGAGAGACCACTGACATTGATGTCAGTTCCGTGATTGATATCAATCAAAACCCTCTTGTTTAATCCAGCATGTAACAAGGTTATCCAAAACAAGCAACATCACAATGCAATCCAAGCAGCTTTTTGACAGACTGGCAAAACATTCTTTCCAGTGTTATATAATTTGACAAATCGGAACAATCCGCTCTGAAAAATAACTGCATCAAACTTCTTCAAGAATTTTGAAACGGCATTTGGAAGTGTAACCATCCATGCACATGTTTTCCTATTTGCATCCATTCCATCAATATTTTCTTTAAAAAAACCAAATCACCAGCATTTTCTCCAATCTTGGTGTCAACAAGCAGCTAATCCAGCAAGGTAACAACATACCATTCATAAATTATCTAGTGGCACTTTGGAAATCCATTGTAATCCTCTGGTACTCCATTGTAATCCTCTTAATTTCTACACAGACAGCAGCATCAGCTTTAGCAACATAAAAATTCATTCCTATCACAAAATAACTTTCCTGTTCTCCCCAGGTCTCCATCCTTCCAGGTTTGAAATAAGATCCTTCATACTAACAAATTGCATCTCCATGAATGCTCAAAAAACAAGTTTCTTCCACTTTACAGTGTAAACATAAGCACATCCAGATTTGAACTCCAACTTCCTGCACATTAACATGAGCTGCAATCCAGTTTTACTGTGCCACAACTGCAATGATTCACCAAAGTAAATCAACTCTCCTTTATGCTACAATTTCCAATTAGATCTTCTTTCTAAACATCCCATAATTGCAATTTAAAATGAATATCCAGTACTTCCCAATAACTTTAAAAATCCTTGGGTTATCGATCCATAATTTCCAGCAATCCATGATTCCAAATTAACCCCCTTCTCTGTGTTTGATTCCAGGTAAATTTGAAAGAATAAATCCATTCCAATTCTTCTTATGAACATTATAAGCTGACTCCACAATGAAATTTAATCACCAACTTCACCTTTAATTCCCAATTGGATTCTAAAACATACTGAAACAGCCTGGCAAAAGCTGGAACCATCCTGCCAAACCAAAATCTGTAGATATCCAAGTCTATATCATTTTTGTATTCCAGGAATGGAGTAAAGAATCCTGAGATCACTTCTTTAGAAAGACAAAGATCAATCCAATCAGATCAATAAATCTACCATGAAGTTACTTTTCCAGAAGAAGTCACTTTTCAGATAATTCCACCATGAGTAAAAGTAACTCCTTTATACCATTCTGCAAATTCAGACAGCTTTACAGGCAAAACAAATATGCCTTATCCCAACAAAGTTTTCCTCTGAATTAAACGAGCTTGGACAAACCAACATAGAAGGATGCTTCAATTAAAAAAATTCCTTCAAATGAAATGGATCTGATGCAAAATATTTTAAGAAACCAAATGGTAAGTGTGTAATCCAAAAATCATCAAAGACATGATGTGTCTATGTGATTTCTAATAATGGATATTTGCTCCTCTGTAGAGAAAAAAATACCAAGAGGTCAATTACAGTTTCATAAAAAAGATATAAAATATATATATAATTTATATATTTGTACATTTATACTAAAAAAGGATGTAAGAAATATCCCACATGAGGCAGGAAAATAACAGAAACCCAATCTAAAAAAAATTACTTTTAATATATAGATATATATATTAGTTTATCAGGCAATAATTGCCTGATGATGGTATTCAGTATGAAAGTGAGAGTGGCAACTTGAAGCCATCCTGCCTACCTATTAGAAAATGCAACATTTCTTAGAAACTCCCTTCATGAAGTTGCCCTCTTTTCTGATGGATTGCACCATTCCTACTTACATAAATGCTTCTCACTTTCCAAAGAACTATGGCAATTTCAAGTTCTAGGTAGATATTTGAAGACTGTTTTATAAAACAATTCTTTTTTATAAATTTGAGCTTATAAGCCTGGGGGAATATGTAAAATGGAGTTTTAAATACCTTTTGTGGTTCATTTAGAAAATGGGCAAATATGACAATAGGTGCTGCTTTATGAAGCAATAATGTTGCACACCAAATCCATGACCATCTGACAATGTAGCAATCCCATAAGGATGAGATAGGCTGGTTCCTTCAAGATAATACTGTTCCACCAACCAAATCTTTTCCATATTTTGCTTTTTGCCAAACCATTGCACAACCAAACCAAGTATAAAATCCATGTGAATCAAGACAAGATGTCACAAGAACAGGCAACAGACTGTCCGAATGTTGGAATGGAGCAAATACTGCTGTTAAAGTCTTGACAAAACGAAAGATTAGTCCAAAATCTAGCTGCAACAAACTTACAAGTAACAACACAAAGCAAGTAAATTTGAAAACAACTCCGGCGCCTGCAGAAAGCCTTTAAAATGGCCACCACATTGGTAATCAAATGCACTGGTTACCATCCAACTTACCCTCTGTCATACATATGAGGACGCCCTCTACCTCTTCCTTCCCCAAGCATAGAAGGGTGGTTCCCAGGTTCATTATAGTTAGTCCTCAGCTCTCTATCTCCAATGTAATTTGCTGTCTCATTTGCTTTTGTAGCTGACCGAATATCAACAAAGTCTACAAAGGCAGCTAACCCTCCATCCGGACTCTTCTTTGGTAAGATTTTTACTTTTTCTACCCTACCAAACCTAAAACAAAGAGAAAAGACAGTCAGACAAGTATTATGTGCTATTTTGGCGCTATGATAACTTTTCATCAAAGTAAAAGTAGAATTGATTTTATGAACACATTATCAATATGAAACAACTCCAGACTTAGTGGAGAGGTTCTAACAAAAACTGGTCACAGTGAATCTAAATTAATTCATTAACACATACATATAATTTAATGAAAGATACGAGTCTATCACAGGGAAGCTGCGATATATCTAAAATGGTTTGAATCATATTCAAAACATTGCAAAATCATCCCCTGTTTTGCTATAATTTAACAGCAGCTGGCATTAACGAAGGGAATTCAGAAAGACTTCCTTGTCTGAGACATAAAATGAATTTCAATTTTATATTTTAGTTTTGTTCGTTCAGTCTAGAACGTGTCATTCTTTCGAAAGTTATTGTGCTTTAAACTCTGCTTCGGATGCAATATAAAAGTTCACAGTACGCGAAATTGCAAAACACAAATTGCTGATTCTATCTCATCTGCGACGATTTGGCAGGTAAAATATAATTATTTTTACTTGGTTCACGGTGAACACCCATGACCATTAAATCTGCAAATATCTTCATAATCCTGTTACCAACGACTCAAATACACATACATGGTTCTAGATAATGATAGATTAGGTTAATACATACAAAATTTCAAAGATTTGATGTCGCAGAAGAATAAAAAAGAACAACGAATTCGGGCCTAAAGGCGACATAAATTTGGTTACTCCTCCAATACTAACCTTGAAAAATAGTCCGCTATTTCGTCATCTCGCATACTATCTGGCAAGTTGCCGACCCAAAGATGCCTGGATTCGCGGACCATTATTAAAGTTCAGAGATCCTTATATTTCAATCCAACTCATAGTAAAATTCACTATTTATCTGCCCTTCGAGTCGACTTCTCGTCCAAATTGATTGCACAGGTGTCGATAATTCCCTTTGTCTTTCAATGAGTTGCTTGCAATACTCGATCCAGACCCTTAACCAAATGGGAATTCGAGCAATTTCTACCTGTCGAAAACAAAGGGCGTCTGCGGAAATTATGATGGGCTTGCTCCATAGATTACTGATTCAGAAAATTGCAATAATAATATTTATTTTGTCACTGAAAGTAAAAAAGGAAAAATCTGCTATGACACGCAACTCGGAAAATTCCCCCCTAAAAACTTTTAACCCCCCCCTAAAAGCTGGGTTGGATAATGAAGGGGGTAACAAAATTAAAGAACCGTTGGGAGCGCGAGAGTTGAGGGGGTTGCAGCCTCGAAATAGTTGCCTAATCAATCCCTGGGAAACGTTAGACAACCTAGCCTGCGCCGCAGACCCAATCCTCCAAAAAGAATAGGTCCTATTCTCTTTGGAGGATTGGGTCTGCGGCGCAGGCTATAGACAACCACACTTTTCTTGGCCTCACAAAAGCTTTCTCAGTGTTAGTAACACACAAGAATCTCAGTGTTAGTAACTACTAATTAGTTAGGAGACATCTTTCATTGCATTTTGAAAATGATTTGGATTGTTTTATCAATGTGCGCCTCTACCTGAAAGCTTGGTTTCTCGCCCTTTCTGGTTTCTTTCTTTTCGTCCAATAGACATATCAGGTTTTCCTATTTAAGTTAACTTTATAAATGTTTTAGCAAAACTTCGGTTTTAGGTAACTTCTGCTATTGCGATCGTATCGAGCCCCAGCCTCATCTTGGACATAAAAGAGACGAGGCTGTTCTTGTTTGATCAAAGCGAAAGTGAAACTACCCGATTGCGGTTACTGGACTGGTCTGCACATCGATTTTGTTGACATTTAGTTCACTGAATTCAAGAATGGATATTAAGGATATAAATAACAAATGCTTCTGAAAGGCACGGCAACAATGGCAGTCATTGATGCAGTGGTCAAAGGTGATACTGAAAAATTAGCACGTTTGATCGCGAACGAACACGACATAAATCATACTGACTCTTTTGGAAACACGGCTTTGCACTTAGCACAATGCCCCGCCATTCTCCGACAGTTGATTTCAGTATCACGTGATATAAACATACGAAACATGGAAGGAGACACACCACTTCACTGCTGGTACCAATTGCACATTAAATCGCCAAACTTTGTCTTTGATTTTGACAAGAAAAAGAATATGATGTCAATGTTAATAGATGCTGGGGCTGATTGCGATATTCAAAATAATCTTGGGTATACAGTGCTGCACACCGTGTTTATATATGGTGGCAGCGCTGGTCATATCTTGACTGAGCAGCAGATAAACGAACTAATCAAGCTCGTTGTCGTTGATGGACATGCCGATGTGAACAAAGCTGATTTTGAATTGCAGCTGCCTATCCACCACGCTGTGTGCGAGTCTTATTTCAATCCCGTCCGTTTACTGCTTGAATGGGGTTCAGAAATCAATGCAAAGAACATTTGGGGTGGCACCCCTCTTTATTTGTTATCAAGCAGCGATGATGAAGACCTGATAAAGTTGCTGCTTCAAAATGGTGCTGATCCACTTGTACAGGATCATCATGGTATGACTTGCTTGCACGAGTCCTCGACTCTTGGGAATATAACGTTCATGGCGCTAGTCATAAACCATGAACAGAATTCCGTTAACGAGAATAAACAAAAGGCAGAAACTCTTCTTGTTAACATACGTGATATAAACGGTGCTTCTGCAATACAACTCGCAGCAGCATATAAGAGCATAGAAGCAACCACCCTTTTGTTAAGCTGTGGTGCCCTGTTGAATACACCTGATGACTACGGCTCCACAAGTCTCCATTATGGGGCCTTTGGTGGTACTATTGAAATTGTTACAATGCTAGTTGAATCTGGCGCTGATATACATGCTTTAGATAACAATGGTTCTACACCAATACAAATAGCTCTGAACAGGAATTATTTCGAGACTGCCTCTGCCATTCAGAAAGCAGCTGAAGCATTAGGAAATACTTTTGAAGGATCACCTACCAATGAAGGCTTGCAAATTGAGCAAAAGTTTACTGCTGACAACATGTTCAGTACCTACGTAATGGAAGGTAATTTGTATTCGAATCCATTTGATATAAGCCATGTAGATGAAACGCTTTTCGAAGAACTTGGAACTGTATTTGAAGGTGATTTTGAAGGGTATCTGAAAGAAATGGCCAAAGTCGAAGGGGTTGGCATGATCCCAGACCACGAGGAAGTAAAGCAAATAGAAAAAGAGATTGAGAACTTCATACAAAGGGTAGTAGTTTGCATAGGAGAAATCGACCCGCGTTTCAAAGGTTCAGTTTTGCAAAGCGGAAGTTGGTACGAAGGAACAAAAGTCGGCGACCCAGATGAATTCGATTTTATGCTGTGCTTGACTGAATTTCAAAAACAATGCAGTATCCAAATACAGGATAATCAAATTGACGATATACAAGTCCTGAAAAACAAAATGAGCTCAGGGTTGACGGGGCAATTTTTCCAAGATGGTAAGTTACAGGGTGGCAAGTTGATGGAAAAATTTGTTTCTTTGGCAAAACAAGCGTTGTGCAGAATCGGGTACAAATCTGGTTGCAAGAACTTGAATTTTCAAGGCATAACTAGTCACACATTAGTAGAAAACACTTGGGTTTCCCATGGAACAGTAACTTGTGAATTAAAATTTACATGGACAGGACCACGGTATAAGGGACTGATCATCACAACAGACCTTGTTCCAGCAATATTTGTTCAAAAGTGGCCTTCCTTTGCAGACAGCTCCTTTTTAACCACAAAACTAGCAACAGGTGGGTGCGGCTGTCATGTCGTACCAAAGTTGGGTAAATGGAGGCTATCGTTCTCTTTGGCAGAGAGGATGGTTTTTGACAGTTTGTCCAAAGAGGTAAAACAGGCATATGCTCGTGCCAAGATAGCCTTACATCCAGCTTCAGCAACTTGCTTTTTTACTGTTGGGAAAGAAGACGATTTTGATGAGGAAGGATTCTTGTCTGACGAAGAGGCATATATAGATGAAGAAGATGAAATGGGAGTAATTGTGAATGAAAAAGAAGAGGATAATAACAGCAATGAAATGAAAGAAGAAGAATTGCGAAGCGTCCAGCATGCTTCTAAGATTGTTCGAAAAGGACATGAAGAAAGAGAAGAAACTAGAAAAGGAAAAGAAAAGGAAGAAGAAGGCAGGCAAGATTTAAGTACAAAACGCTTTTTTATCGATTGCAAAGGTAAGGATGAGCCAAAGGGAATAGAAAAAGACAAAACAGAACCCGAGAAGAATGATTTGAAATGTCTAAAAACGGACGAAGTAGAAAAGCTTAGCAGAGTGAATGCAGTTGATATACTTAGAACAACTGAAGAACCCCCTAGCTGCTCATTTGTTGATCTGGAAAAAGGAAATACAGAGAAATGTGCGATTCCTAACGCCCAGGAGCGTTGGTATTTGACTAATGACACGTCTGCGCTCCGTAAGGACAACTACGAAGAGGAACCTCGTATGGCAAGTGTCAAACTAGACACAGTGATGCACTCAAGATTGCTCTCAAATGAAACTGTATCAGCGTTAAAGTTGGAGGATTCGGTTGCAGCTAAAGTTCTGTTGGAAGAGTTAAAGGAAGGCGACCAAATAACGTTAAATTACTACAGTAAGAAAAGCTCCGAGCCTAGAGCTCTTGAAGCCAAATCATTAATCCCATCGTATCTTTTAAAGCTCGTACTTTTTAAATGTTTAGAGCAGTACGACGCACAACAGAAGCAGTCTGAGTCGATAAGCACTGCCATGATTTATCGCGAACTAAAAAACTGCTTAGAAAAAAATGAGCCTGTCCCATATTTCTTCTGCAAAAAGCGTGATTTTCTGCCGAAAGTAATCACCTCGAAGGAAAAAAGGTGTGCCATAGCATTTATTGTAACATTTTTATGTGCTTTGTTTGAAAAATTTGATCAGAATACGAACTGATCCGCAAAGCCTTGGTTTTACTTGTACATGGAGTACAAGCAGTAGATGGAGGATATGGAAGATGACTTTTCATTTTTCAACATATTCTTGTAAGCAAACTGATTATAATATTACTTGTCTTTGATGTATGTAGAATACTTCTTGCCGTCACTTTTTTCTTGCTTGCAATCGCCAAGAGCTCAGAGGACAGATTACAATAAATTATACGGTAAACCACCGAAGAAATGTTGAATACAGTACAAAGAATTTTCAAACATGAGTGGTGCGATTTCCCGGTGTTCCTTGTTTCACGGGTCAGTATTAGTTATAAACTTTATACTCTTTGCACACTGCCGTTGCTTGACCTTCAAGGCTAGGTGCGCGGAGAAACATCAATTGTGAAATCTGACCAAGACATAGATCTACAAAAACTTAGGTACCAATTTAACCTACCTATAGTCAACTCGATCGACAAACAAAGGACTTTGGACAAACTGAACATTTACCGACTAATACCGGTTACCGAGATATAACGATTTTATCGACTAATGGAAAATTTGGGGATGTCCCATCCCATACACCCCTTGCTAGCTACTCCTCTGTCTTTGTAGGCTTCATGCTCAGCGTTGGAAAAATTGCTGGATCTTTCGTGTCCTTTCAGTATTAGCCTTACTTGATATGTTTGCTGTACTGCCCTTAGCTTGTATGTACATCTATTTTTTTTTATTAGAAACTAACGTCCGGTGCTGGTAGACAGTTTTTAAAATTTTCAGGCCATTTTGTTATCAACAGTTTCTTACATGTTTCTTAAATTACTTGGGTAATGAAATTTTTAAACGTGCTTCCAAGGTAAAGTAAATAGTTCACTCACATTCAGAGATAAACTAGCAAAGCAATAAAGGAGTTTTGTTTTCCTAGAATGACTAACTCCGTTGAGATCTCTAAACAGTTAAGCTCATTGAACTCCATCAATGTCAAGTTGAAGTCAAAAAAGAATTTTGAATGGGAACTTCTTGAGTGTGCAATTAACGGAGAATGAATGCAAACTGCATGTCAAGTGTAGTGTTGCAATATACAGTGATGTTCAATGTCAAGATTTTCTTGAGTGTCAACTCGGAAAATTCAAACTTCAAACAATAAAAGTTTCTTAGCTTTTTTTTGATTTGGATAGGGTTGTTTCTTAACTTTCGAAAAATTGAGTCTACCGTTTTTTATAACCTGTTTCTTATAAAAAATACGTGCAGTCTTACTTAGCTTGTTGTATCTTTTAACTTTTATAATCTCATTTTCACATATAATGCAAATTTAACTGTATTATTTAGTTGGTATTATTAATTGACATCGACTGAATGTTGGAATTCACATGCTTTTATAGCTTGTGTCTTAATTTAGGATTTATCTAGATTCCAACAGAACAGAAAGTGCCTCCCCAATAGTTTAGGTTCGAGAACCTATGATTGTATTAGTAGGAGGTTAACAGGCAGGTTTTTTGAACTTTGAATTTTAGGACATCTTCTTTGGCTCTACTAACTGCTAACTGCTAAGAGCCCTGCTAAGAGATTGTGCAAAAAACTATAATGGCGACATGTTTCGGATTATTGGTAAAGCCTTATCGTCGTTCCGCCTAGCAGTTTTGGAATCTATCTACATAAGCACGAAAAAAACCGCTACTGTGTAGACAAAGGGAGTTCGTTTTCACCTTAGGGCTCCATTGGTAACATTCTCAATAGGCAAGCGGCACTGATTGGTCAACCTCAACAGTCATGTGTTCGTGTTTCTGATTGGCTTATTTCGATCCACAAATATATATATTTCCTAGCATAGTGTTTTGATCTATGTTCTGACGTTTTAAACTCTGAAGAGTGTCAGACGAAAAGCTTTAGTTTACTAAATGTTTGCTTTTTTCAAAGCCATTTTCAAGTTTTGTACCACCAAAAGATTGTTTGAATAACTTTTCGGTGAACATGTTAACTCCAGATAAAAAAATTGAAGAACGAACAATATCTTTCCGAATATTATTATCAGCAAATCAATCCTTCATCTTAAATGGCTTACAAAACAGTGGTTTGGTGGTCTTATGAAGAATTCCTTGTAAGAATATGTGGAACAAGCAGTATAGATAAAAACATGTTTATATCTATTTCGTTCAGGTAATATAAGCCAAAAGTATTTGCGATAGATTTTATGCTATTGGTATTTTTTGCAAACGTGAAGTATGAAAAGCCTTTTAAACCCCTAAAAAGATGGAAAAAACTAAAAGAACCCAGGTGTAATATGGTTGGTATCTTAACAGGTCTACAGATCAATAGTCACTTGAGTCAATGCTGTGATCAAGTAGATAATTCTCACACAACATTTTAAGAGGTATTCAGTTATTTTGTTATTTCATATTTCATACTGGGAACCAAAGTTATTTCATATTTCAAGACCTAAAGCCTAAATATTTAAATTTTCATTCCGAAGATCTTAATTATTTCATATTTCAAATACCCCTTATAGGGCCTAAAACCTGGTAACACGATAGTCCTGGAAAGAAGTGAAGTGCGTCGATGATAACAGAAGCCAGAGGATTGGCCACTCACGAAATCTTCGTAATTTCTTTCCTTGCAATGTTCGCCACGACACGAAAATTCAAGTAACTAGAGAGAAGATTATTTTAAAACTCAAAATATAAAGGAATAAATATCAATTTTTTTCTACAATAACCACTCATAAGCTCTGGGTCTGTGGAATGCGCTCAGATTTAAGTTCATAAGTTTATGTACTAAGTACATTTGCTTAGTAGAAATCATTCAAAAATTATGTTCGTAATCATTTCCATTTGCAATAATTAATAAAACAGGGGTATGGTCAAAAGTAGGGCCGCCAAAAATAGGGTTGAAAACGACCAACGTGGCCTACAAGAATACGAGGTCAAATGTTTGAAATTGAGGCTGGCAACACCTTTGGCATTACGGAACATTTCGAAACTGAACAACAGTATAGTAGTGATAAACAGGGATAGTGACTTCAAAGTAAGGTGAGGTTTATTATAATTTAGCATCTGCGAAACTTAATCTGAATATCGGAAGCCAGCACATGCAAAAATGTGGAAATTTTGCCACCTGAAATCGTCAATTGAAATCTCTTCCACCCAGTAGTGGTGATGGGAGATCGAATTTCCAAACCCCTCTCCTGAACTGCCTAGCAGAACAAGAAAATCGATACCATGAGGCCGGTAAAATGGAAGTGCCGAAGAATAACAGTTTTCAGTATCTTGTTAGTATTTTTATTATTTTGTTACGCATATAAACATCAGAAGCACGTGCAATCTTGGATGAGCCATAAGGTTTCTGAGTTCGCTTGGGAGAATGTCCATTGCAAAGGCGTCCAGCGTTGGAATTCGTCAAGCAAATGGCCTCCTGTTGAACAAGTGAGTAAAATGCTACGAATTAAAGACAAACAGAGCATATTTGCAAACGGCCTAGGCTGTGGTCAGTGGCTAGATGGTTTGCACGTGTTGTTCCCTTCCATAAAATTGTCAGGAGTTGACCCGAACCATGGTTCGGTGAAATACGTTCAAAAATTTATCAACGGGTCGTTCTTTGCAAGGCAGCCGTATGATCTTCTTGACATACCGTTTGATAATGAAAAGGGTTTTGATCATGCAATAACAGACGAGACAATTGGTATGCTTTCAAAAGAACAACAATGTAATTCTGTGAAACGAATGCTTCCGTTACTAAAACCTGGTGGTTCATTGTACATTGGCAGCAACTCAGAGGAATGTAACCAAGCGATGGTAGAACTCAACAGCAAGACCTCATTAAACTTATTGCCAGATTGCTATTGGAGTAAGCAATGTTTGAGTGACAGAACAGATGTCGCAGAGATTATTTACATTAAAGAAGGGGTGAATTTTGAGAACCGATTTGCCAATCCACTTCTCAAAGACTGTAAAACATCTGTCTATATTTACAAGCATATCATGATCAACAAGCAGAAAGACAAAAAGCCCCTCCACCCAAACTTGGATTTATATAAAACTTTTGAGCAGCATCGTTGTACGAAGTCAGACCATTCGAGCCCTCATAAGGCAAATGAAAAAATAAAAGAAGGTATTAGAAAGGCAGTTAAAGATATGAAGCTCAGAGGGTTAGATATGCATTAGAGTTTTAGATTAATAGTTTTGATTAATTTACTTGCATTAAATCTCTGTTAAATGCCTTGAAATGCAAGTTTAAGCCAAACTATTTTATGTTCACGTGGCACAGGTTTTAATGCTTTAAATGGTTTCAAGCAGATAGTGATCATTTTCCACAGTTCAATAATATTTTATCTAGTTATGAAACCTCATGAAAAAAATTGAATTTGTATGAATAGGTAATGAAAGGAAACTCTATATAGGATTTAAGTGAACTCCAATAGTTACAAACTGTTCCTTTTTTAGCCCAAGATTTATGTTAAACAAGATCAGCTTTAAATATGAATGATAAAAATCACGAAGAGCTTTGTATTCAAGAATTTACATTCTTGTTGCTCAGTATTCGCTTGCTTAGTCACATTGATCACACACAAATATTTAAAGAATTCATAACTGAAGGCTTATAAAGCACAACCACCAGTTGTTTTATTATTTAAAACTAACACATTTTGTGATTTTCATGAGACATTGTCTGGCAAGTGCTTGGCTAAATCCACATAAAGTATTTCAAATGTGAAACGGACATTTAACTTGTCATGCAAAAGTCAAGTTTCTGGCAAAGCTTTCAGAAACTTTGTTTCCTAAGAGGAGGATACCACAGATAAATATATGATTGTTTTCCCCAATAAATTTTACATTCATTTGATATTTTGATAAGAAACAGATGAAAATATTATTGTTAACATTATGGAGGAATACCAAAGGTACTTTGCCTTATTCTTGTGTCTAAATTCTGCTACTTTATGATACTTTATGAAGATGAATCAAAAGTATCAAGCTAAGAAAACAGTAGATGAAACTAACTTACACTTAATATGCTTACTAAAAACTGGCATGATGAAACATAATTTAAGCCAGTAGAAATTTAAAAGTTCTTTAGCTTTTAATTTCTTAGTTCAAATCCAATACAAAATGCGACAAAAATATTTTAATTTAACAAAATTAAGGCATATAAATTCTTTTTTTGACAGTAGTAGATCTTGCTTGCTTGAAAACTGATTCTGTTATTTAGCAAAACGCTAACTATCCCTGTTGAAAAAACCCAAAAATTTTCTTTCTAGAATAACTCAAATGTACATAATCCCACACTTTAGAGTAACTTTAAAAATACACACAAATAACTAAATACATTATCAATTCAAAACCTAAAGGAACTATCTCTGTTTGAACAAAATTATCTTTATTTAGTAAATGGATAAGCATCATTGTAGGTTTCATGTCAATTTGATCTAGTAAAGATTGGCCATAAAGCTATATAAATAATGAGATAAGATAAGAAACAATCTATACATATGTACACATGGCCAATATTAGCTTTGAAAGTGATTGTTGTCAGAAAAGAGAAGTGAATTCTATCAGACAAACTATTGCAAAATGATTCCATGTGTAAACATATAAAGAATAGCAAAGAAAGACTGCACAATCCCACAATGATTAAGAAAATTTGTTGCCAAAAGTTTCATTGTCTAGTTACTACTCCTTTACATTAAAAATCACTTGCAGGAGATTTGCTTTTGCATTAACAATCTCTGCACCATCACATAAAAATCACTTTAAAGAAAATCAAGTTTATAAATGACATTCTCCATTTTAATCAAATGATGTTGCTAAGATTTAACATCTAAACCAGAAGAATTCTAGCATTAGGCTGTTGCAGGCTTCAGACAAGAGGGGGGGTGGGGGGGGAGGCTTAGCAGAAAAATATTATTTTTTGGTCAACAACAGAGCTTCATGGAGAACTGCCACCAGACACAAGCCCGAGCCATAAACAGTCCTAGTTGCATCAACTAACTGCAAGAGAGACTATTTTGCAGTTTTGGCTTTAGCAACGACAACCCCCCCCCCCCACCCCAGGAAGTTTCTCCTGGCCTCAGGCTTTGGGTGTTGAGCAAGAAAATACCATATAGATTGTACAGGCTGAATCCTGTTTTGTGAATTTTTTGGCAAAACTCAAATTATGCATGACATAGAGTATTACAAGGAGCATGCATGTTTTATTCTATGGACAGGAAGCATTTCAGAAGTGGGGGCACATGCAGGCAAAAGGGGGCATTTCTGTGAGCTGCAAATAGGTACTGTACCTCTGTTTTATTCCCCTTTCCCCTGGCACAATTATGATTTGATGTCTAACAAATGCATCTAGTGTTTGGTAGCAAAAAAAAGCAATAGTTGGAGACAATTTTTATTCCTGATGTGTTTAAAACGGAATCTCAGCATTCACATGTGACCCAACAAAACGGTCTGTTGAAGCATTCCAGATAACTCAGTTACAAAGTTTAGAACAGAACCAAGAAGGAATTATTTCAAACACTTGTATGTCTTTCTGTGCCACGTTTTAGTCTTTCAGGGTGTTGAGAGGCCATGTTTGAAAAGTCTTTTATCACATTAGAGAATGTTTCATCAGCTGGAAGAGAACAAGTGCAAGCATTTTCAGTGCAAAAATTATTATGCTTGCAACATATCTTTCCTCTGCAGGTAGATATAGGTAAATTCAAATAAGGCAATTGAAAATCCAATGTATTTTCTAGGAATTAGAAGAAGGAGCCTTAGATGCAATCAAGTAGCCTTTTTAAAAGTGAAGGGCAGGGCCACCCAGAGGAAGGCAGGGGGCAAATTGCCCTAGGACTTCAAGGATTAGGAGGTCTCACATAAATAATGAATCCCATTTTAAGAATGGAATTGATCAAGCATAACAAAAGTATGTCTATAAGTAGTAGAACTTTTATTAAAAGAAAATTACTACTTTGATTGCAAGTAAATGACTATAGGTAATATTCTGAGATTTATTTTAAGGTAATCTAAAGGGTATGAGCATATAAATGTTCTAATTGCTTTGCTCGCAGGGGCCTGGATTTTGTGGAGGGCCATATCAAATTTGAGGCAAGTAGGGCCCGTGCCACGTACCTTGTTGGCTCCCAAATATGAGTACTACTGGGAGTGGTAGAAGGGGGATCAATGGCTCACAAAATTTTCAAGGCTTTAAAGTAAGTTGATGAATAACAGTTTTAAGCAAGGCATTTGTCTGCTTTTTCCAAGGAAATCAATGACAAATTTCTTTCAAGGAATATTGTTAGATCTCATTTTCATGGAAATGCTGTAGCTCATTCTGAAAAGGTTACACAGAAACTAGCTCACATTAAACCAAACTAGAATCAAAGCAAAAGGCTAAATTGTGCACCAAATAACTTCAACACTAGTGCTTGCATCAATCTGGATACAACTCTGACTCCCTTTTGGACCAGACAAAAAGTGTACAAGAGAGAAACTTGTCTGAAGTTGAACCATAAACTGGTTCTTGTTCAAAATAATACAAAGAGCATAGGCCCCTTTTGTAGCCAGAAATGGCACTGTTCTGAGGCAAACAAAAAATAGTGACCCTGTGTAACTGTAAGCCAATTTTTGACAAAATCTGGCTCTGTTTGGAAAAAGAACTGATACTTAATAGACAGAGTTTCTCTGTTTTGTAAACAAGGGCTTGAAATAAAAAAAATCAACTTACGTGATGTATTCACTTCTGTTTCTCTTAGCTCTTCATTCATCCTTGCAAGTCGCAATCTAGAATTTGGCAAAAACATTCAGATTAAAACATAAAGCTCAATGAGTTTTTATAAAAGTCAGCAGAATTATGAGCTCAAAACTTGAAGCATTCACAGAAACAAATAGAGTTTATTTCTCCTTGCAGCGGTAACCACTTTGTGCAGTTGTGAAGCATAATTGTGCGTATAAAGTTATAAATTGTGCTGATTTGTTCTTTACACATGCAAAATGTTCAACTGTACTGGTTACCTGCCCAGGGGCAATACTGGCCGGCAATTACAAAATTACTGCTTATGACCATAGGCATAAATAATTTTTATTGCACTTAAAATACAAATAAAGGCCTATCAAACGTTCTTCAATTCTTTTTAAATTGGAGGTTGTACCATGACACACTTTATATTCTCAGAAAATCTAAGGATATGAGGTGTGTCATGGTCAAATCTGTCCAACTCTAAAGTCAAAAAATGTGAACCCTTTGATTTTGCATTAAAAACCTGGATATTTGACCTACACACTGGATAAATTACATCAAACTGAACAATGTCCAGTCTTCACTTTGTTCACACACTTTGTAAAAATGCCATTAGTTGGAAAATATACCCTGCACACATAGTCAAGGAAATCGATCATCAGGAAAAGAAATTCCTTTACAAGACAACTTTTAATGAATGAAAGATTTTGATAAAAAATCATGAATATGACAATCCCATGTAAATGAAAACAATATGCATAAGATTGAAGCAAACGCCATGTAGCAAATGACACAAAAACAAGAGATGAACGGTCTGGTCATCATGCAACAACTTTTCAACAGAACAATATCCATAACCCTTCCTTCCTTTTCAAAAATTTCTTCAAAAAACTTTGGCAAGGCTGTAGGAATATTCGTAAACTTGCTTTTTACTGTTTTTGCTGTATTAATCATGCTTAAACAATACTTTACAATTTTGATTAGTACTGTTTATTGTTGTCAATTGTTGACCAATAATTGTAAATAAATATATAATCTAGAATAGGACACTGGGCACGATAACCCATATCGTTTTCTCAGTGTCCTCAACGACAGACTGATTCATATGAATGTACTAAATAACATATGTAGCAACCTTTAATAATATTTGTGATATTTTGTAAATTATGTTGTTGAAAATGAATGAATAATATAGTGAATAATATAAACACAACACTATATGCATGCTGGTTAATTCTACAATGTTGCTATACCTCTCTCATACTACCTTTCTTGATTAATAACATTTTCAATCTATATTCAATTTGACTGTAAGTCTGGGAATGTGTTTTACCACACTTTTTAAATAGGATAAACGACTATGGCAGACATGATCACCCAATGATAGTTATTTTCTCATACAGAAGTTGTTGTGTGAATGGAGAGTCAGCCTGTTGTTTTTGTTCTCGTTTGTGAGTTTTTTGTTGTTGCTCGTAGTCTTTGTCGACATTTTTTGTTGTGCACCCTGAACGAATTATTGTGCGTTGTTGTTTATGAGTGTTATTGTTTTTTCGGTGTGAGTGTTAAGTGCTGTTATTGTTTTGCGAATGTGTTAGCAAGTTTTACTGTTTTTTGCTTGTGTTTGAGAATCATTTTAAAGAAAATTCAGCCACAGAAACCACAAAATACTTACAAAGTAACAATATCTGCATGGTAATACTTCAATGCTATACGCAAAGCATCCTAAAACAAACAAAAATCAAGTTAAATAAATATTCTCCAATCCGAAATAACTCCCCCCCCCCTGCTTTTTAACTTTCCGAAAAAAATTCCCCCTGATCATCAGTTTTGAGCCTGGTGGGATAAGAAACTACATGGTGCATACAAAGTGAAAAAGTACCAAGAATTGAATAATTTATAATACTTTTATCTTATAAATACGTTTTTCTTATTCCAAAAACAAAGCATTGTGGCTTTGTCAACTTCGAGATGGTCTGTTATAAGGGATTGCTAGCCATCCATTTGTTACTATTTGGAAAATCCAACCTTTTTGTCAATATTCTGGATTTGAGAACAGCTTGACAATGAAGGATGACTCAGTGGTTTGAAAAAGACAACAACACAAAGAAGCAGTCACATCTAAGATACCCTAAAGAATAAAACTTTGCAGTTTCTTACTTCAAAAACATTTTTTTGCGGAAAATTTATTTGCGGAAGAATTTTTTGCGGATCAGTCTTTTGCTTAAAAATTATGCGGAGTTGATCTTTACAATTGATAGTTTTAAACTGAAAGATTCTGACAATTATGGGGCAAGGTTATCAAAAAGATTCTTTAAAGTCAATGGAAGAGGCAGGTGTGCAACAGATGATCAAACGAACAAATATTTTAAAATAAATTTTGCAGTTTGAAAATACAGTATAACAAACTGAATGCCTGGCCCCTTGGATTCTGCCCAACAAACTCCTTGCAAATCTTCTCGTTATAACGAACCTCGGATATAACGAACTCTCGATATTACGAACCAAATATTTGGTCCCTTCTTTATAATTACCCTCCATATAACAAACTTTTCATAAATTTTTCATCTGTTTTTTACCAGCTTTGCCACTTGGTCCCAAATTATAAGAGGAAAATAAAGATCTTCATTTTCAATGACCAACTAGTAGTATTATCCGAATTCAGCTTGGTTTTTGGAGTAAACTGTGCACAGAAGTTGAGATGGCCTAAACAAGCTCACAAAAGGTATTTTTAAGTGTGAACTGCGAAAAGACCTAAAAACGTTTTCTCCCGGTTTAACGAACTCCCGATAAATATCCAGTTCCCTTCAGAGTTCGTTATATCTGGATTCCACAATGTAATAAAAAAATTTTGTAGAACAAATTTTTGTGGAAAAGCGAAAAAGCAAAAACCAATTTTGTGACTCTTTGTGCAAAAAATGTCCGGTACCAATAATGTTTTCCATTAATGTACCGTAATCGATATTCATTGATTGTCTACTTTTAGCCTGTCCTGAACCCTGGCACAGTGCATTTTCATGTCCGTCGTATGTCTCTAGGTAACACAAGGAGAAACGACGATCATAATCTTTGAGCTAAAGAGCATAGTTGGGTACAACCATGTATTAGAACTTACCTCTCCGTGTTCGTCAATTGAGCTCTGATTTGCACCACGCTTCAGAAACAAACAGGCATGCCTACAATGCAAAAGAAACCATCCCAAATCAATTACATGCAAATAAACAGAAAGCTGAGCAATGACCAATACCTGCCGTTTAGTCTTTGCATTTTCAAAACATATTCACCATTCAGAAAACTCATTTCTAAAGACTTTTCACTTTATTGATTTCTATCTAGCTCGTTTTTTTACTCACCATAGTTGACTTGGGGCTCATTAGCAGTCAAAACCCCGAGGGTAAGGTATAATTCGAGGGTCTTAAACGGGGGCCAGTTTTTTATACACATAACTTATTCTTGTTCTATTATCCTCGAAGTTATTTAGACAGTACTTTAATGAATAAAGTGATTTAACTTTGATTTTAATGGATTACAATCTTGTAAAATTTTACCCTTTTTAAACAAACAACATTTTAAATTAGACTTCATGTTTTCAATTGTAATGCGGCTATGATCCCTGTGCATATATGGCGCAATATAAGGGCTATTATTATTTTATTATCATTTAAGTAAATTCTTTGGACCAATTCTTGAAAACTTAAGATCAGTTATTGTGTACAAGGAAGCGAAAAATAATCATTTAAACGAAGCTTTTGGGATAAAAATAATATTAAAATTCTATTAAAACAAAGAACCAACTTTGCAAAACCCTAATTTCTTTAAAGTTTCCAAATTATATAAAAAACTTTCCTATTTTAAAATTGCAAACGAGTTTTCACGTTTTAATTCAAAAACTGATTACAACTGTCAGACTCGCTTCTGAATCCTAAAGTTTCTAGCCCGCTCTAACCGTATTCAATACAGCCATGATGTTTTGGAGTCCGGCAAACACAGTGCTCTTTACACAATATAAACACCACATTCATAACAAAAGCTTCCTATTGAAAAATTTAGATTTCCGCACTATGACTCACCCCGTGCTCCCAAGAAGAGCGGCCTGGTGCAAACATGATCTTCCCCCATCGTCCTTTGCATTTATTTTCGCACCATTTTGTAACAGAAATTCACTTACACTAACCGAGCCCTGCAAGACATAATATTTAATAGATATTTGTCATCATTATAAAGCATCATACAAATTACTACATTTAGGAAACCTACATTTCTCAAGATTCAAGCAGTACACCAAGATGCTTCGTACAAATACAGCGGATGTCAGCCAAGAAATAAACTTTTTACACTTTACACCCCGAACTCGGCCAAATGATTACATGAGTGCGGTTAGTTGAAGTGGTGTTGCATGTAATTATACACCCTACATAACATAAAATATCATATCATATCGTATCGTATCGTATCGTATCGTATCGTAGCGTATCGTATCGTATCGTATCGTATCATATTGTAATATATATATCATATTATACTTACCCCTGCAACTGACTGGTGCAACGGAGTCATACCTGCATGATCAGGGTTTGACCAATTGACATTTGCACCTGAAGAAAATTTTTGCATTAAATTTGGGAATACAAGAAAAACAGCACGACACAGCACAACACAGCACAACACAGCACAATACAATACAATACAATACAATACAATACAATACAATACAATACAATACAATACAATGCATTATATTATGCTATTACAACAAAAAAAAGGTTATGGGGTTGTATGTGACAGGAAAGAATCGAAGAGAAAAATGTAATGCCAAGTTAGGACATATAGAAAAAAGCTTGGTGCAGAAATCTGGTGTAATTTTAAAAAGGCAAAAAGTAACCAAAGAATGTATGGCAGCCTGGAAGAAGGCCAGCAGAAGATTGAGCAGCCAAGATCTAGATTGGGAATCGAAGTACAAAATATTACGCGAGAGCAGAAACGAATGGAGAGAAGCTGAAATAATGTAGACTTAAGATGATTTGGCAACATAAGATATGACAAGGACCGAATCGGGAGACAAATGGATTGAATGAGTGATTGAAAACAGTAGCGGCGCCACGGGGGGAATTGGACACGTCCCCCCAGTTCTCGGCCGGATCAACTTTGTATTTCGTCTAAATTCGATGAGAAAATGTTGGGGTAGGGGTAATGTTTTGGCAACGTACTTTTAGCGATGTAATCCTATGATTTTCAAACTGCCTTTACAATGCCAAAAGTTAATTATGGGCGTTCCCTACAGGTAAAATTGGTGTGTCTTGTTGGTAAAAGAGCGTTTTCTGGTGCTAAAAAAGGGCGTGGTCTAAAAATTTTATTTTGCCCCAAGAGCTTAGTGGCTGGCTCCACCATTAATGGAGAAATAGGAGATGTCAGCCAATTGATGAAGATGATTGATTGTCCGATGGAAGACATGGCCGACATGGGTTTAGTAGAAGTTGAGGGGGAGGCCTAAAATCGCAACCGAGACAAGAAACTTGTCGTATACTACCCCTCCAATCAATTAAATGGAAATTAAACCTACCGTTTGAAAGGGCAAGGATCATCAATGTCATATTTTTTAGCTTTGCAGCTTGGTAGAGCAACTAGAAAGGAAGTGAAAACAATGATTATGGTTAGAAAAGCGTCACCTTATTTTTCAATTTAATCAAAGATAAAAAAGCCTTGAGATTCGTTAGTGACTTTGACAAGAAAATATATCCTCTTTTAGTCAAAAAAACTCAATTATCAAGAATCAGATGGTATTAAAATATATTTAGAGAAGCTTTCATTAGCATTGTACGAAAAATTGTAAAAAGACGGTGTGGCAAAAAGTACAAAATAAGTAGTCACTTTAAAGTCACTAAAAACGTACATTTTACAAAATACCTTTATTACGCAACATATCAGTTTTGCTTGAAAATGTATTTAATCAACGAAATAAAAATTCCAGCTAAAAGTGTAACTTGAGGTAATTATGTACATATGCCATTTCATGAGATCTTCCAACGTTACCTGATTTGGAGGCAAACTCCGCATTTCCTCTTCTGTTTCACATTCATCCGAGCTTGTTGCCGAATCTGTACCGCGACTATCGTACAAACGCCTTAAGTGCGGAGTTGCAGGGGAACCCCCATCAAAAGAGGATGGGGAGTTCATATCTGCATTTACCGATCTGTTATTGTCTACATCCGATCCAGGGGATCCTATCTCTGCCTCTGGAGATCCAGCTCTTAACCCTGGGGATCCATCTGTCGCCTCTGGGGATATATTTGATTCCTGCGTGGATCCGTCTTTTTTCCTTGGTGACCCACCTTCCACCACTGGACATCCTTCTCCGTTCGAATCTTCAGCCATTTTCTGTTTACTATTTTCTTCTTCGTCCATTTTTGGCGAATGGTTCTCCTCTCGATCAGCAGAAAGATGTAGCAATATCTCGGCCGCTTCAACATCACTCTTCTTGGCAGACCAGCGCCGAATTTTTCCATCTGGGAATTTTTTAATCGGTTGCTTTCGTCTAAACCGCTTCACAGCAGCAGAGGTTCTTCTGGGGCGAATTTTGCTGACAAATCTTTTTTCAACATACTTTGCCTTGATCCATTCTTCTCGCTCCGCCCTTGAGCTGCTAACATTTGGCTTCTTCATGCTGTCATCCTCGTTTGCCTCGTAGATGTCATTGATGACACGATTGCCAAGCTCCGACATAAGCTGTTAAGGAAATGATAAGGTTCAAAGGTGCATTTTAAGGCAGATACGTATCGTCTTCAAGGCCTTAAGCTTCAGCTTAAAGGTTAGTCCAGTATTCGATATCGAACGCTGGGGATACGCTGTTTGGGGCGCATCGTCCTGAGCCGCGGCATTATGTGGTAGAGTGGCCAGTTCCTAGGGCGTCCGCGAGCCGGGATCGAACCCGGAGCTTGGCTACAAGCTTATTAGTACGTATCCCATATTCCTCGTTCAACTTCTTTACATTTTACAAAACGACTGCAACAAAAATTACAAATAAAACAAATATCCAAAGAAGTTACTATCTCATTTGTTGTCACCTAAATAGTTTCAGAAATGTGTATAAACGACTGCCAGAGCTCCAGCAAACAAACTCCGCTTCAAAACGGTATATAAAACAACACTTAAACAGATAAGATTGGTAAACTTAAACAGATATAGTGTATCCTTCAAAATCCTTCATTATATCATAGTTCCTTAAGAAAATGAATTTTGTTTACTTATAAAATTCTCATGACAATGATGCTAAATTTTTCCAGAAAGCTTCCACAAACTTGACATCTTGATTTTATATCTATAAATTCCAAAGCTGCTGAAAAACGTAACCTTCAAAAAGTGAAATTATCTTTTCTGAGTTTAAAGAAGATCTCATTACTTATCAAGGATGGCAGGTGAAATCCTCGTCAAAGCTTCCACAGGAAAAAGAAACTCTTAATTTTAACACACGCACTTACTTTGATAGATTCGGGTTCCCAATCATCCAATGTGATGGATCGAACTTTGGATATGTGGACTCCAAGACTCCTAGAAGAGCGGTATTCCATAAATATTAAATCAAACGAAAAGTTATTTTTGCTAAGGGACGTAAATTGACTGATATTATACTGGCAATATGCCAATCGAAATTTGTACTAAAACTCAAGTAAGCTCTACTTACAGAACCTTAACCTTGCGCGGCTTAGTTTTTTCTTTTTGAACTGACAAAATTCTCGGCATTAGCGTTACGCTATGTTATTCTCTGAGGTGAATATGCATTAAAACTCAAAGAAATTCAAAGATTGGGGTTGTGACAACCCGCCAACTCTAAGTTTATTACGAGCCTGCTTTTGCTAGAAAATCACGACTACTTAAAGCATCTTAAACTCAAAGCAGTTTTCTAAATTGGTCCCTTGCGGTAACGTTTTAGCTTGAAAAAGCTGCTAGGAGTGGCAAGACCCCTCTAAAAATACCCAGGCGAGCTTAGAAACCAAAAATACCCTCGCGTAAGTAATTGACTGGTTATTGTACTGGTATTTTTACTATTTTCTGAATAGCGAAAGAAATGAAGCAGTATTTGAGACAAAATAATGGGAACACAACCAAAACTAAAACCGTTGGCAGAAACATAACAAAAGTTAATAAGTCACTTATGCACAAAACATACCTGTGAATACCTGAGCACTCAATGCACAGGGTGATACCGATATTAATGCTGGCCCATTTCGGATCTGAAACATCAACACATTGGTACAATTATCAAGCAAGTAACAGGGGGCTAAGTCAAAACAATGAAGTTGTAGACCTTGATAAAATGGCAAGGAAGAGCTGTACACTGCAAATTTCTAACATCAGAAGGAGTAGTCAGGCCAAATTGATAGGAAAGTTACGATCTTTCAAGTTATTGAAGCACCCATACACTGTAAACTGTATTGTTTTGTATTTGCTAGCTAGCACCCAAAGAGTTTTTAGGACACTGAGATGCTATGCTTAACGAGCAATGTCCTGGCTCTTTCCTCGATGAGACCACACCTCGTTATTCCTACACCTTTAACTGCAGAGAGCCGGCTACTCCATTCACTCTAAGAGAGTTTGGTCATGTCAGGAACTCGAAGACCAGACCCTTGGAGCCATCCACGCACCTTTTAGAGTAGTGTATTGTTTAAAGTTACCGTATCATAATATAACAGATCGCGCTCTATCTTGTGAACACTATCTTGTACAAAAATTTCAACGTACTTGGGCTGTCACAATCGGCACAAACATCATTTCCAGGAAGTGAGCGTATTTGTTCCAGCAGGCTAAAAACAATAAAGACAGTGTAGTAGATCTCCGCAAAAAGAAAACTACTTTTAACAGCCAGGCAATTCTTGGGCCTCCCTTTGATAGTGGATATGTATGTTCATTCAAGGATACGTGCTTCTTACATTAGGTTTTTTTCTAAAAGGTGTGGAAGCAATTAGAGAATAGAATTACCAGGCCACAAATTGACTGCTATGATAAAACGATTAAGGATTACTGTGAAGACGATAAGACAGGAAAGGATGCTTACTACTGCGGATGTAGCTTCTCTAGTGGATCCATGCTTTTGTCCTGAAAATACATATGAATACGCGCGTTTATGTTCAAGTACAGATTATCTTCGCTGTTATGAAATCTCTAAACAAACGGTACATGTCAAAGGCCTATTTTGATTATGATGATTATTATTATCATCACGATTATGTTAATGATGATCACTATGATAACGATGATTGACGATGATCAAAAAAGCGATCATTGATTGGTGATCACGACGGCGATGGTTCATCAATGATGATGTTGATTACTAGTGATTCAGGCAATGGTTAAAATTATCAATTTTGTTTCACTTACAAAGGAAGAAGAATCTTCGTCATACTGTGGGTCATTCAAGGCTTTGGCAATCGCAACCTGACAGAAATAAAAACAGATAACATATTTAGCAGTAGCAAAAAATACTTCCAGGGTAAATTTTCTTCCTATATTTCAGGCTGGTCAGTATACTTAAAAATGCAGTTGAATTGGGATAAACCTATTGCTGTCGGGGCTGCCGCAGCCTATGGGGTCTCACTCTAAGTGTAGGGGCTTATTTCACAAAAATTACTTTAGGGTGGGGGCTTTTTCGAGGGAGCCGTATACAAAGGTGGGGCTTATTCGAAAAAATTTGATCCAGTGCGAGCAGTTAATTCTTAGGTTTCAAAATTTGGACCGCTATTGGAACGGTACGCAATCGTTCCCATGTCACCTGTGCAAGAGGCCTATATTCATTTACAAGGGCCGCTGCATCTTAGATTCAGAGATAAAGTTCACGCATCATAATCTGATTTGAGACTTGAAATAAAATGAACGATGATCTTCTTTAAGTCAAACTTCAATTGTATTCTTGTTGAAAGCCAGCAAATACTTGAAACCTGAATTGAAGCAAACCCTTATTTGGGTATCCTCCTTCTTGCCATTTAGTTGGCAAACTTTCTCCTAAAATTGTATTTGTATTCAAAGAAAGGTTTCTCTACGAGAAAACTTTGTTGTCACCTTGAAGTTTATCTATATTGCCAACGATCTGAAAAACTGCTCGCTACTAAACAAAACACAAAACTGAAAATCCCCTTTTCCTTTCCGATCATGTCGCCTCAGTCAAAGAAGCCTCATGAGAAAATTCAAATGGTAAACGTACGTCGTAATGCCAAAAGAAGTACCTGAACTGCCTCTATCCAATCCCGACGGACTTGATCGTTGTCGGCCTGCAAATACCAGCATCTGTCAAAATTCAAAAAAAATTATGAACCATGTAAAATAATCTGTTGTCAATATCTTTGATTGGTCACCAAATTATGAACGTTTTAGCTGATTTCAAAGGTCAAAAGGCATTTCGCGATGTTATTTTAAATTATGAAGAATAACCAACACGGCGAAATAATTAAATAACCAATATTTTAGGTCAAATGTCATAAATTCTAAAAATTTATTATTTATGACGTCACACTCTGCAAGAGCATAAAAAGCGACCGAGTTCGGAGCAAAATCAGAGGGTAATATCCACGAGCACGTGTCTATGTACAGTCGATATTTCATGCTAAGTCCGAATGCGGCCTCGATTTTTTTGCTTCAATGAATACGCGATGATTTCCAAACATGGTTTTCATTCGAGGCGATGTTTAAGAAACAGAAAAATAGAAAACTTACTTGGTGGGAGATACAAGTGCGAAGGCAAATCTTCGTTCGACATCGTCTGTTCGCTTTACTGTACATAGCCGAACATCCACAAGCTCTGTTTGTGAGTCCTATACAAAAGTAAAAGCTGAACTGAAAATACTAGCCAGATAGCATGTTTGATTCAAAGAGGCTCTACACAAACTAAAGTCACTGCTCCGTTTAATGATTGGGCAAAGGAGCATGAGTGGTGCAATAACGAAGGATGGACAAATGCTTTGAAAGAGAAAATGTTAGGCCAGGCTTCTTACGAGCCTCCCTGGTATGCTACGACGAGGCGCAAAATGGATAAAGCTCTTGACTGCTCAAAAAAGTGAGGAACTCGGGAAACAAGACGCATTTTAAAGGCTTGAATCAAAGATGAAACAGATATCTACTCTATTACGCTGTTTGTTCAAGATATGTATCAATTCTAACAAAACTTCCACTAGGTTCCAATTATTTATAGACTGGCACGCCCTTTTAGATAGCCATACATCCATTATAGGATAGCATATCCAACAAACGGAGCAAAAACTCGGTACTTAGAATACAGAAGACATCAAAATAGGCTTACCTTAGATCGCTTTTGATAGTATATCTTGTTGTCTTGTATCGTAAACCATCTCCTGTCAAGACCAGAACATCAAACGGGCGTGAATTCAGAAAGGCATTTCAGTACAATATCATGGTCCACTACACTGATCAAACTTAAGGTTGGCTGCAATGCTTGTCGATATTTTGGTGCACTACAATACGCTTGGAAAATTTTAAATACTTCTTCTTTATGTCTTCTGAAACATGCTGTTTGGCAGAATTTTTCTGGGCTTCTTTGTTGTCATGACCATTCTTTTCTGATATCTAAAATAGCTCTTCAACAAACATTTTTCTAGTCAAAAGCTCTTTGGTGTGCCAAAATTAAAAAGTCAAGGTTCCAAAACAGAACCTTGAGCCAGTGGCACAGAGAGGGGGGGCAGGGGACAATTTGCCCCAGGGCCTCGAAAGGGGCCCCGAAATTATTCTGAAAATTTTTTTAAAATGTCTTCTTTTGAGAAACTGAAAATGCGTTTAAAGATATATTTGTTAATATCGAAAATTATGGCAGTAATTTCATTGGGTCCGTACACTGAGTCTTGTTTGAATTTAAGGCCTATCAGCTTTATTTATTGAGTCTGGGGCCCCGAGAAAAGCTGAATAAACCTTATATCACATATTTTACGGATTCATCTTTTTAGCTGAGTTTCCCCGAGTTTCGCAAAATCGTACTTATTGGGGGAAGGGAGCCCTGATAAAAAATTAGGTAACCCATATAATCTTGTTTTAATCTATGGCCCGTTCAAGTGAGTTATTTTTGCATTTAGACTCGTTGCATAAAGCTATATTATATTTTTGGGGCCCCTTTCAGCAAACTAGCATTAATAAAGAACCGCTTACGTTCAACAATGACTCAAGACAGACTATCAAGCCTCGTGACTCTTTCGATCGAGCACGAACTAGCAAGACAAATTGATTAGACATATCATTGATCAATTTGCAACTGAAAAAGCAAACTTGCGCAAACGTTTGAAAATAATGGGAGTTTCCCATTTTATAAAGGGCGTGGTCTTGAAAATTTTTTGTATCCGACTCTAGGGCCCATCTGGGACTTTGCCCCAGGGCCCAGGCCGCCTCTCGGCGGCCCTGCCTTGAGCTAACGCTTTTCCAAATGGAATTTAGCAGGCGTTGCAGTTTGGCAAAACAAAAGGCGACGTTTGAGTAAATTTAGCAATTTTTTTAAAACAGGTGCTAAATCGAAACAAGAGATCAGGTCTGAAGTTTATTCTCTCTCTAAAACAATTAAGCTACAACGGTTAAAGCTAATCTATAACCCTGGTCCGCAGCTGTTCAGATTTTGCAGCACTCCCAATTAGATATGTATCCTCTGCTACCAAAATATATAGGCCCTTACATTGAATCCCCTGAAGAGTTGTTGTAACTACAAGCCTATTGGTTATAACCAGTTCATAAAACTCTGCAAGCAATGGTTTTTTAATTATTCTGTCACCTTGAGGGTCGGATCTTATACATGCTTTGGTATAACACGATTCAATGTTTGTGTTAAGTCACTTGTGATCAAGCACCTTTCGAACCTCCTCTGGATCCGCCCCTGGTCACCTATTTGCAAGAAGGTAGCTCTGTGGGTGATGGTAGTATAATGACTTAAATAAGGCTGATAAGCTAGCTCCACTTCTTCAAGCTAGCACAAAAAATCAGAGTAGATGGGACCAAACAATACCTGTTCCATGTTTTGAATGCGTTACTTGCACGTTTGAATAAATAGCCTTCCATTAGCAAGCTGTCAAGTGAAAATAAGTTGAAATCAGGCCTCAAATACAGTGAAAGTCTGAAAGTCAGTCTTCTACTTGGCTTTGATGCATACTTGGCATATGAATCATACATTTGAAATTATATATCTTTTTTAGATATACGATTATTTCTTTAAAACATGAAGAGAGAAATCTAGTGAACTTTGCAGAACTCAAATCAGTCGTGATCAAAATGTCTTTCACCTTTATCCAAGGCAATATTTTACATTTACATAAGTCCATCAAGTCGAACATAAACCAAAGAAAGAATTAGTTTCTTTGTTTAACTTTCATAATCAATTGTTCAACATAAGCATGTTTGACGAAAGCGAGGTTACCCTTAATAGATGCCTCGACAAAACAAAGCCTCCACATCAAAATCTACATTGAATTAAGACCATGGTTTAGGATGTATATGGAAAGCTGTTAATTCATTGCCTTTTGTCTTAAATTTTTCTGGAATCGATTAAGACTTACCTCCCATTTCGATTCGACAATGAGTTTCTTGTTTCTTGATTCATTTCGTTCTGCAAAAGAAACATGCAAGTTCTTCGTTATAACAAGGTCAATAGAAAATCTACCACGCAGAATGAAAAGGGCCTTGATGAAAACAAAACTGGCCTATGCATGGAGAGAGAATCGGAAATGGTAAAAGGTAAATGGTAAAAGAGAGAGAATCGGAACAAAACCGTCACCAATGACTCTTCTTGCAGGGGTAAATGTAATGAAACAGGACTGCATTCTAGCTCCTTGGCTTTTGAATATTAGGAATCTTACATTTTGCATTTGTTAGTTATGTTTCGCCATGATTTATCACAACAAAATCAGACTCTTCTCACCTTTCTCTGAACCAAAGTATGCCTTTCTTCCATCTCTTTTTGCTCGCAGTTAAATTCATATTGCATATGATCAAGCTGAAATCAAAACTTACAATTAAATCTTATACCCTTCCGTAGCTTTGGACAACAAAGCTAAAAATGAAATCGGAGCTAGAAATTGCTTGTTTCAGAATCAGACGAAACAGAAGCAATGAAAACAATTTCTACCTATACAGAAATTATTTCTAATCACAGCGAAGCAACAATACTAGCAACATTTGAGAATAATAGCCAGAAAGAACGGGGAAAATATAAACGATTTAAGATCTAAATATTGAATTGATACTATTATCAGACAGCTTTTGAGATAACAAAATAATTTTAACACGATCAGAATAATACCCTTCTTGTCTGTAAACCACTCTACATAACTTAAAAGGTATTTTCCTATAACATCATTACATCAATCTTCAATGACTTTAAGCAATTTTGAATAAGAGCTTTGTTAAACATACTATTTGGTTTATAAATAAGTGACGAGCTAATTAAAGGAAGTTATGATCCTCAACGACACTCAAGGACTATATGGAAACTAGGATTAAAGGTTTTCTTTTTCCAAAGCCATCATTATTAAATAGCACCGTACAAATTGCTGCTAAATTAATACAAGGATTGATGTTGTGATGACGCAACATACCCTGGATCCGAGCTCCTTCAAATAAGGCTCCAAACATACCACCAATTCTCCGCCTTGCTTGAAGAATGCCGTATGTGCATGCATGAATGTAAGGATCTGTTGAAACGGTTCAATTAGCAACACTGAGCAACCAAACACACAATATTTTCGACTTGTGATAAAATTTTTACGCTAATAAAAGTAAGCAACTAAAGACAATACTTTTTGCTGGTAGTGAAATTATATCAAAATGTTTCATGCATGCAAGAGATTCACAAATTGGTTCGGGAGAAGTATTGGCTCTGGAAGGTGCAGAGCTGTGGAGGAAATTTCCGATGGTTTTAGATTCGGTTATTCCAGCCAGTAGGTATTGAATAAGGATATTTTAGGCATACTCCTTCACTGACAATAGGAGTATGCCTAAAATACTGACTTTAAATACTGACAGGTCCAGAAAGGGTCCAATCTTTCTAAATTGCGATAACAATCAAAACCATACTCAAAAAGCAATGAAGAATAGATGTGCAATTTCTGTTTTGTTTTCGTCGACCCATATTCTCGCCGTGGCAAGGTCACCGCCAGATATCTGTACTGTGACTGACAATTGCAAAAATATGGTATTTCACACTCACCTGGCCTAAGATATGAAATCGTCGCTTTGATTGGAGGATGTTGATCTTCAAAAAGAAAAAAATTGCAATAAATACATAGAAATAAATCAAACTTAAAAAAACCCTAGAGGTATTTTTCAAACAAGCAAAATCTTTATTAATGACATCAGAACTAGTATTGCATGTTTAAGAGCACATTTCATGTCATTTCATCGAGATTCATACACGTAACTCTGACTTAAGCATTAGTTAAGATATTAAGCAATAAATGTAAAGAAGTTATTGACTAAATAACATGCTATAACCAAAAGAAGGAAAACATTTCTGTGCTGCTTTACCAAGGAGTCTTGCTTAGGATCTCTAGGTTCAAAAGTTAAGTAAGTTTGGAGACCTCTCTTGAACTGAACTGGAGAAAAAGCTTCTCTGACATTTCTCTGACATATTTCTCAAATTTCTTTATCTTTGAAAATGTTATCTGGTTTTTGTAAAACAGGGTCTGAAAGAAAGAGGTGCCTAAGGCCGAGAGCATCTCAGACCTATTTCCATGCAGATGCCCTGGTGCTGAGCTAAACTGATTAAAAACTAAGGTCCCAAATAGGCTTAAAGTCATATACCCGGTAATAAGCACAGACAACAAGAGATCTAGGCCGCTAATAATAACGTAATATTTCCTTTCTTTTTTTATTCGTTAACTTTTCTTTGTTTTCATGTCAAGCTGTCATGCTGAAAATCTCCAGGACATTAGCCTCATTCATTGTAAACTGCCGCTATCTAATACATCTATTCTTTAAGAATGATTCAATTCATTACATGCTATCTATTCAAGTGCTTTACCTGGAATGCGTAATCCAAGGAGGTGTGGTTGAAGGCCGACTCTGTTGCCAAAAGTAGATTATCTACCTATCAAGATATTTCATGATTTGGCAATGGCGTTATAATACATTAGATTACTGAATCTTAACAAAAGAAAATAGAGACAGCTAGAGACTGGATTTGAAAGTTCACCACCTGGATATACATGACAATTATGCAAGAACGAGACACCCAAAAATAACAAATAGACCGTGCTCACAAAACGATAGCAGAAACGTTTACATTGAACGATAAACGAAGCTTTCTATCAACAGCATTTTTGTTTCTAGCTAGAACTGTAACAAAATTCCTTTACTGAAATAATGATTTAGAAAAAATATAAGGCAAAGGAATTTAAAGAGCTTTACATATAAAGCACTGTTGGGTAGTTTCCTAATTTGTGTGCTTTACTCGAAATAATTTCAAATATTGGCTTGAAAATGTATTTACTAGAAGCACCTCTAAAATCAGAAAACTGGTCAAATCCAATTTTACATAAACAGAACAACTTTAGGCAGTACAGCGAGACCATCGTCTTAGTATGCAGTGCCATAAATAAAAAATAGTGGGAGAGGGGGGGGGCGGTAGCAAAACATATCTCTATGAAACGAGAAGAGAAGACGTATGAATTTCTCAGATTTCGGCAGGGGGTTAGTCCCCCGGTGCCCAGTAACACTTCCTGGGGAAACTCCGCCAATAGACTGAGACCCCGTTTTCAGTGCGCCGGATTACACTAGACCCACGCTATCCGCACGAATTTGAGAGCGGCTATCCGAACAAAATAAGTTCACCTAGGAAAGTGGATTAAATTAGTTCGGATAGCTATGTGGTACAGTGTAGACGGTTTTATCCGGATAAATTTTATCCACATCGTATAATGCTCGAAAGCGATTGGCTATTTCTTCCTATTTGATTTTCACTGTCTCCCAATAAAGACTTTTCTCCATCTTGGCTGCCTTATAGTCGATAAATACTCGTGTTAAAAGTGCAGTATCTTCGTCAGTCCATGTAAAACTGGCATCCTTGTCAGCTTTCCCTATTTTCTTCGCTATTTCAGCGTCATTTTGTTTCAAAGAACGAATTATTAAAACTAACTTTGTCTAATTTGTTGTGACAAAATCTTCGGACTTCATCTGAAAAAAAGCAGGTGAATCTGAAGAGAGAATGAAAAGTCTTTTTACGTTGGCGGGAATTTAGTTGTTATTTTGTTGCCCAGAGATGACTTCGTTTTGTGCAAAGATTTATGTCACGTGACTCCAGTTATCCGGCACAGTGTAAACGGGAGGGCAAAGTGGAAAAAACTTGTACGGCACAGTGTAAACGCAAATCAATCCGAACAAGTTTTATGCGGATAACATTTATCCGGCACAGTGTAAACGGGGTCTGAAATACAAGCTGACGATTCTCCTTCACAGAGGACGATATTGGCTGCGGCGCTTGAAAAGCTCAATTTGTTTTGAGGCAATAAGATCGTAACTAATTATCACAATCCCATGGAGCTGTTGTCCCCTTACTCTATTAGAGGCTTCACTTGCAGCTTATATCTTAAGAAATACGTACCTCTTCTGCTTCCGACACTTTGCATGTCTTTGGAAGCTGGGAGTTCTTGGCAAATACACTGAAAGGCAAAACAAGATTTAAAGCAAGTGATATCGTAGATCGAGATTGTAATTTTGATTTTCCCCATCACCACAAACAAACTTTCAAGCTATGACGGCTATCTACAATCCTACCAAATGACCCTCCCTATATCCATCATCCTCGTTTGAGAATTGCCATTTCGTTTCCTGTCCCATGCGAAAATCATTCCATGTGAAAATCTTTCCGTTTAATTATAGGCTTACAGTGCGATAAAACAGTTTTAACAAAAGATCGATAAAACTTCGATGCTAGCCATTGAGACACACCTGTCGAGTTCATCACTGATTTTATCAAAATGCTTCTTTGTCTCTTTGAACTTTTTTATCTCACTGTCAACGAAAAAGAGACAGATGTAAATCTAAAATGTGATCTTGAATTGGTGAATAAAGTTACGGCACAGCAGAAGATAACTGATTAAATATCAATTAAGGAAACATGGGTACAATAAAAATTTCTTATCTGGTGGTGACTAATGTTTTCTATCAAATATGACTGTGCAAGATCTAGGCATAAAAACAGCATTCCAGCATTACGTGTACTTAAGACTCTAAGCTCTAAGGACCAACAATTAAATGAAAAAGAACATATGATTTCAATTGGATGTGAAAGGTATCTTTCTATTGGCTTTGATTAAATTACCCTTTTGAAACTGCATACAAAAAGACACCTTGCAGGGATGATCTTACATGTCAATAAATTATATGAATAAATCAGAAAGAGAGTAAAATTTGATATAAGAATTTATTACTCTTTTAGAAATGAGTGAAGCTTGCTGCCAATCGACCTCTGTGCTTGGTCAAGTAGAATCTAAAAAATATATATATATATATAAGAAAGGCAAAACAAGAGGCTCCAAAAACAACATTGTAAAAGATCAATTTTCACAGCGTGAGAAAAATACACAACATTAAAGTGATTCCAGAATTTGTGCACTTTGCTACCCAGCTAGCCTTAAAAATGTCCTGTCCAATCATTATCTAGGATTAAAATGTATATAGAAATTAAAATACAGGTTATACGCATGAGAGAAATAATCTTTATTTTCTAGTTTGCTTTTTCTGTTTTATTGAAAAAAACAGACAACAGAAATACACTCACCCCGAAGAAGTTTTTTATATCAGAGAGATTTGAACATATCTTAGTTACTGCACCATTCACAAATAAATCATCTTTGAACAATGATGATAAGCCTTCAAATTCATGAATGAGGCTCCTAAAAAAGAATAAATTGACTGAAAGTAAACACAAATACTTGAATATAAAGAAAAAAAGCAAGTTCAATGAATGCAACTTCCTGAACCAAAGCTAAGGGAAAGAGAGACTGCCTCCCTACTTTCCTGCAGGCCAAAGCAAATGCTTTATTGCAAAAGTACACAGAGAGAGATTTAGTCTACCATTCTGTTATTAATTGTGCCTAGCATTATTTTAAAATATGTCCATAGCTTAAGCTTCATTACCATCTCTTTACCATTTAAATGTTTAGAAGACATGGAAAAATCAAAACATAGGGTACTGGGTGAAGGAAACTGTTCATTTTCCAAGTTCTGAGTAACATGTTGCAGTGTAACAGCTTTCTAAAATGTGTTTGCTAACTGTGAAGAATTTAATATAAGCGCTTAGATAAGTACTTAGATTAAGATACAGAAGGAGAAACCAGACTAAGAATAACATGGTGCCAAAGCCAAATTATGAGGTTTTGTCTTTTCAATGACCTAAACCTGGCTCACAAGGTTTATCTTTTAACAAAAAACTCTAAAAAACATACTGTTATCCCCTGTGGACAATAGTATTAAAATATGTGCATAAATCATATCTAGCCTCTATTCCAGTTAGCACGTGTTGTAAGTCAGTTTTTTTGTATGTACGATTATGATGAAGATAAATATATTTTGAAGTCATTTTACGTCTCAATATTTGGCTTATTACAATACAGATAAAGAAAATACAAGCTGATGGGTGAAAAAACCCTAAAAACGTTTTTGAGAATGCACAAGAACAAGAAAGTATCTTCAAGAATTTTTTCTTTTGAAGTATCACCAAGAAAGATTCGAAGCCTGATTTTAACAATGATTTTTATTTTAAAAGACATATATCTATCTATCCATCTGGCTAAGAGAAAACTATCAAGCAAAGCTATATCAAAAAATAATCTTGACCAGCCCAGTTTGAAATTGCATCGTTTTATTAGAAGTGCTCATCCCTTCTGTACACAATTGCTTGACATTGTAATTCAAGATGATGACGTTTCCAGTCGACATATTCTTATGTGAGTTTTTATTACAAAACTGTGTTTCTATTAATTACTTTCTGCATCTTATTTTGCTCCTTATTTGAGGTAAAAGATGCACTAAAAAGGTTGTTCTAATTCTAACACTTCTCAAGACCATTCCTATTTCATTTTAAAATCAAAACAGTTAAAGCTATGGGACATAATGATGAGAGAAAGCTTAAAAATATTGCCTCAGATATGCAGTTTCTGGCCATCTCTAGAAAACAATTTTTCTAAAATTTTCTACTTTAAAATCCGCTTCACTGGCCCTGATATAGACCTAGAGTTTATATCTTAATTTTTAACTACTGTTCAGTATTGCAACTAAATCTTTTGATTCTGAACATAAGGTCCAGAAAATATACATCAAATTTTGCAGCATTTTGATACAAGGACATCTTTCACAAGTCTCTAAATTCCCAAAGTGACCTTTTTTACTACCACATTTTATCCAAAACGCAAATCGTGGAAAGTATTTTTCAAAGTGATGTTCACAATGACAACTTACCCCATTGAGGATCTGAAGACTTTTCCACATTCAACAAAAGAGCTACATGCTTTTGAGACCTAGGATTAAAATGAAGCAAATCAATACAAAAATGCAGCTCTTAACAATTGGAAAAAACTGGGTTGCAGCCCAGTTCTCCTCAAATGATTCCAGAGACACAAAATGATCAGAAACATAATATTTTTGAAAGATATCTTTTATAGTCAATACCCAGGTATTATATTTTTGAGCCAGCTTTTTTGCTAAATTGATCTCCTGATAAGATGGATAATTTTAGAAGTAAAAGTGCTATTAGCCTCTTTCAAGGGAAATTAGCTGCAGAAGCAAACCATTGTTTATATAAAGAAGGGGCAAAAGCCTATTGCTTAGAATAATGGAAAGCCATTTGTGCTGCAGGGGCAGTTGCCTCCCCCCTCCACCCCTAGTAGCTAATATGTAAAAAAAGGCCCTGAAAAGCGTTGAGTCTGGCCTGGTTCTTATGGCAACCTGTACATATTCTAATAAGAATCCACCCTCGTTTAAGCATCCTCCGTTTTGCAACTTTGGAATAAATTGTCCCTCTTTTGAAACTCAGCAACAAAGAAAGTGACATGTTTGAGGAATATGTCATTGAGGTCAATCAGAACAAAAGTTTGGATGAAGGTGAAACATAGAGCAAAAAGTAAACCGCGAAATGACAGACGAGATATATCATAATTTATAATTTCATTCTTCAGATTTCTTCATCATAAATTAAGTGAGCGAAGCTTTGTCAACTTTGAAATCATCAATTGTCCTGGTTACCTCTTTAGACGCTTGTTGAACTTTGCAAAAAGGTAGGACTGTCCTCTCGTATACAGTCTTCATCATAAGGAAATCACCATGTGTGTGGCAAACCACTCTTAAAAATCAGGTCATTGTTCTCTTTCATAACAGGTCAAAACCATTCCGGATGGCAGAGCAAAATAACCTCGGTTCCAGAGTGCTAGCCTAAACAAAAGGGCGAGGACAAAAACTCGGTTCGGTTCCAAACTTGCACGCAGGACAAAAATTTTGCGACCACGCCCTTTAAACTAGCTTAAATTTGTTTGTTTGCTTAAAATGTTTTATTGTTTATGGGCATAATTTTGTTTCTTTTAATCAATTTTATTTCATTACTATATGAGGCCCCCTACACCTTGAGGCCCTGGGGCAATTTGCAGAGAGCTTTAGTGTTTCTGGTGTTTTTATTCCAAGAACATTTGACATTACAGGACAAATATAGGGAAATATTGATTGATACAGTGGAGTAGATAAAGGGGTCAAGGGACCCCTGTACAGCTAAACTGCTGTTTTATCGGAAAAATTCTGATCTGATCGGAAACTTACATGGTTGTATATTTAAATCCAAATGCAACATTTTGAGAGAAAAGATTTTAAAGCTGAATATGGTGATCTCTTCTGTTGTTCTGAATCAGATTGGCAATCTCTTCCAATAAGGTAAAGAACTTTAAAATGCCTTTTTTCAAAAAAAAGACAAGAAAAATCTTCGAGTAGTATGATTTATGACATGTGACTAGCGTGAAGTTGTGTGCAAAATTTTGAAAAAATAAAAGCTCTTATAAAACTTTTGTCGAAAAATCGAAATTTCTTGCCCCTTTTATGAATTTCCTTTCTACATCACTAGATTTATATTAACCTTGATTGTCTGAAGATCTTCTTTTTGCCGGTCTATTCATTGCCTGCCTCTCGCATCTATGATAAAAAAGCCCATTTTCTTTTGAGCAATTTCATCGATATTTACCCTGATAATGGTGAAAACGGGAAGGTAAAAGTTTTGGACACTACCTGACTACCGCCATGTTTCCGGGAGAATTTGAACAAAGCAAAGCGATAAGCCATGATAGAGAGCCAAATAGGCACTATTTAAAGAATTAGCCTATGTTGCTGAGCTTATAAGAAAAAAAAACTTCAATGTTTCATTGAAGAAAACAATTTTATTCAGGGCAAAAACGGTGGTCAAATATACAACTCATGCGTGCGATCAATCGCTCGCATTATTGGTGCCATGAGTGTGCCGATGCATGTGCGTGCGATCACACACATTAAACGACAGAGACTGCTTAAATATGACCACTCAAATGAGTATCAAACCGAATTTTCAAAATTTCATAGACAAAGGACACTTTTCAAGGAAAAACAGTATTCATTAGAAACAAATGGGGACAGAAAATTCAATAGATTTTTAAGATGCACAACAGCAATGTCTTTTACAGGATGAAATAGGCAAAAACCATCACCTTTTCCAGATGTGTCTCCAAGTCATAAATTGATTGTTCATTTTCCTCAACACTAGCCCTGGGGATAAAACAAAAATATAATTTTCTAATCATTGCTACAATGAACTGAAAAACCAAAATTAATAAAGAATCACTTTCTAAAATATTACTTTGTGGAAATTGAGCTGTGTTAAAATATTATTGAATAAGGTAATAAATTACACCATAAAAGTTCTATTTAACATATCTTCAAACTAACAAGACACATAGAATTTTGAATAGTGTCCTTTTTGCTACAAAGTCTTTCGGGTTATGCAAGAAGATTGGCAAAGAACAAAAAGAGGAATTTTTAATGATATTTACGCTGTTCACCATTACATGTTATAAAGACACAGCTTTGTTGTTCATGATTAGTTTTGAATTTCATTGTAGCTGTCAAACCTGACACAAGCTTTGTGAAACAACCAATCCACGTTTCTAGCATACATGGCCTAGTTGCTGTGAATTTGATGCATCAGTTGGTGCATATTAGAGCTTTTATTGCAATATTATCAATTATAAAGCTAGACTTCATGGATCGAAGTATTAAGAGATAGCTGCTCTCTCAAAAAGGAATTCGCTTTAGCAGGTACCACAGAAGTCTGCAGAATGCAACAATTGGCAAACTGGCTTTGGTATGCATAAGGCAGCACATTTTTGTTTGTGATAAGACAAAGGATTGCTTTCAGCACATAGGGAAATGGACTGGACCAAAAATGATGATTACAATATTTGAACAAGATCAGAGTACAAGATAAATTATAAAACACACAGTACAAGGCTCACGCCACAAATTTCAAGGTGGCGAGGCCAAGTTCTATACATCGAACTTGAATTTAGTACTTTGAAACAGGGCCTCTATGGAAATATGTTTGCTTACCAAAAAGGGGGGGCATGGCCCTTCCAGCCCCCTGGTGGCGTGCAGGGTTGCCAGATGCTTAGAATGCTTGGCAGCCAAATATTTTACATGTATACAAAAGAGCTACATTTTGGCTAAATCTTTAGAGTAATAGTGTAATCAAAATTGGCTTTGTTTATTACAAAAGCTCAAACTTGCTTTCAATTTCAATTTTATCTATGTTATCTTCTACTTTGTTTCTTGCTTCGCTATTTGCAATTTTGAATGTTTTAATAAAATGTTGAATATTTTCTGTGTAAAAATTGCTGTTTTCTTTGTATTTTTTGTGGCTTTCAACATGCGGCCAAAATTCAGCCAACTTTTACTTTTTCGGCCAATAGCAATTTTGGACGGCGAATAAAGGAATTTGGATGTCAAAACAGCCAAATGGCAAACCTGGTGGCGGGGGCCTTGCTGCACTAAATAGTACTGGCACCAGCAAAATAATATGTTAAATGAACCAGGAATAATTATTAGGCTGAAGAAGAAAAAGTCCAGCCTTTAGGAATTTAGACACTAGCTTTTTAGAAATCTGCAGGTATGACCTCAAAGTGCCAAAGTCCCTTACTACACTCTTCTTTGCCTTTTCTATAAAGGAAAATGTATTATTACTTTAATTGAAAACGAGATATTTTGAACTTAATTATTGTAAGCGTAATTATTATTTGTAAATTCTGTAACGTGACTGTAACGTGAGGATGAAAAAGCAGAGATAAATCACCTGACGTGATTCTGCAAAAACACAAACAAGTCAAACCTATCCTGAAGGAAATCTTCTTGACCAAACATTTAATCTGAACATGAAACATTTCCTTAACGATGATTTTATTCAAAATTGAGACCTTGGTTTTTGAGTAGATTTCTAATCGATGTGAGGATGCTGCCTTTTATGGTTAGATAGAATATCTTTTATGTTGAATAAAGTGAAAAACTGTTTTCAGATACTTAACAGATAAATTATTCACTGGTAGTTGCTTGGTCATTGTGTATACTACATAGCAAAAGATTCTCTTGACTGCACAGCAAATTTGCTCGATCGAAAAACTTCCCATTTATCTGTCAGACTGCCAAAAACAAAAGCAGTTAAATGACATTAATTTATAGAAGAAAACAAGACACCTACCTGAATTTGGGAGAATCTTTCAAACATTCGTTAAAGTCGATGCTCGGCTTCATCGCCTTCTTTCTATTTCGCTTGACTTGGGCTATTTTATATGATTTCGCTCTTAGGCCCTCTTGGTGTTGCAAGCCAGCAACAAGCCTGTTTGTCGGAAATTTGACCTCTGAGCTCATTGGTACAAACAGACCCGGCTTTCATTACATGTACAACACAGCTTAAACCAGAGCTCTTCGCATGTATCTTGCTTTTTGGGTGTATCTTGGTTGCGTAAGACAATAATTCTACTTCCGTCCACTTTATTTTTAGGTCATCACTACTCCGCCATCACCTTACTGCTGTGAAACTATGGTGAAACAAACTTTTCATCGAAATGTGACATGCCTCAGATTAAGATAATGAGAAGAAATTGAATTGCATTGTCCTGACAACAATAAACTTTCTTCGACTCTCCGACACATTAAACGAAATTTTTTTTCGATGGTGTTCTTTTGCCGACAAAAGAACAAGGACACTTTCAAAGATTTCGGCATGATTTGTTTCTTATTCGTTATAAATCCGAGGGGAAAATATCAGGAGATGCGAAGTTCTTTGGTAAAGAACTCTATTTTTATCAAATTCTATGGTTTTTAAAACTGTAACTCGGGGCCGTCACGATTGGGGGGAGGGGCAGCTGACGGGTGTGACATTCCCACCCACCGTAGGAATCCTCTCTCCATTGTGGCACTTCAAGAGTCTTCAAGCAAGTCCCAGTTGCCATTTGTTACGGTCCTTCAGGAGCCTGTTTAAAAGTGCATGGCAAAAGAGGGGACCATTTGTAATGAAGGGTAATTTTTATCCAAAAAATTTTCTAAAAAATCTTTTAAGAAGGGGGTAAAAATTTTTCTCTCTAAACAAAGTTTTCTCTAGGTTTCTATGGATCTGTTTTTACAAAATAATACTGTTTTGGCTCCATTGGCGAATAAATTTGGAAATATATCAAGGGTTTTGAAATTCTTAAAAGTTTTTCCTTCCTTTAAAAGCGGCTTTCAAAAATCAAATATTTTACAATTTTTTCTCTCTCTTTTTTAAAGCTAACACTTTCACTCATTGGGCGCAATTGACTATTTTGCATTATTTTGAGGTATGGCATTTCACAACAAATTTTGGAAGTCAGGTGTGTTACGTCATTAGTCATAGACTTAGAAAAAACAAATGACAACAAGAGAGACGGAAATATTTTGATACATCAGTACGACAATATCAAAACAGCAGGGAAAAACTTCATATAGCCTGAGGGCCGAATGAATATTACTAGCTGCTCAAATATTGAACCATGCTGCGTTCTTAAGATAATCGAAGCAATTTGTCATAGAAAGTTTATTAAAAATAAAATCACGCCGCACGATTCCACCTTCCACAAACACACTTCCTCTTGCTGAATTTTTTAGCTTTAATGCTTACTGTTAACAGGCACCGCGAAGCAGGGGGGCTGAAGGGTTTTGCCCCTAAACTTTTTTGGATCCCCTACTTTTCTTAACGCTCCGCGGTGCCTGGTTAAGGAGAGGAATCATAAGAAAAGTAAGTGGGCTACCATCCCAGCCGTCTGTGTCTGCTTCTCCTCACATGCATACATGTCTTTTTACCTATGTATGTTACATTTATAGTTCCCAGTTACGCTTTGTCGATTCTTGTTGTAAACAGGAGTAATAAACCCTCCAAATCCCATGTTCGCGTCCTTGGGTTTTCTCATATTGGTTGGGACCATAGAACTCTATGGTTGGGACCTGGAAAACCTGGAACCGTTGGAAGCGAGAAAAATGACAAGAATCTAGCCGTGTTACGCATTTGCTACAAAAGTGGCGAACTCTGATGATATTTACAGAAATGGTACTTGAAAATACACGCTATAATCCTATGACAGGATGATTAGAAAACTATAATAAGTTAGATAACTTAGTTTAATTCATACAGCAATCAAATTTGACACTGAGCACTAATGTTACCCGACATTAGTGATTGTATGCGTGTCACGTCAAGTTAATTTATAAACTAAATACAAGTGTATATACAGATATCAGCAAGTGCCGATGCCGCTCCCCAGCAAGGTCTCTAAACAATATTCGCATATGACACCCAGCTTTCCGAAGATGATATCACCCTGCATACTGGTATGGTGCATCTCCTTTGGAAAAGCCTGTCTTGACAATCCTCCTTTTATCAGCTCACGCATAAGTGCTATTTCTAAACCTATCGATGTATAAATAAATTCTGGAAAGCATATACCTAATTCAATATGTAGAGACCTGTAAGGATGATCATGAATGATTTTTAATTGATGATTGCCAACTTTTGTGGCCCTTACGTTGAAATCGTGGCTTTATCTAAGGGACTTTAGCTGGGGTGTCAAGCATTTGTTCTTATAAAGGGGACTGAAGAGGCAATCGCCCCCTTGTAACGATGTTAAAAAGGTCATGGTTAAAGTCCAAAAGATAATTATTTACTATCTTCCATTGACGATAACAAATCTCACGATGGAGACGATTCAATGGATATTACATTTAAAACACAAACCTGATTTTCGGGGTAAAGAAAAAACCGTGAAATAGTTAGTATCCGGTAATTATTTTTCATTTTTCGTGAGGGTAGAGGTTGAGAAATGTTCTCTTAAATGACAGCCAGGTTAACTAAAATTTTATAGGCCCCTGGCAAGATCGAAGGAATGTTTCCTCTTTCGGAGCAAAGGAGGTTTCAGTATACCAGGAATCAACAATATTAATACAAACTCTTACAACAACAAGCTTTTTGGTCGAATAATTTCTTAAAACATCCCTACTTACTCATCTCCCCACTGAACAGTTTTGAAAAAATCCATCGTACAATTAATGACTATGGAAAATAGAGATGAATCGATGTCACAAGGATTTCTTATGAGTACCCCCCACCCCCAACCTCACTTTCTGACTTGCTCGCTTTCTCCAAAGTATAAATAAACCTGAAAAGACGTAGCCTTGCAGATTGCGGGCTTCGTGCAACAATAAACAAGAAAACGCGTTTAGAATGACATAGGTTTGACGTCTGTCAAGACGGAGCCCTCGACGAGAGAGCTGGTAGATGGGTCAGCATCCTGCTTCTTTTGCATCCGTAAGGTTAGCTCGTGCAGCAAATCTATTGCCTTTTCAGCAATCTCCCAGGCATTGCGATCTTGGCAGTTGTCATGGAGGTAAGCCAATACCTCGATAATACCGATGCATAGAATGTCTTTCCTTGGAGAAATAAAATAAAATGAATATCATTCATGAGTTTCAGTTTATACAATAACCACTTAGTTTTCGTATCTGCTAAATACATATCATAAATTCTCGTGATACAGATTGATTATGGTTTAATAGTCAAGAAATCTCAAGGACGGATTTAAGCAACAACGATTGGGGGGGGGGCGGGTGTTAGGCACTAATTGGACTTTGGTGCCACACCCTTTAGGCTACTCACTATTCAAAGAAGATAAGATCAAGTAAAGTCTTGTTACTGTTGACTACCAAAATATAATTTTTACCGAATGGAAGCAAAATTTGCCGAAAGACACAACAATATTGTGGGGATATCGCACCCCCTACACCCCTCCCCCGCTAAATCCGTCCCTGTGAAACACATACAGCCAGCTGCAATAATGTATGAGACCAAGATTAAATATCAGTTCTTACTTTAGGTTTTTCAACTTTAGGATTGTTATTACTTTCAAAATTCACTGTTCCAAAAACAAATTGTTTCCAATGAGCCCTTATTGCTCGATCTATGCTCCTTTTTTGAACTTTAATGTACGCCCTTATGCATATGATTTTCATTTATAAACAACACAGTCCTCTGTAGCTTTGGTTTTCAGTGCTAAAGACATAATAATGCTTAAAGTGTTGTACTTTTCTGTGCTCAAAATGTTCCAACGTGTTCGCGTTTCTAATTGACGTATTTTGATCCACAAATGGATATATATAATTACTACCTTAAAAATTTCTGACTTTTTATACTATGAAGAACATAGACAAAAATCTTCAGCATACTTCAAATTTACTTCTTTCAAAGCCATTTACAAAAAAGTTTGACTTCAGTTTTAGTTGACCAGTCGAAAAAACTAATAACTCTATAATACAGCCAAGTATTGCTATTTCTGTTGAATCAATTTAAATTGAAGGGTTATGATCATTCAGAATCAAAGTTTCGAAAGAAAAGGGCAAGAGAACTTACTGGTCAAAGGAATTTTCAACCATGGACAGGATCACTCTTGCCACAACATTCTGAATGACGGGGTCCGGACTCATTGCAAATTGAAGCAGCGAATCCTTCAATCCTTCGATCTCAATAATCTTTCTACAGGCCTGAACAATAAAAGCATAAACATGTAATCTGATATGGTACAAAAATAGGAAGTATATCAATTATATAAGATAATAAACACGAATTGAGATCACAAATTCTGATTATGACGTGTGACATGACACTAATAGGTATGTGAAATATTGTGCCGACCCTTTATCCTGAAGGAGTTCCTCTACCTCCAATTAAAGAACAATACTGCTTTGAAGATTTTTGTGTTCTTCTTTGAGAAAATTCTTGTACTCAATAGTACTATCTGATGCCGATGGCAAGGGCGGCTGCTGCCTTTGTAAACCGTCAAACTGTGCTCTACTTTTTTTTAAAAGAGTACTGAATGGGAAGCAACTGAAGGGGCAGCCCCTTCGAAAAAATATAATTCTCGTTCCAACCACACTGTTCAACTCAGCAAGTTGCCATTTAACATTAATTCGGCCAGAGATAGCAATATGCCAACTCCTTCTAGGATACACGATCATTTGAATTTCTTAACCAAGTCGAATCACTGATCAAAATAAGGTTTGATGAAAAGGAAACAGACATACAGATTCTGATTCTGCGTAGTAGATAAGAATTTTCCCAGCTAATAGGTAGAGCTGCTCATCTTCAGAAATTGAAGGAATGTTCACGATGAAATGAAGTAGTTCTTCCTGTGAAAATAAACACGGTAATCGCAACTAGAAGAAGGGACTTCAGCAAATAAATGTACAAAAATACGACTTTTCTATTGGCTTATAGCTATGACAACCCCCGAATTCTGATTATAAAAACAGATAATAGGACCGACAGCGTGTCTAGGACCTCGCTTGGTGCCAAGTCGAGTTGATGTTCCATTCGCTGTAGGACCCAGTACTTTTTCAATATCGACTGCCAGAGTCAAAGTGAGCTCTGTTATAAACAAAGCATCTAGCAACCCATAACATCTCTCCCACAATTCTAGCGACCCCTAATCTCTGTCCCACTATTCCCGCAACCATAATTATTGTCCTGTTAACTTCTCGAATTGGGGGAGAAAATGGAAGGAAAGAATCTTCACGAGTCCGTTGATGTCTTCACTTTCGAATGAAACAACAAACAAACCTTTTCGATGACTATCTCAGCATTTTCGATTGCTAACAGCTCGATAGTTTGGAGTGCAAGTCTCTGTGTCTCTGAATCATTTGATTTGATCAAGTGCACCAAGGTCGAAACTACAACATCAAAAGTTGCCAATGGTTTTAGCAAAAGAAAATTTGAAAATGGCTTTGAAAAAAGCAAACATTATATAACATGTTGACTAAATATCCACAACTGGGTATATATTTTTCATCATGTTCTTTTGGACCCTTATTCTGAAGTTTTATGCTCTGATGAGTGTCAGACGAAAAAGCTTCTAGCCAATATGTTATAAAATGTTTGCTTTTTCAAAGTCATTTTCAAGTTCTGTACCGCCAGAAAACTGTTCAAAAAGGAATTTGGAAAGCGTGTCTTCGGCTATAAATAACATAAAATGAAAGCTGACAAAATTGGTAAAAGCTGACAATGGTTGGAACAACAGTGGGAGTAGCCGCATAAAATTGACGTTACAGCCTTTCAAGTACAGCAACACCACACTTTTGAAAAAATATGGTGTTTCTTAAACGTACCCCCAATTGGAGACATGGCTTCATATTCATGCCCAGCTACTGAATGACAATGAATGTACAAAGTCTTTCATGCCTGAGCCCTCGACTGAAGTTTACCGGAGTACAGACACAAAATAAAGGAGATTTAAATAGAGAAACTAAATGGTCTGTTTTCAGAGACTGTGGAGGCAAGCATACCTGCAAGCTCTTGAGTGGCGAGTCTTTCCCTTATTGTCGAGTCGAACGAAAGCTCCAAAAGGATAGTAGCAATCAAACGGCCTGTCTCCATGGACCCTGCAATAAAGATGTTTTTAAAGCAAGTAATAAAAGGGAATGAAACGAAACGTGAAGAATGGTAAATGCAGGTCTGTCATCCACTCATGGGCCATAAAGTAGCCGTTTCAGTTTTCCTACTATTGATTTTCGTGTATTTTCTACAAGGCCCCCTCCTTTCCATTTCACAGCCATACACTCCTGGGTGGTTGTGTTATGACATTACCAAGTACGTGTCTTTCGTTGAAGTCAGTTGACGGGGAAAAACAGCCTTCGTCCAAGTAGCAATTGCATTTTTCATGGCATTCAACAACAGAGGGGCTTCGCCAAACTAGGTTTTACAGAAATGTTACTATAAGTCTTCAAGTTTCACTAGGCGATCCCATTATCCGTCTTGCGTCGGCTTTTCATGGATTAAAAGAGTTTATCTGAAAAAGTTTCGTTTTGGCACTGGCTTCACCAATACACCTGGGTAGCTTGTTTCCATTAGCTGAGATCCAAAATAGATTTCTAGTCCCCACGAGTGGCAAGTATTGTTCCTTACAGTTCCTACCAGAAGTGCTCTTGAAACACGTGTTTAAGGGAAGAGGTGGGTTTTGCTGAACATGACACTAGGTATTTGTTCAAAGACTTTTGTCTCTGATTGTCGTGATTTCGTATAATTTGCCTGAATTGATGAATAACCAGAGACAAGACGGGATTCAATGTTCGAAATTGTCATCCTAAATATGATGGTTTTAGAAGATTGGTGAATGCTTACCTTTATAAGCTGCATGAGAGAGATCTTCAAGACTATAGGATGAAAGGGAAGTTTTTTTGTAAATTATAGAACAGAATGATATTGTAAAAGCAAAGAAATCAAAAAAGTCACTTTTTAGCACAATCATTTTTTTTCTAAAAAACTACAGAGGCCATTATTGATGTCGCAATTATTACTGAAGATTCGCTAAGTATTGGAGATGCGATAACAATTGTAGACGCATTAATTGAAGACGCAATTAACATTGAAGACGCAATAACTAGAGCAGACGCGATTACTATTGAAGATTCGCCAAGTATTGGAGATGCGATAACAATTGTAGACGCATTAATTGAAGACGCAATTAACATTGAAGACGCAATAACTAGAGCAGACGCGATTACTATTGAAGATTCGCCAAGTATTGGAGATGCGATAACAATTGTAGACGCATTAATTGAAGACGCAATTAACATTGAAGACGCAATAACTAGAGCAGACGCGATTACTATTGAAGATTCGCCAAGTATTGGAGATGCGATAACAATTGTAGACGCATTAATTGAAGACGCAATTAACATTGAAGACGCAATAACTAGAGCAGACGCGATTACTATTGAAGATTCGCCAAGTATTGGAGATGCGATAACAATTGTAGACGCATTAATTGAAGACGCAATTAACATTGAAGACGCAATAACTAGAGCAGACGCGATTACTATTGAAGATTCGCCAAGTATTGGAGATGCGATAACAATTGGAGACGCAACAATTGAAGACGCAATTAACATTGAAGACGCAATAACTAGGGCAGACGCGATTACTATTGAAGATTCGCCAAGTATTGGAGATGCGATAACAATTGGAGACGCAACAATTGAAGACGCAATTAACATCGAAGACGCAATAACTAGGGCAGACGCGATTGTACATATAATTAAAAACCTTAGGTTTTCTATAATCTTCACATCTTAGGTTTTATGATATCTGGAGTTCTCCTATTTTTGAAGAAAAACTATGAAAATACAAACACCTATAAGCAACAGAACTTTTTCAAAACCTCCTACCATTAAAAGTGCGTTCGAAAAAAAAGATATTTTCACTTTACCCTTCCTCATCGGCTATGGCCTTCCTGTTGTTTTCACTGTCCGAGACTATGAATGATATTGTCATGGCAGCTTCAAACACCAATCGTTCACTTCTGCTGTGAAGCAAAGCGCAGAGCGTCCTTGCACCCCCCATATCAATAAACTGGTCCTGGCAAAGACAAATATTTAGAGTCGTGTTAATCAATTGCCTTATTAGAATTAAGCGACAGGAACAACTTTATTCTAAGAAGTGGAGTACCTTGACATTCCCGACTGAGGGAGGGGATTGAGGGTAAAAAAGTAGATTCTTTGATAAAGGCAAGGATGGTGAACATTTCATTCCTATTTCATCCATCGTCAGTCGATTTTACTGATCAAAAATTATGTTGTTTAAGCTAGAGATTTACCCTACCTCCTAAAAGGGTTATACCCGTCCCCTTTATTCTAAAAGCGTGTCAGTTTTCGACATTACATGTACCCTTTGCAATCCCCCAAAAATGATGTTAAGTTTGTAGCCTTGAATGTAAATGGGTCTACTGCTACGACAACCCCTATCACGCAGCTTTGATGGAAATTTCAAACTATGTTTAGACAAGTTGGATCTCGGAGATGAGAATCAAGATTTTGTCACAACTTTCGTAAAAATCTCCAATGAAACCATCGGAGATGTTGATCTTGCCGAAATAAAATCTTCAGTAAAAGCCTTATTCATTTCAGTAGAACAGTATACTCACAATGAATATAATTCTAAACACGGCAGATACTACTTCAGTACAATAAAATTGTGATAAGACATTGTAAAATCTTACCTGGATCGACGGTACTACAAGCAGCTCGGCTAAAGCTTCTGTGGCATATTCTTGTGTTGACTAGAAGTGAAACGAAACATTTGTTATCATGAAGACCACTTCACAAGAGTAGTAGGTCCGTATGTTGAGGAAGTGCTCAAGGGCAAAGCGGGAGTTCTACTTTTTTATTTAGAGGAAGGGGGCTTACGGCGATTTTTTCCTAAAAATTTGGAAAAGTTGATAAAAAAATTTAGATATTTTCCGACAACTTTGCTTCTCCATAGCATGGTTCCAACGATTACAATACATTGAGGCTGGTCAGCTAATTCAGCTCTAGGTACACTTACAAATTACACGCCTTGGCCCTGCATACGTGATATGCGATTATGCGGACCAGTATAACAGAACAAACCACTGGTTATAAAAGTGAATCAAGATGCAAAAAATGTAGCACAAGGGAATTCATCAAATGGCTCTTTAGTCTAATAAGTGAGAAACAATAGCATAAACAGAAGGGGTTCGTCTGGTTCTATCTTTCCCCAAATTCATAAAGCTATTACAAGACACTTCTAGGAAACCCACCTCGTCATTTCCCAATGCCAGGTTCATTAATACTTGCAAGCTGAAATGAGAAAAACGATGTAAACCTTCAAACAGCTTGCAAGAATTTCACCCCTTCGATAAATATTCCCATCACCTACATCTCTTAAGGTTGTCTGATTATTGAATTTGGCTTGAACCTCTGAGCTGCCACTTAGAACCGTCCCGTTGGATACACCAAAAAGCTCTCACGAATTCTACTCTTTTTATCTTCCTCTCAGAGTGTCTGCAGCTTTACGACTATCGTTATGTGTGTGTATCAGGATTGGAGTGACGTGCAAGACTGGTGCAAAGACAAACACAAGGGAACAAAATCAGCACCGCATTTTGTAAAGTAAAATTCCACACAAGAAACACATTAGAAGTTGTATATTTGTTAGAATAACTCGTATCTGTAAATACTGTAGCACTGTAACAAATTTGAATCAAAAGTATAGAAGTTGCATTCATACCCTCCTTCGCCGACAATCTTTTGCTTGTTCTCTTCACCGCTTGCAGCAAGGCTTGCCAGCTCAAAGGCAGCATTACGGCGCTCTTTAGGCCTAAAATTAATTTTTTTTCATTTCTTTTCCAGCAATCAGAATATAATTACAAGCTACTTGGCTTAATAATGCAAATTCAAAATATCTTACTAAAAGAAATGGCAAACAAATTTTTTTACCTTCCCAATCGTGCCATTTTCATCACCTTGGTGACATCCTTGTTTTGGATCAGATACTTCTCAATGATATCACCAACCTTTAAGTAGAAAGAAACTTAATTTCATCGCTTGTTTAACAAAGGGGGCATTCTCTACAGATGGGGCAAACCAGCGAAAAATTCATAGTGGATAGAGGTTGCTCTTTTATTTATTTGGCCGCGAAACTTCTTTAGAATAAAGAAAAATAGAATGAAAATCTAAATTTAATTGAATAACACTGGACCTTGTTTGAGCTACAGAGAGAGAAATTTATAAATCTCGATGATATAGACAGCCATTGAATTTATTCCGGTCTAACCCCACTTGTGTCATGACGTCACGATCTCCGAGATGGTCTATCGTAGAAGCCGTAAGAAGGCTATCTAAAATAATTGTCGGGTCATATTGCATGTGTCATATGTCATATGTCTCATTCAGACGTCAGGTGTCATGTGTCATATTCTTCAACAATACTTAGGCAAAAAAATTTTGGACGACTTGAAATTCTTCAAAATTTATCAAAAACCAAACAAACTGCATTTCAGATTTTATCTGCCTTAATTCTTGTTTTATTGGAGCCAGTTAACATTAATTTTTATGAACACAGAATTAAATGAAAAACAAACATCAGAAAGTATTCCAAGAAAAACAAACATTAGCCGTTTGGGGAAAAAAGAAAACATTCAAATAAGTATTGACAAAAAGCTAAATAGCATATGAAGATTAAGGTCATTATAAAATATAGTTTTAAAAGTAGTTAGCTTTAGTAAATTGGGATCAGATATTTCTGTTTAAGGCCTTTTTGTACCAAAACTCAGAACTGAGAGAAAAAAATTTCTTATCAACTGAATGATTTAAGGCTTCTGATGACACATACGTATGTTGTTGGAACTTAAAGAAGTAAACTTTAATATGTTTCTTGTTTGCGTAATAGCTTTACCGAGGTTTAATTAAAAAACGACAGGTTCAAAGAGAAAAGTTACCTCCACTGTTATGCTCTGAAACAGAAGATATGTGACAGCAATAATTCCAATGAAAAACACGGACTGGCCATAGTAGAAGCAAACTGCAGATAAGAATGAAAATCATTTTTATATTTAGTCATTCTTCGTAAAGCGAAAATTGCCTTGAATTGCTGGCAAACATAGCAGACAAAACATGATGATTTTCAAAGAAATATCAGGATAAAATAAGAAAATACTTGTTCTATCGTGATTTTATTTTATTGGAATAAATCACCTTGGTGGCTTCTAGTCTATTTTGTGAAATAAAACGAATAAAATTTGATAAACGACGGTTAGTCGACAATTAAACAATGAACTATTAAAGTTGTGAAATTTCTAATCCAGGGTTAAACCTTTAATCTGGAGAAGAGGACAGTAGTCTATTGCCCCAAAGTTGGATGGAAACTTCCCTCCCTCATTCTAATTGGTATACCCTGAAAAAGGCCGTGAAGGGTGGCAGAACAACGGCTTGCAACGCACGACAAAAACCATAAGATGAAAAACTGGCTGCATCAGTCCCAAACCATTCAATATACTAATTTAAATTTTTAATAAAGTCAGAAGTAAGGGACTTTTAATGCTTCTGAAAAAAAAACACAAAAGTGCCCTTCGAATCACAACTGCGCGTCTTTTCCTTTAAAAAGGATGTTTTTACTTTGGAAACAGCATTTTGTACAACGCTGCTTCATTGTAGCTGTCGATTATAACTGTATCACATCTCACATGATTTTCTTTGATCAATTGTTGATTATTATCTGATGGGACCCAAAGAGAAGGAAATGGGTTCATTGAATCCCTGTTTCAAAACGGTGCGTTCAAAATGTTCTCTACTACTCTATTTCTATACTACATAATGCGGCCTATTTCCATCGATTCTCAAATGCGCAAAATTTGACTTAATCTCCCATTTGTGTGTAGTTGGGAATAAATCTGTGGCATTCAAATGGTAAAAAAAACAAAAAAGGGCGCTATTATATCTTATGTTGGCCCGCAAATAAGTGTCGGAAATAAGATCGGAAAAGAAACTCTTTGTATATCTCTTGAACATAACATCAACCTTCACTCGGCTAGTCCGATATACAATAATTAGATACTAAAACAATGGTGTCCATATGGAGTCCATAACAGGCGCCTATCTTACCGGACCAGACGTTCAGATAAGAGCATTCTGCTATAAATTCTGCACAACCGTGTTTCTAAAAAATAAAACATTATTCAAATATCTGTGACGTCATAACATCATAATTCTACTATTTATCTCAGGCTTAAAAAAACCGGTTGATTCCCAAGATAAATTGCTTTAAATCGATTATTTATAGACCATCTGTAGAATTGCAAATTCTGTCAAAACCTACACAAAACTTACTTTTAATTTTGCCATATCTGAGTCTTTACCACAGACGTGTCTTTACGTAAACAGTAAAGTTCGATGAAAGATGTGAGAATTGCCAGTTTAATTATTGCTATTCCGTGAGATGACTTTACTTTGTATATGGGACTTTTGTGGATTCTCCACTGAACACCGTAAGTAGAGTGTTCAAAGTCTGTATGGTGAAAATTTAGTGACCATTTCTACCCATACGTACAGGAGACGTACAGGGTCACATATTATGACCCAGTCGATAGAGTTCTAAAGTGTGACGTTATAAAAATAAATTTTTAGAATTGTTTAATTTTGAACAAACAGTCTAAAAGAACACCAAGAAATACTTCTAAACATGCAAAATCAGTTAAATTAGTTAAAAATCGGGTGAGATATGGCCAATGAAAGAATCGAAATTTGATAACGGGTAGCTGTTGTTTTTTACTTGGTTTCTTACCTTATAACAAAATCCAAATTTAAGTGGTTCGATGGGGAAAGAGTAGCTTAGGAGGCCAAATTCTTACGCAATTAACTGTTTTGCGCCTTTTGGGGTGAATTTATGCTGCTTATTCAACGATTCAAAAATATATTTTCGTGACAAAAAACCCTTAACAACTGTATGGGCCTAAAATGCTTTGAACTTCCACATATTTTCTAAAATGTTAAGAACTGGCATCCAGTTTGCCGCATACGTGATCTTCTTTTGACGAAAATAAACCTTGTCCCTCCTTTGCAATCGAAAACAAAATGGTGCATGATGCCGTACAGACGTTGACGGAAATTTCTCTATGAACCTCTTGTAAGGCTCATCAGAGAGAACAAACTTTTTATGAAGAATGATGTTGTCAGAATGAACTTACAATAATGTCGAGCATGAGAAAGACTCCCATGAGTATGGATGCCACCAGGTTTAATACTGCTCCAATTCCAAACGTCAACAGAAAATATCTTTTGCTGTTAAAATAAAAAAAATCTAATTTCATTGAGCTGAACATTACCTTGATAAAACGAACTGACACATAAAAACATAAGCAACCAGACATTTTACTATAGAGTACCGAAGTGTGACGTCTTCAAAAATTTATTTTTAGATTTTCTTAAATTTGGCCACATAATTTGAAAGAACAGCATAAAATACCTCTCAATATGCAAGATTAGCTAGATATGTTCCAAAGTGGGCGAGATATGGCCAATGAAAGATTTTAAGTTTGCTAACGGATTACTGTTAATTTGGCCAAGACCAAATTATGGGGCAAGAGCCTGGGCTCAAGTGGCCACATCTCAACCAATTCATAATGCCTTTAACTGATTTTGCATATTTAGAGATATTTCTGATGATCTTTCAGGTTCTGGGATCAAAATTCAGAAATTCTAAAAATATATTTTTATGACGTCATCACTTCGGTACTCTATTACGCTCAAGCAAAAGCATCATAAGGAATCAATGCCGTGCATCATATCACTAGCGATATCAACAATCTGCCAGTTCTGTTATTCAAGATACAAGAAGCAAACTATAGATAACGTGCACAAGTTGCTACTACATTCACTTAACCGCTCCATTCAATGGCGATGTCAGCTGCTGTGGAGTATGGATTTTTTTGGAAGGGGGAAAACCAGCAGGTGTTCCTAGATCATACTCTTTTATATCTTTGTTTTTCATTAGTTCGGTCTTCAAGCCTCTGATAATGCTTTTTCAATATCTGCGCATTGAAAGAACATGACTTGCCCCTTTTTAGGAAGAATTAGGTGGACAATATTTTGATACTAGCCAATGATAAAAATATGCAAAAATAGAGTTACGCACCTGATAAAACTGACTTTTCCAACATAACCTCCAACTCTTGTGTAGTAGGGGCAATAGTGAAACCCGTAGAATACCAAGATAGCTGGAAGACAAAGATCTCCTTCGTAAGCAACAGATAAAACAACATCACAGGGTAGAAATTAATAATTCTACTTGTAAAGGTTCCACATCAATAGAGACGATTTCATCAACCTTTCTCAGCAATCCAATTAAGACCTTCCAAGAGCTTTCAGGACATAAAATCCCTACAGTATACTACAGCGGGCTTAGAAGAACAAGAAATGCTTGTAGCACTTTCGCTATCACAACCAGTGACCTTCCCGAGAATCGATCGTCCAAAATGCTGCAAACTGCGCAGACTCTTAAAATGCATGTTCGCTGATTGGCTATCAACATTGGCCAACAGACAAAAGAAAACACAATGGATAGTTTTAGTTTGGTCAGTTTGTAACCTTTGGGTTGATGGGGACGAGCATTTTCTTAATTAAAATTTTTATTGGTATGCGAATCCAAACAACAAGCTTGTTACTAGGGTCGTGCCAAAGTAAGAGGAGTGGGTGCAATGGCATAACGGAACAGTTCGGGTCCCTTACGAATATTTTGTTTGGGGGCTCTTGCACAATCATATTTTTTTGCAAAAACAAAGATATCAGAAAGAAAACCTTTATGCGATAGAGAGATTAAAGTGTCGAAAAGGATCAGAACAATTTCAGATAGTAAAAAATTACAAAAGATGTTAACAATCTGGCAACTGCTTAAAATCGATGGAAATAATTATCTACGGCTATTCCGTCTGGCCAAACTGTCGATTTGCCAACTCCGGCCAACTCCGGCCAAATCCTAGTTTGCGATGAAAAGAATACACCGCCCACGCAACAAGTTTAAAGGTGGAGGGGTAAAAATCATTTAATGAATCGACTTTTAATTCAGTGACTCAAAATTCCAGGTCAAAATCTTTTCTGAAATTGAAATTCTTGCAGCTGGATTTGAGATACCTTCAACGGTTTTGTAAGGATTTGTTGAATGAAAAAAGCTATTTGCCTTGTCTTGGAATGAGCTGATTAATGTTTGCTTTCGGCTTTAGGATTAAATTTACTTTTTGAAGACATTTTGTCCAAATTTTGTATTTAAGATTGTGAAGTTTGAAACAGTCGCTCTGCACTTTTAGACTTCCTCGTTTAGAAGGAAATGTTGGTTTTGCGAACTTGATGTTTTTTTAGAGAAACTTTTTTCGCTTCTTATACCAACTAATCCAAACAAACCTTGATCGTGACTACCTTTAAGGGGCCCCTTTTGGGCCATAATGGCATAGTGGCCCTAAGGAGTTGCTCTAACCCCAACCTACGTCGGTTACATCACGGAGTGGATGTGACATTTTCTTCGCATAGTTTGAAACGCCGTCGCTATTTTTCTGTCCAGGCAATAAAAGTTTAAACTAAAATTTTTTCTTGTCAGTAAATGTCGAGCATTGACTTTGCTGCACAGGTTAGTGATAAAGGCACTGCAATATTACTAACGCATACAGCAAAGATTCGCGATAAAAGTAATACATTCTAAGCGTGCTTCTCTAAAAGAGGAAAATTACCTGTCCAAACAGCAGAATATCTGTAAACAGTCAGTAGGCTCAAGAAGCAGCCAAGAATGTGAATCCATAGCAGGACCTGCAAGCAAAAGATCATTATCACCCCTAGAAAAGAATCATCATCAAAACGAAAGTATACAGAAACGCAAGAGACAGGGGTGTCGGGGCTCTAGTTCCGAAGAGAGGGCAGGCCTGGCTATCCTGCTATTCGGATAGAAGGACGCAGCATTCTTCGAAGTGATTTTCTTAAGTTGGAAGATAAAATCTCTACAAAGATGCTCGTTATGTATTGTTTAATTGCAAAAATTAAAGCTAGTGAAAGTTTGAAGGGTTCATAAAATAAAATTTTAATTAGAACCTATAACTTTTTTGAATTGCTGAAAGTTCGAGTTACTAAAAGTTGGCCTAAACAGCGATTATCATATCGGATACAATTTTTTTTGAATTTGGAAAATTCGAATCGTCGAGTTGTCTACTAATAATAGAAATGTTACTACGTGTACATAGAAAACTTTATATACAAAAAGTTTCTAATATGCAACTGTCCTCATTCTTGGGCCGTCCTGCATAGTCAAAAGGCACAGGGACACCCTGTTCCCAGGCACATTTATTCAGGTGTAATTAATTTACAGGCACATTTGATAAAAAAAGAACTTCTCATTTTTATTCTGTAATTAAAGGGTAGAGAAAAATAATGAGAGAAAATTGCTCTGAAACTACATGGTCATCGCTTTTTTGAAAGGCAAACTTTCTTTAAATTCAATCCCTTTAATGAAAATGTTTCATGCCACCCTGTTCTTGGGTTCGTTTAGGGATTAGGAGTCCAAAATTCACTGCAAGCTTTTTCAGCTCACTTTCTTATAGGAGCCTTTCACACTTTCAGCGCAATCTGACTAGAGAGAAATTCTGACATATGCAGCTATAGCGTTTGCCGTGGACTTAGGGTCAGGTTGCGTAAAGTAAGGATGATAAGTTCGTGGGTAATAAGTTAACAGGACATGACGTCATAACAAGATATGATGCAACATACTTACTCTAAACGCAACAAAGAATTTTTCCCTGTGACCAAATATCTTGACCTCTTTATCAAGAGCAAGCTGAGCCTCGTCTTTGTGTTTCTGTGGCTTCTTTCCTTCACCAAGACTCAGACTACTCAAAGCTACATTTTGAGCGTCAATGAATTCCTTGATGAAGCAAAACAAAAAATTGTTGAATATAAGAATAAAACGATGAAAATAGACATGCTGCATTGTGTAAAAGTGCACACAACTAACAGACAGTGGTGTGTCGTAAAATTTTAGAAAGCATTACACAAAAGTTAAGAACAAAGTCAGATAAAACCAAACAATTATAAACATTATTTCTACTTTGGATCACGCGAAATCATAGACGATAGGGCCTCCGAAATTCGCATGCCAACTTACGAAGGCATGTCAAAATTGTAATAGCGAAATATTCATGCGACTTTACCACTTCTATACTCACTCGAAGCTTTGATGGGACAAGTATTGAAAGAGTAAGGAAATTTAATACCAAAAGTCGCCTTGTATCTAGAAAAAGCTTTAATTCATATAAGTAGGTAGTATGACATTGCAGCACAAGTGTTTTAAAAAGCATTACGACGTTACGCAGCGTTTACTCCTAGCCACCACTTTGGTTGGCAATTCCCCCCCCCCCCCACCTCAAATAAAAATTTATCAAGATTTGCCCCTGTATAGTGCAAAAGCTGAAATAATTTCAATATACGATAATATCTTGAAATTAGATATTTGTACATACATCTTTCATGCTCTTAGCCATTGGCACCATCTTGATGACTGAACTGTCAAGAATGTTGTAATTCTACATCGAAAAACAAGACATTTATTCAAAATATCAGTAATCACACAATAACATTGTGTGATTAATGTTAAAATAGTGCAAGGAGCATGACAAGAAAAGTGCTGTGAGGGACAAATCACTGAAATTGTTTGTTGACTGCAAATTCCTTTTTTATATATAACTTAAAAGTTTCAATAAATCAAATTAAAAATTTTGTATAATAGACAACTACTGCAGATTAATAAGGATGTGTTGATAGAAGGGGATTGATGTCATTTAGATCATTTAGATAAAAATAAGTGTTTACAGATAATAAACATCTGAGAGAAGGTTTTTTGAAGGACCCATTCTTGAATTAAGACTTCTTCAAAAAATGCTTCAAAAGAGGTTGTGCAATTAAATGCTTTTACTTTCTGCTTCTTTGGGAAGCTTCAGACAGGTGCAAACGGATCAAAATATTGCTATCAATACTAGATGCTAGGCCTAGCAATGCTGAAAAGATTGTACAACATGCAGTTTTTTCAAGTCACTTTAGACGCACTCAGCCAATATATATTTGCTTTAAAAATAGTTTGTAAATTTGTGTATCTATGTGCACAAAGCCAGCTATCTAAAAAGAGGCTGACCTTTATGGTTGAATATACTAAGCAATTTTTCTGACACACAGTCATATCACAATCTCATAACTGACAAACTACTCAAAAAATTCATTTACCTCAAATGTATGTGCATCTCGCAAGTAATTTCCCTTGAATCTCAAACGAAACTGGTGATCAGGTTTACCAAGTTCATACAATACATGCATCATTTGGGCTCTTGCCCTTGCAATTCTGTCATACTGGTTGACAACCAAGACAAATGTCTTGTTCTAAAAATAAGAAAAAATATTTGTACTTATCTACAAAAGTCAAGCTAATTACTTCATGAGAATGCAATCTAGGACTAGGAATAATTTTTATTTGAGGGGTACAATCCACTGGGATAGCATTAAGAGGTGAAATAACATTTCTCTAGAAATCAGAATGTTATACTTATTGGCAATGTGAGATCAAATTGTGGCCAGTTATAGTTTGGGGGTAGTGGCCACAGACTCAGGCCCCATGCCTTTAATAGCCATTAGGGGTCCTGCACCCAGTAAGAAAAATAATAAAAAAAAGTAGATCCTAAAACAGCAGCTGGAGCTGGTCAAAGCTCCTTCCAAAACTTTAATGGTGCAAACTGTCCCTGTCCAGCACAGTATCTTGGTCATCTATGATGCATTAACATTCAAACAAGTAAAATACACTTAGATTTTACATTATATAGAGTGTGCATCTTTTGCGCGTATTTGAAAATGGTTTGTAGACTAATTTGATTAATTTCAACAATTACAGAAAAAAGCACCTGTTTGTCTCCAAGCTAATTCTCTTTTCAATCTCACCTTCCATGTGTTTGCATAAATCAACATGGAAATGAAGAATTACTCTCAGGCCATTCAGCAGAGACAAACCAGATAAATTTTGCTTTGCTAAAATTAACTGTTTTGGGCCTTTCATGATTATCAAACTGTATCATATCGTGATTAAAAACTTTGGAAAACTAGCTCTCTCTCTCTGTGTGTCTCTCTCTCTGTGTGTCTCTCTCTCTCTCTCTCTCTCTCTCTCTCTCTCTCTCTCTCTCTCTCTCT